GAAAAATGTCTCATATGCAAGAAAACTAACAGACAAGCTATGAGAAAACAGCAACTAGGAGGGAGGCCACCTGCTCTAAGACCATTCCAATGCATTCAGGTAGATTTTACAGAGTTACCTAGAATAGGCATAATAAAGTTTTTGTTGGTTATAATCGACCATCTAACCGGATGGGTAGAGGCTTACCCGTGTAGCAAGGACACTACCAAGGTGGTATCCAGGGTATTGCTAGATCAAATTATTCCCAGGTACGGGATGGTCACTCAAATTGATAGTGATCAAGGGAGCCATTTCACGGCAAGGGTATTGCAGAATGTTATGGAAGCCTTGGGAATAAATTGGAAATTTCACACTCCTTGGCACGCGGCCAGCAGTGGAAAAATTGAAAGGGCTAATGCAAAAATAAAGGAATCATTAACCAAAATAATTTTATAGACCCACATGCCCTGGACTAAGTGCCTGCCACTGGCACTGCTGAGAATTAGAACCACGGAAAGACATAGGACTGTCACCCTATGAATTATTATTTGGAGTTGCTTTTACCCCAGGGCAAATTTGTATAGATTCACTCCAAACTCGAGATAGAGTACTGAAGCAATATGTACATAAACTGTCCAGATATTTTGATTTCCTCAAGAAACAAGGATTGCTGGCACAAACACCCCCCTTGGAGTTTCCAGTCCACAAATTCCAGATTGGAGATTGGGTGCTGATCCGGAGTTGAAAGGAGGAAAAGCTGGTTCCGAAGTGGGAAGGCCCTTTCCAGGTGCTGCTGAAATCCGAAACAGCAGTACGAACGGCAGAGAAGGGCTGGACCCACTACACCCGTGTGAAAGGACCAGTGGACGCTCCAACCAAGTGGAAAAGTGTGCCTCAACCTGACCCTTTGAAGTTGATAATAAGAAAAAGCAAAATATAGAGACATTAGAAGAAAAAAAAGGGGGGGGGAGTTAAATGTGTTGGTTTTGTGACTGTAAATGTTGGTGTAATTGTTGTTATTGTACCCATTGCCCAGACTGCGCACCGATACACAGAGACTGCAGAGAAGAGTGTGATATAGTGATCATCGAAGACTGGTGTCCCGAGTTCCAATCTCAGCCTGTTACAGACGGTAGTGTCAAAAGTGAAAGGGAAGAACTACTTTTCCAGGGGTGGACAGAATTGGGACAATGTTAGACCTCAATATGACCTTGGTTACAGGAGTAATTAAGATATGGATTATAGTGGGAATAATAGGGTCCTGTAGCATATGCAAAGGTCAAACTATAAATAACTCTGATAACTGTAATGATTGCATTAGAACCACCAAAATGNGATGGGGGCGTCGCGATAGGAGTGTATATAATGTTGTGAGTTTGAATATTTTGGTGTGGTCTCTGGGTCTAGAACTTCCTGTTGAAGTCTCTCACCAGGATCCACCGCACTTTGCAAACTGCTTTTCTATTTTCTGCAGAATAAACTCTTTTTCTTACCAATCCAATTTTGTTGGTATTTTAATCACGTTTCCAACAACCTCCAGCAGCCGCAGCAGAAAGCTCCGCTGAGCAACTCAGCACAAAAGTCCATGAGTAAAAAAGCACCCTTCACTAATGTTCCCCGATGTAGGGGACTCCGATTCCTACCAACCCTGGCTGATGCCATGCGGGCAGGGTACTATGGGAACTGAAGTCCAGGAGGAGGGCACTGGATGGGGGAAGGCAGAGGCCGAGGAGGGCAGTGGTTCCTGATCCTTGCAGGGAAGCCCCAAGGGGGGCAGTTAACTATGGCAGGAATTCATTAACATTGGGATGGGAGGCCACCAGGCTGTAAGTTGGACAAAAACAAACATCCTGCAAAGGGTCAAACCTTTTCCAGGCTCTTGCCAAGAGATCCGCATGATACCTTGGAGCTGAGCTTAATTCGAAGGAATTGTGCAGACTTCTCCTCCGTGTAAATTTAGGACACACACACCCTTCCAAGCATAGCGTTGCTCAGTCTCAGCTTCTTAAATGATGCAAGTTGAATTAAACCACTTTTTTCGGACTCGGCAGGATCCATCATACTATTTTTTCCCACACTCCAAATTTCTGCCCAAGTTTTCTCTTACTCAGCTTAGAAACTCCTTCCCCAAACGACACATGAACAATTTAAAAGAAAAATAAAAGTTTATTATACATGCTTATAACACACACACACACACACACACACACACACACACAGGCTTCCAGTCCTTGATTGAGGTTTGGGAAAACGCAAGCACAAGTCTCTATTTACACACACATACACACACCCAAATGCCCAGGCTCCTGGAGGGGTGGAGGCACGCTGGCCAGGCTGAATGTCATCCATCTGGCAGCTGCAGGTTGCTCGGAGCCCCCCCTCAAAACTCGGGCCCAGGAAAACACTTGGGAGTTGACTCTTTGCACAAAACAACGGGATAATGTCGCAATTTGCGGTTGTAGGTTGGCGCTTCCCTTTTGAAGCACAAACTGACATGCTTGTCGCATTCGCACGCCAAGGTGGCACACACTGATCTGTTCTTGTACTCTGCGGGAGGGAGAAGAGAGAATCAGCACAAAGAGCCCCCCTCCCCCCGGCTCAGACCCTTCCCCTCTTTTCCCCCCTGCAAAACTGTTTTAGATTTGTTGGTGTGAATACCACAAAACCTGGGAGAACTCACTGCAGAGGACGCTGTTGTTGATAATCAGGTATCTGTAGTGGTCAATGAAAGGGTGACAGCCTTGGTGGTGCAAATTTTCATAGCAGCAGTCGTGGTTATAGCAACACCTGGACCAGGGGGGCAAAAGGCAGATTTTGAGGAGGAAGGGAGGGAGGGAGAGAGAGAGAAGACACAATGACACAAAAAGTTTTCTTCCTGCACAGAAACACTTTTAAAGTCCTTTTCCTTCCTAGTGTTTTAAACCTGAAATGTGTTTTAATTGTTATTCAGATCCTTTCAAGATCTTGAGCCGCAGAGGGGGTTTGGGCGCTGCAGAAAGGGTGTCCTGCAACCTCTGGAAGAGGCAGGGGGGGCTGTTGGTGGCAGTGGGGAGGGGGAGCTGTGCTTGGCGGCCGCACTCACATGTCTGTGGGGTCCCTCGGCTTCCCTCGCCCGCCCTTCCCACAGTAGCAGCCGTAGCCGTTGAAATGCATGACCACGTTCTTCTGCGTGATCCGTTGGATCATCAGCTTGAAGTTGAGGAAGCTGCTGGCGGTGAGGGCAAACACTGCAAAAAGAGGGAAAAGAGGCTAGTCCTCAGGAGGACACTAGAAATGTCATGCAAGGGTGGATTTCAACTCCCAGAAGTCCCCAGCCAGCCAGTCTAACCCTAACCCATGTTTTAATACATAAATGCTTCTGCTTTTGTTTTTAAAGGGAAGGCAGGTATAGAAGCAGTTTGCTGTCCTTGGTGAGCCGAATGCAGGCAGAAGTTCCAAACTAAAAAAGGCTGAAAACTAAAACAGAAGGAGAAGGAAGTGAACACTGGAGAATAAAGGAAAAGGCCTGGGAGAGTAAGGGGAAAGCAGATTGTCCCCAAGATGTTTTTTTTTTCAAAAGGCAACTGGACTTTCTTCCTTTTGAAAAAACACCCTTGGCACAGCCAAGACCTGGATGACTGAGAATCTCCACGGACATTTAGGGAAGGTAGATCCTTCTTCCTCTTTTCAGGGGGGTGTCCATGATGAAGAGGATGATGAGAAACTCCAGAAGCTACCAGCACTTACTGCTCACCCCCAACACCACGGCTACGTGAGACAGCCTCATCTCTGTAAGTGCCTGGAAAAGGAGGAGAAGGAGAAACAGACGGCCGCCTTTATCATTTTTACAGATAACTCATAACAGAATAACAGAGCTGGAAGGGACTTCAGAGGTCTTCTAGTCCAACCCCTTGCACCATTCTGGACAAAGGGCTGTCCAGTCTCTTCTTGAAAACCTCCAGTGATGGAAGCACCCACAACTTCTGGAGGCAAGTAGTTCCACTGATCAATTGGTCTCATTGTCAGGAAATTTCTCCTTATTTCTAGGTTGCTTCTCTCCTTCATTAATTATCCTTGATCATCTTTATCCTCTCGGCATTCCTGGTTAATCTTTCTTACTCTTTTTGGGGGGTAGCGATCTGCTTAAATACTATTTTGCCCTTTGTTTTTTTCTCTTTTATTTCACTTCTTAATTGCAACTGAGCTGCATTTCCCAAATCAGGAAAGAAAGAGAACATGAGAAAAATCTCTCTCAAAGACACCCGTCATTTTGGAAACCGAAAGGGCTAGATCAAACATTTAAACGTTTGAGTTTAAACCCTTGCAGTCTGCAAAATTCAGCAGGCACTGGAAGGAGGAAGCTGCTGATGGATGGAGAGTACAAAGGAACTTTCTCAAAGGGGGTTTCTCCTTGTCTTACCCCCTTCGCCTTGGGAAAAGAGCCTGGAGGGGAAACCCACACCAAGAGAGGCAGGAAGCAGAAGTCGGACAAGTGGAACTTGGAATTTTACCCCTGCAATGGCTCAGCTGGGCTATAAACCTCATCCAGGTATGACGGGGAACTGTCCTCTCTCAGCTGGTCACCTCCCAGCTCTTTTCTCTGCACCGGAGGGCTCCATGGGGACCCCCTGGCAAGGCTTGAAGCCACAGACTGGGTTGTCCAAAAGCAAAGCTGTGTGACTCTCCCCCACTAGAGGGAACTGCTGCAGTTTTGTTCTGGAAGGCAACGTGATTGTGATGCAAGGAACTTTGGAACACTTGTGGGGGGAAAGGCAGGGCATGAGAGGACGTGGACAGCCGACCTTTCTCTGACGGGGCTGCCTGGGAAAATTTTCTCCTCCAGAGAAGGAGATACAAATGGAAAAAAACAGAGCAGGAACAGAATACAGAACAACAGAGTCAGAAGGGACCTCAGAGGTCTTCTAGTCCAACCCTCTCAAGCAGGAGACCCTAGACCATTTCACATAAAGGGAGGTCCAATCTCTTCCTGAAAACCTCCAACGTTGGAGCAGCCACAACTTCTGGAGGGAAGCCGTTCCACTGGTTGATTGTTCTCACTGTCAGGAAATTCCTCCTTATTTTGAGAATGGACCTCAGAATACAAAATAACAGAGTCGGAAGGGACCTTGGAGGTCTTCTAGTCCAGCCCCCTGCTCAAGCAGGAGACCCTGTACAATTCCAGAGAAGTGGCTGTCCGGTTCCTTCTTAACAGCCTCCAGTGATGGATCACCCACCACTTCCAGGGAGAAGCCGATCCACTGTTTAATTGTTCTCACTGCCAGGAAAACTTTTTCTTAGTTCTAGGCTGAATCTCTCTTTGATAATCCGTTACTTTTCGTCCTGCCCGCAGGTGCTTCGGAGAAGCTGTCTGACCTCGCAGGGTTGTTATGAAGCAGAGTCACGCTGACTAATGGACAGCTGGCTCTCAACAACCTGGGACTTCCTTCTAAGCAAACAGATTTCTTTTTTGTACTGAGCGAGTTCTCCTGAGTTTGCCTGCTCGTCTTTGTTCAACTATGCAGGGAAACGGGTCTGCCCAAACTGCTGAGGCTTCCTGTTTTTGGGAAGGGCAGGGCGTTCAAAGAAGCACAAAGAAACTGAACTTGAAATCCAGAGGGTGGGAATGCAAGGCAAGCAGAATTTTGAGGGAGGGGAGGGGAGTTGAATTCCAGAAGGGGGGCAGGTGCCTCTGGAGCCCTCTATAAACCCCGCAGGGAGACACGATCGACTTCTGCAGCCCAGAATCCTCTCTGTTGCACTACAGGAACAGGTAAGGGGGGGGACGGAGGGCAGGAGGGGCCCTGACACCCCACAACGGCTTCCCAGAAGTCTCTCCCCATTCTTTTTCTCCAGCAAGGCAGGTGTAAAATAAAATGCATTTGCAAAATTGTAAATTGCAAGGTTTCTGTCCATACGCAGAGTACAGCTTTCCCCCCCCTTCTGGTCTCCCATCCCCTTGAAAACAGAAGGCGAGGGTTCTCAGGTTGATTATGGGATAATTTGAGGGAGTGCTTGGATTAATTGGATTTTAGATTTTTGGGGGGGACCCTGACTTTATTCTTTTTATAAATAAATCCAGGCAGTAAAGGGAAGGGTGAAAAAAGGTCTCCTTGCAGCCACTTCTCTTAGGCCCTGCAAGGCATATTCTGGGAAGCCGCTGGCAATGCCCACCCCCCAAAAAAAATTCAGTCCCAGCACTTGAATGCCTTTCCCAGCCTTTGACTGCTGAAGATGGGTCCCTCCGTTCTGCTGCTGCTCCTGCTCGCTTCCAGTAAGGGCCAAAGGTGGCGGTTTCTCCCTCCCTGAGGAAGAGCTGGACAGCTGCCCCTCAGGGAAGGCTGCCTTGCTTTCCCTGCACTGTGCAGAGGGGTGGACTAGATGATCTTTGGGTCCCTTCCAACTCCACGGTTCTACGATTGGATGGCTCAGCCCAGAGCCCACCAGAAGACGGACCTTGCAGGCATCCAGCTGAGTTCAGCGATCCAAGCCGCCTTTTATTTTAATCACGAATAAGCCACAATTTAGCAGGATTCATGTAATGCCTCAGAGCACAAGCCAGGGTTTGGGGCTGGATTACATCACAGACGAAGCCTAATTTGCCAACCGCGCTTTGGCAGTGTGGGCTCTGAGAGGGAGGTTAACGTTCAGGACCAGGGACAGCGGCAAGCCAATGAGGGAGGCTGGATTTCTTTAATGACGGTGGGAAATGAAATTGGGCATGACTCATTTAGTGACCAAATTGTGGTTGGTCCAATTGAGGTCATAAATCAAAGACTTTCTGTAATTCCTTCATGCATTCACTTGGCATATTGCGGTGAAAATGGCAATGTATCAATCATAGGACATCACTAATAAATTAAGTTTCATCATGGTTTAAAGCAAGTTTCTCCAAACCTGGCCAGTTTAAGACCTGTGGGTTTCAACTCCCAGAATTCCTCTGCCAGCCAGCATGTAATTCTGGGAACTGAAGTCCACAAGTCTTAAAGTGATAGGCAGGTTGACTATCTTGTGTTTGCATTGTACACAAAGATGCGTAATAAGAGAGACTGCAAGCCGATTGAGTGCAAAGCTGGCACCTGTTTATTACTCAGTATTGCATTCAAAAAAATAGAGTTACACAACTACGATTGTGTAATTTGAGGGGTTTTTCCTGGCCTGCAGAGACTTAGCATGGCTCTGAATCCTCCTGGCAGTTAGAGGCCGGGTACTTCCAATATGTTTTTCTGTCGTATGTGTCCAGATTGTCTCGGAAGCAAATTGCTGCGGCCCTGTCGCACTCACAAACCTCCTTGCACGGGCCGTCCCCTCCTGCAGGCAGAGCAAACCCTGGTTAATCCTGCCCACCCTCTCGGAGGGCTCAGCCGAGGGCTGCAACTCCTGGCCTGGCCACCAGAGGGCAGCCGAGATGCAGGGAATCCTGACTGCGGCCCCCTGGTGGACAAGAGTTTTGCACCCCAGAGCAGCTTACAGGAAGGCACTGCAGGCTGCCCAAAGATGAGGAAAGGATCAACTCCAGCTTGGTTCTGGCTCGGGGAGCATTTGAACCCGGGTCTGTGCTTCCACTTACCGCAGATGATATCCCCGTTCTCTGAGCTGTAGGTGTACTTGCCCAGTTTGGGGTTGCAGCCGGTCACTTTTCCGTAACAGCAGTCGTGCACAAAACAGCAGCTGGAGGGAGGGAGGGAGAGCAGAGTTAGCGGAAAGAGGGTCCCCCGTCCAGCAATGGGTGTGAGGCGCTGGCACCCCAAGATTGGAAAATGATTGGGGTCCCCACTGGTCCTGCAGAGAGGCTCCCGGGTCCCAAGAACTCGTGTGAAATCAGACGCAGTGGAGATATTTTGCGGAAGTAAAATGGTCTGTTTGTGTGTTTGTTGTGTGTGTCCATGTGTGTCTTCTCCAAGCTGGTTCCTTTCCAACATCCGGAGCTGTGACAAACTCTGGATGGCGACTGAGGATGGGAGCTGTTCTGGGGTCAGAGGAAGGGACTCTCCCTCGTACAGATGGTCCTCGTCTTACAGCCACAGTTGAGGCCATTGCTGAGCAACACAGTCGTTAAGTGAGTTTCGCCCCCTTTTTATGACCTTTCTAGCCACTGCGGTTCTTAGCTTAGCAGTGCAGTTCTGAGGGGAATCCGCCTTTTCCCCCTTGATTTTGACCATCCAGAGGTCGCAAAAGGGGGATCACGTGAGCCCTGGACACTGTGACTGTCATAAATATGAGCCAGTTGCCGAGTGTCTGAATTTATTTCAGCCTCCCCCCCCCCTTGAAGGGAAGAAGGCTTCCTCACGGCCCTGCTGGAGGGATTCCACCTTCCGGTCATTGGGCGTTACGGGCTTACCGGTCGGTGGCGTCCTTTGGCGTGCCTCGGCCCCCCCAGCCGCAGTAGCATCCGTAAGCACTGTACGAAAGTATACCGCTTTTCTTCGCCACTTTCATGATCATATTCTCGAATTGCCACAGGCCCCCCTCGACTGTAAAAAGACAGAAAGTTTCAGCCTCCCTCGGCTTCTCTGTAGCGTTAATGGCAGAGGCTAGCAGTCCTCGCTTAACGACTACAGCAAAACATGATGTGGTGACATGATGCCTCACTTAACGGTGAATGTTTCTGTCCCGATGTCGGTCACTAAAGTCAAAGCCAACCTGTAACCCCTCCGTTTCACCTTCTGCAAAGAGAGCAGAATTAGCTGCCCATTTTACAGTTTTGCTTCACTCACCGCCCACCAGCAACACGGCCACTATCCAAAGAGTCCTCATCCTCCCGAATCCAGACCTGGGAATGGACAGACCCCGTTAATCGCCTCCGCTGGTGAAAAGTCTGGAAAATGGTCCTTAGAACGGTCACTAAACGAACGGTTGTAAGTCAAGGATAACCTGTAGGCAAGGATCAGAAGGAGAAGCCGGGCAGGGTAAAATGGCAACCATGTGGCTATTCACACCTGTCAGGCTCCCTCTGCTCCTCTGCCCCCTGGAGACGCGGCTGGCACCTTTTATGTGGTAGGGGAGGGACTTCCCCAGTCCTCCTGGCAGGTGATCCTCGCTGTCACCTGGCGGGCCATCTTCAGGAACTCTCCACGTGGGTTTCCTTCCCGTCTCCAAGCGAGGATCCCGAACTTCCGTCCCTTGGGGCATCCTCGGGTGGCAGATGGAGTTGGGGGTCTCGTGGGTGAGATTGAGGAGGGGGCTTTGCACCTCTTGAGTAGGATCCCTTAAGGCCAGGCAGTTCTCTGTTGGGTCCACCCAACCGCAGAGCATTTTCCTAATCTGGGTGCGCCAGATGTTTGGACAAAATGAGGCCGTCAGTTGGAATTCGTTCCTAGGACCTTAAGGCCTCAAAACAGCCAAGTGAGTTCCCGCTTCTTCCCCACTGCTGCGTTTCATAACACTGCGTTTCATAACACTGATGAAATGTTGTGGAAACCTTGAAAGGGGGTCTGTCCTGAGGGACCCCCCTGTTATCAATTACCCAGGGGTGGATTAATCCATTAGAAATAAATCCTGCAATTTAATGCAGTAGTCCTCGAATTACAGCCAGAACTGAGCAGCAAGGACCCCATAGTCCTCCTCCTCCTCCTCTCTGCAGCCCCCCTCCCTTCTACCACTGATGTAATTCTGGGAACTGAAGCCCACAAGTCTTAAAGTGGCCAGGTTTGGGGACCCCTGGTTTAAAGGCCACAAAGTCCTGGTTTGCACTAGACAACCCACAAATCTAATTTGGGATGCTTCTCGGTTCCTGGCATTTCAACCATCGTTGTTTTCCAGAGTTGACCGTGATCCACGGAGGCTTGGTGCAACTCTACCCCATGGTCACTCAAGTAACCGGCAAGAAAGCCGTCCCACATTATTCCTCCTGTGGGGGCCACTGCGGCCTGGGGGGCAGAGGGAGACCCAAGGATGCCACTGACAGGTAAGGGGGGTGACCACCCACCATGTCCACTTCTCTGAGAAGCTGGCGAACCTCCAGATGTTCTGGGCTCCCAGAATTCCGTCTGAAAATATTTGAAAGGCCCCATGGAGGCCGAAGGGAAAAGGCGGGGGGCAGAGTCCCTCCCGGGAGTCACCCCCTCTTTGCCTGCTCCCCCAGGTGTTGCCAGAGGCACGGCTGCTGCGACCACCAGCTGCAGAAATGGGGGTTCCGTCCCCAAATCACCTGCTACCCCTACAGTTACCGCTGGGGGGAGATCCAGTGTGGTGAGTTGGGCTGGGTGTAGGAAGCTTGCAGGAGCTATTTTGGGGCACGCACACACACACACACACAAACACGCACAAAGACAGCCAGCAGGCCAAAGGGATCTCCTCTCTGGATCGGCAACCCCAGCGGCCCCGATCCTGAGAATCTGCTTTCTAGAACAACGTGAAAGAAGGGCCTTGAAAGATCCCAGCCAAAGCTGCCCAACAGGCGTGAATTCCCAGCCCTCCTTGGTTTCCTCGGAAGTTATTCCCGGGGAAGATCGGCAGGCAGCGTTCACACGGCCCTCTGAACACCCCTCCAAATTCAGCAAGGATAAATCTGAGCTGGGAAAATGCAGCCACAAGGTGACTCCGCAGGTAGCCTGACGGGTGAATTCAGCATCTGGCTGAGATCCAATTTTTATTTCTTTATTATGGAATTTATTTGCCACCCATCATACCGTGGAGGATTTTGCAACCATATGTGTACATTTTTGTTTGTTTATTATGAGACTTATTTGCTGTCTGTCTTGTATGAAATGACTCTGGGCGCCTTGCGGCATAAAAAGCATTAAAATCATCAGATACAACAAAAGCAGACTAAGTAAAATCATTTTAATGCAAGATGGCAAAGGACACACGGGGAGGGGGGCAGATGGGAGGAGCTTTTAATTAGTCAATTTGAAGACATTGCAGGCTCATCAGTTGGAAAGGGGGGTCAGACTAGAAGACCTCTAAGTTCCCTTGCAATGCTAGGCTTCCCCCAAGGGCGCTCCCTGCCTGGGCTGCCAAAGGGTGGCCTTTGCTCCCCTCTAGTAGCCACTCAGGCTGGCTGCCTAAGCTGAACCCCTACATTCCAGCTTCCCAACCCCCTCCTCCTGCACCCCCTCTCCCCCATCACCCCCTCTCCCCCATCACATCTTTCTCCTTGGGGTCCCCTCTCCTCCACGTATGGGTCTCTCCTACGGCAGGCAGCGGGGCCAACAGGAGAGCTGCAGCTGTGACCGGGCGCTGGTGCTGTGTGTAAAGCAAAATGTAGGCCGATACCAGAAGACATACACCTTCTACCCAAACCTCCTGTGCAGGGGACCGGCTCCCCACTGCTGATGCCTGGGGGGGGGATCTTGCCTTGAAGATTGCCAAGCGTGTCAAACCAGAAATTGAGAAATAAAAAACTCTTAAACTCTCTTGTCCTTGTGTGGGGAGACTCTGGGCCCACACATCTGAGACACACAATTTTTCACACAAAAAGGGGAGGTAACTTAGTGCCCCAAAGTTTAGGGCTGAGATAGCAACCCCAGAGGGCTCCTCCAGCAGCCGGGGATCTTGAGGGGGCCGGGTGGGTGGCTGGGAGGGCACTTTTGCATCCGATGGACGAATCTGTCTGTCCTCGGGGGCACACCTGCCGCCGGAGTGAGGCTGGTGGGGTGCTGGGTGCTCTCTGAGGCTGGAGGTTGACTTGCAGATGTTTCATGACACAACTAGGTAAGATCATGAGTGGTAGAAGGGAGGGGGCTGCAGAGAGGAGGAGGAGGAGGACTATGGGGTCCTTGCTGCTCACTTCTGACTGTTATTCGAGGATGACTGCATTACATTGCAGGATTTATTTCTAATGGATTAATCCACCCCTGGGTAATTGATAACAGGGGGTCCCTCAGGACAGACCCCCCTTTCAAGGTTTCCAAAACCTTTCATCAGTGTTATGAAACGCAGCAGTGGGGAAGAAGCAGGAACTCACTTGGCTGTTTTAAGGCCGTAAGGTCCCAGGAACGAATTCCAACGTATGGGCTCATTTTACACAAACATCTGGCACACCCAGATTAGGAAAATGCTCTGCGGCTGGGTGGACCCAACAGAGAACTGCCTGGCCTTAAGGGATCCTACTCAAGAGGTGCAAAGCCCCCTCCTCAATCTCACCCACGAGACCCCAACTCCATCTGGGCCTCAGCCAGCCTGTTCAACAGCCCCCAATCTATGGATCCCCCTGTGGGCCAAACAGTGGATATATCCTGGTGACAAAGGGCATTGTATTTAATCAGAGTTTGAATTTCATATCCCAATGTGTTTTAAGCTTACCAAAGTTCCTTATGACACACTCAAGGGGGCTGAAGGCACATTCCTTCTTTTTATTCATTCTAACAGGTCTTCCTGGGGCTGAGCCCATGTGTTCAAGTCACTCACACCACTTGCACAGCCTGTTAGGCCACAAGAGATCCACTGACCTTCGGCTAACATCAGTGTCATGCCTAGGCCTGGTCAACAGCGGGAAATATATGTAAGTAGCAACCAGAAACCTCAGAGCAACCACAAGTTCAACACTCACATCCCGTTGGAGCATGAGAGTACAAGGTTAGCCCCCCTTGCTTTCTAAACACCCCCAGACATTAGGGGTCTAGGTGCAGCTGAGGCAAACCCGCCCAGTTTGGTCAACGGTGGGAAATGATTCAAGGAAACAAGCACACTTTTACACAAACACACACACACACACACACACACACACTCCCCTAGGAAAGCCTCTGCAACAGAGCAATGTGTATCTTTGTATCTTACGCTATCTTCAGCCCTCCTGAGCATGCAGGAACCAAGTAAAAGGCAACCAAAAAAGAAGAAAAAAACTGGTTCCTACTAAAATCCACAGTGAAGAGTCAAGAAGGGGGGGGGAACCTCCAGGAAATCCCGGAGCGCGCTTGGCGCCTTCCCCTTTCCTGGGCCTCCCTGGGACCAACCGAGCACCTCTCCTGCAAGCCCTGCTCGCCAAAAATGCTGTGCAGCTTCTGAGGTTTTGCTTGATAAAAACATACAGGAAGTTTCCTTTAAGCTTTACGTTTTTATTCAGCTGAACAAAGACGGGCTCCTCTAAAAGAGAGAAGCCCCGAATGACAAGAAAGCCTTGTATTTATTCCTTCTGATTACATTTATTCCTTCTGATTACACCCAGCAAAGATCAAGATTTCACCCAGTAAGTCTGGCACACTGTAGCTAAGAAGGGAGAAAGCAGAAGTAGCTAAAAATGTTCCCTTTTGGGTGTTTCCCTAAAGACATCGGACGTTCCTGGGTGGGTTAAAACATGGGCTGTTTTCCTTGCTGCCCTTTCATGATCTGCATCCAGGACTCTGCAAGGGCCCAAAGTCAGCAGGGCCACCTACACATATTCACAATTAATACTTCCTATGCTGTCTCCTAATTCCAGGTCAACAGAGCCTCTGGCAGGAAAAGTTTTAATGAGGAGTAAGAGTTCTTCTGAAGCAGGGATTCATACCCCTGCCCATCAACCACTCCTACTGTCCGGGCGGTGACGTGAAAAGGGATCGGGCCCTCCCCTCCTCTGGTAAAATCTCCCCCCCCACCACTGCAAAAATGCATCGTACACAAAGATGCGTAATAAGAGAGACTGCAAGCCAATTGAGTGCAAAGCTGGCACCTGTTTATTACTCAGTATTGCATTCAGAATAACACAATTATGATTGTGTAATTTGAGGGGTTTTTCCGGCCTGCAGAGACTTAGCATTTCGGTGACTCCTCTATGCAACGAGACTTCCCGTATCTTTCATATTCTTTGTTGTATGTGTTCAGATTGTCTCGGAAGCACATTACCGCAGCCTTGTCACACTCACAAATCTGCTTCTCACACTCGGTGCCCTCTCCTGCAGGCAGAGCAAACCCTGGTTAATCCTGCCCACCCTCTCGGAGGGCTCAGCCTAGGGCTGCAAATCCTGGCCTGGCCACCAGAGGGCAGCCGAGATGCAGGGAATCCTGACTGTGGCCCCCTGGTGGACAGGAGTTTTGCACCCCAGAGCAGCTTACAGGAAGGCACTGCAGGCTGCCCAAAGATGAGGAAAGGATGAACCCCAGCTTGGTTCTGGCTCGGGGAGGATTTGAACCTGGGTCTGTGCATCCACTCACCGCAGACGATATCCCCTTTCTTCTGGCTGTAGGGATAAATGTCCAATTTGGGGCTGCAAGTGGTCAGTTTTCCATAACAGCAATCGTGCACAAAGCAGCAGCTGGAGGGAGAGAGAGGGCAGGGCAGAGTTAGCCGAAAGAGGGTCCCCCGTCCAGCAATGGGGTGAGGCGCTGGCACCCCAAGATTGGAAAACGATTGGGGTCCCCACCGGTCCTGCTGAGAGGCTCCCGGGTCCCAAGAACCCATGTGAAATCAGACGCAATGGAGATATTTTGCAGAGGCAAAATAGTCTTTTTGTGTGTTTATTTTGTGTGTGTGTGTGTGTCTGTGTGTGCCTTTTCCAAGCTGGTTCCTTTCCAACATCCGGAGCTGTGACAAACCCTGGATGGCGACTGAGGACGATGGGAGCTGTTCTGGGGTCAGAGGAAGGGACTCTCCCTCGTACAGATGGTCCTCGTCTTACAGCCACAGTTGAGGCCATTGCTCAGCAAGACAGTCGTTAAGTGAGTTTCGCCCCCTTTTTATGACCTTTCCAGCCACTGTGGTTCTTAGCTTAGCAGTGCAGTTCTGAGGGGAATCCGCCTTTTCCCCCTTGATTTTGCTCATCCAGAGGTCGTAAAAGGGGGATCACATGAGCCCGGGACTCCGTGACCGTCATAAATATGAGCCAGTTAATAATAATAATAATAAAGTAGGAAGGGACCTTAGAGGTCATCTAGTCCAACCCCCTGCTCAGGCAGGAAACCCTATACCATTTCGGACAAATGGCTGTCCAGTTTCTTCTTAAAAACTTCCAGTGTTGGAGCATTCACCGCTTCTGGAGGCAGGTTGTTCCACTGGTTAATTGTTCTAACTGTCAGGAAGTTTCTCCTTAGTTCTAGGTCGCTTCTCTCCTTGGTTAGTTTCCACCCGTTGCTTCTTGTCCTGCCTTCAGCTGCTCTGGAAAAGAACTTGACTCCCTCTTCTTTGGGGCAGCCCCTGAGATACTGGAACATGGCTATCAATTCCCCCCTCGTCCTTCTCTTCGTTAAACTAGACATACCCAATTCCAGCAACCGTTCCTTATGTTTTAGCCTCCAGTCCCCTAATCATCTTTGTTGCTCTTCTCTGGACTCTTTCTAGAGCCTCAACATATTATTTACATCGTCGTGACCAAAACTGGATGCAGTACTCCAAGTGTGGCCTTACTAGGGCATTGTAAAGTGGTATTAATACTTCACGTGATCTTGATTCTATCCCTCTGTTCATGCAGCCCAGCACTGTGTTGGCCTTTTTGGCAGCTGCAGCGTACGGCTGGCTCATATTGAAGTGATTGTCCACTAGGATTCCGAGGTCCCTCTCACAGTTACTACTATTGAGCAAGGTACCCCCTATACTATACCTGTACATTTGGTTTTTCTTGCCTAAATGTAGAACCTTACTTTTTTCACCATTGAATTTCATTTTGTTAGATAGCGCCCGGTGTTCAAGTCTGTCCAGGTCCTCCTGTATCCTAAGCCTGTCTTCTGGAGTGTTGGCTATTCCTGCCAGCTTGCTGTCGTCTGCAAATTTGATGAGTTCCCCATCTATCCCCTCTGAATGTATTTATTTTGTCTGAATTTATTTCAGCTTCCCCCCCCCCCCTCTTTGATGGGAATAAGGCTTCCTCAAGGCCCTGCTGCAGGGATTCCACTTTCTGGTCATTGGGCATTACAGGCTTACCGGTCGGTGGCGTCCTTTGGCTCGCCTCGGCCCCCCCAGCCACAGTAGCATGCGTAAGACAGGTAGGTGGTAAGAGGGTTTTTCCCCGTCGCTTCCTTGATCATCTTCCCGAATTGCAGCAGGTTCCCTTCGACTGTAAAAAGACAGAAAGTTTCAGCCTCCCTCGGCTTCTCTGTAGGGTTAATGGCAGATGCTGGCAGTCCTCGCTTAACGGCCACAGCAAAACAAGATGAGATGACAGGATGCCTCGCTTAACAGTGAATTTCCCTGTCCCGATGTCGGTCACTAACGTCAAAGCCAACCTGTAACCCCTCCGTTTCACCTTCTGCAAAGAGAGCAGAATTAGCTGCCCATTTTACAGTTTTGCTTCACTCACCGCCCACCAGCAACACGGCCATTATCCAGAGAGTCCTCATCCTCCCAAATCCAGACCTGGGAATGGACAGACCCCGTTAATCGCCTCCGCTGGTGAAAAGTCTGGAAAATGGTCCTTAGAACGGTCACTAAACGAACGGTTGTAAGTCAAGGATGACCTGTAGGCAAGGATCAGAAGGAGAAGCCGGGCAGGGTAAAATGGCAACCATGTGGCTATTCACACCTGTCAGGCTCCCTCTGCTCCTCTGCCCCCTGGAGACGCGGCTGGCACCTTTTATGTGGTAGGGGAGGGACTTCCCCAGTCCTCCTGGCAGGTGATCCTCGCTGTCACCTGGCGGGCCATCTTCAGGAACTCTCCAGGTGGGTTTCCTTCCCGTCTCCAAGCGAGGATCCCGAACTTCCGTCCCTTGGGGCATCCTCGGGTGGCAGATGGAGTTGGGGGTCTCGTGGGTGAGATTGAGGAGGGGGCTTTGCACCTCTTGAGTAGGATCCCTTAAGGCCAGGCAGTTCTCTGTTGGGTCCACCCAACCGCAGAGCATTTTCCTAATCTGGGTGTGCCAGATGTTTGGACAAAATGAGGCCGTACATTGGAATTCGTTCCTGGGACCTTAAGGCCTTAAAACAGCCAAGTGAGTTTCCGCTTCTTCCCCACTGCTGCGTTTCCTAACACTGATGAAAAGGTTTTGGAAACCTTGAAGGGTGTGTGTGTCCTGAGAGACCCCCGTTTTCAATTACCCAGGGGTGGATTAATCCATTAGAAATGAATCCTCCAGGCTCAGAGAGCACCCAGCACCTCACCAGCCTGACTCTGGCAGCAGGTGTGCCCCGAGTACAGACAGATTCGCCCATCGGATGCAAAAGTGCCCTCCCAGCCACCCACCTGCCCCCCTCAAGATCCCCGGCTGCTGGAGGAGCCCTCTAGGGTTGCTATCTCAGCCCTAAACTTTGGGGCACTAAGTTACCTCCCCTTTTTGTGTGAAAAATTGTGTGTCTCAGATGTGTGGGCCCAGAGTCTCCCCACGCAAGGATAAGAGAGTTTAAGAGTTTTTTATTTCTCACTTTCTGGTTTGACACACTTGGCAACCTTCAAGGCAAGACCCCCCCCCCCAGGCATCAGCAGTGGGGAGCTGGTCCCCTGCACAGGAGGTTTGGGTAGAAGGTGTATGTCTTCTGGTACCGGCCTACATTTTGCTTTACACACAGCACCAGCGCCCGGTCACAGCTGCAGCTCTCCTGTTGGCCCCAGTTGGCACTGCTGCCTGCCATAGGAGACACCCATACATGGAGGAGAGGGGACCCCAAGGAGAAAGATGTGAGGAGCCTGTTGGGCTGCCTGTTGGGCAGCTTTGGCTGGGATCTTTCAAGGTCCTTCTTTCACGTTGTTCTAGAAAGCAGATTCTCAGGATCGGGGCCAATGGGGTTGCTGATCCAGAGAGGAGATCCCTCTGGCCTGCTGGCTGTGTTTGTGCGTGTTTGTGTGTGTGTGCGTGCCCCAAAATAGCTCCTGCAAGCTTCCTACACCCAGCCCAACTCACCACACTGGATCTCCCCCCAGCGGTAACTGTAGGGGTAGCAGGTGATTTGGGGATGGCAGCCCCGTTTCTGCAGCTGGTGGTAGCAGCAGTCGTGCCTCTGGCAACACCTGGGGGAGCAGGCAAAGAGGGGGTGACTCCCGGGAGGGGGTGACTCTGCCCCCCGCCTTTTCCCTTCAGCCTCCATGGGGCCTTTCAAATATTTTCAGACGGAATTCTGGGAGCCCAGAACATCTGGAGGCTCGCCAGCTTCTCAGAGAAGTGGACGTGGTGGGTGGTCACCCCCCCTTACCTGTCAGTGGCATCCTTGGGTCTCCCTCTGCCCCCCAGGCCGCAGTGGCCCCCACAGGAGGAATAATGTGGGACGGCTTTCTTGCCGGTCACTTGAATGACCATGGGGTAGAGTTGCACCAAGCCTCCGTGGATCACGGTCAACTCTGGAAAACAACGATGGTTGAAATGCCAGGAACTGAGAAGCATCCCAACCACAATTTGGTCACTAAATCAGTCATGCCCAATTTCATTTCCCACCGTCATTAAACAAATCCAGCCTCCCTCACTGGCTTGCCGCTGTCCCTGGTCCTGAACGTTAACCTCCCTCTCAGAGCCCACACTGCCAAAGCGCGGTTGGCAAATTAGGCTTCGTCTGTGATGTAATCCAGCCCCAAACCCTGGCTTGTGCTCTGAGGCATTACATGAATCCTGCTAATTGTGGCTTGTTCGTGATTAAAATAAAAGGCGGCTTGGATCGCTGAACTCAGCTGGATGCCTGCAAGATCCGTCTTCTGGTGGGCTCTGGGCTGAGCCATCCAATCGTAGAACCGTGGAGTTGGATCATCTAGTCCAACCCTCTGCACAGTGCAGGGAAAGCAAGGCGGCCTGCCCTGAGGGGCAGCTGTCCAGCTCTTCCTCAGGGAGGGAGAACCCGCCACCTTTGGCCCTTACCGCATGTGACCGTGTCTTTCCTGATGGAGTAGAAATATTTCTCCATTTTGGGTTTGCAGTGGCGCCACGACAGGGCCTGATAGCAGCAGTCATGAACTTGGCAACACCTGGAAGCAACGAACAGAACCACAATTGTGCGGCCAAGGTAACAACGTCACTGCATCCGTCTCGGCATCCGGGGCCGTTGGGCGCCTGCCTGGGACAATATTTTGAAAGCAAACTCTGAAAACGTGAGCGAAGGCCAGGTGGCTTTGTGGTTTTCACAGGGAATAAGTGGTTTAAGGTCACTTCGGGACCTGGGGCCACGTCGCCCGTGTCTGGTTCTTGGATTTTAGGGGGGACAACCACCCTCTGGCTGACTTAAGAATTGCAGTGATCCGCTCAGCCACTGTAGCAAGAAACGCTGTAAAATGGGGCAAAAGTCACTTAATAACTGTCTCAGTTATTTTGGTGTTAACTGTGGTCATAAGGCGAGGACTGCCTGTATCCCAGAAGGTGTCGGGGGCAGCAGGGGTGGCGGGGAGAAGCAGTCCTGAAATAGGAATTTTATTTATTTTTAAACTTATTTGCCGGTACAATTAAAAAGGAAGGCCAATGAAAAGGCTCGTAAAGCTAAGAAGCAGAACGATGCCCATTTCCGGGACCAAACCCTTAAGCGGGAAGGGAGCTGGGTGAAGAGAGCTGCCTGTGGAGAGGCCAGCCGCTGACCTCTGCCACCCGAGGCTGCCCCAGGGATGGACGATCGGGTTTCGCTTGGAGACGGGAAGGGAAACCGCCTGGAGAGGTTTCTGAAGAGGGCCCTCCAGATGAGAGCAAGGGTCACCTGCCGGGAGGACTGGGGAAGCCCCTCCCCGCCACATAAAAGGTGCCAGCACCATCTCCAGGGGGCAGAGGAGCAGAGGGAGCTTGGAGGGAGAAGCTGGGGTGCTTCCGGACCCCCCCTTGACCCTGACACAAGGCCGCCAGGTGTAGCCACATCGTTGCCATTTTCCCCTGCCCGGCTTCTCCTTCTGATCCTTGCCTACAGGTTATCCTTGACTTACAACCGTTCGTTTAGTGACCGTTCTAAGGGCCATTTTCCAGACTTTTCACCAGCGGAGGCGATTAACGGGGTCTGTCCATTCCCAGGTCTGGATTCGGGAGGATGAGGACTCTCTGGATAATGGCCGTGTTGCTGCTGGGCGGTGAGTGAAGCAAAACTGTAAAATGGGCAGCTAATTCTGCTCTCTTTGCAGAAGGTGAAAGGGAGGGGTTACAGGTTGGCTTTGACGTTAGTGACCGACATCGTGACAGGGAAATTCACCGTTAAGCGAGGCATCCTGTCACCACATCATGTTTTGCTGTGGCTGTTAAGCGAGGACTGCCAGCATCTGCCATTAACCCTACGGAGAAGCCGAGGGACGCTGAAACTTTCTCTCTTTTTCCAGTCGAGGGGAGCCTGATTGAATTGTGGAAGATGATCAAGGAAGAGACGGGGAAAAACCCATTTCCCTCCTACACCTTTTACGGATGCTACTGTGGCCTGGGGGGCCAAGGCCGGCCACGGGACGCCACTGACCGGTAAGCCCGTAACGCCCAATGACCAGAAGGTGGAATCCCTCCAGCAGGGCCCTGAGGAAGCCTTCTTCCCTTCGTGGGGGGGGGGGGAGGCTGAAATAAATTCAGACACTCGGCAACTGGCTCATATTTACGACGGTCACGGAGTCCCGGGCTCTGACCCCAGAATAGCTCCCATCATCCTCAGTCGCCAGCCAGGGTTTCTCGCAGCTCTGGATGTTGGAAAGGAGCCAGCTTGGAGAAGGCACATGCACACACACACACACACAACAAACGCACAAACAGACCATTTTGCCTCTGCAAAATATCTACATTGCAAATGATTTCACACGGGTTCTTGGGACCCGGGAGCCTCTCTGCAGGACCGATGGGGACCCCAATTGTTTTCCAATCTTGGGGTGCCAGCACCTCACCCTCATTGCTGGACGGGACACCCTCTTTCCACTAACTCTGCCCTGCCCCCTCCCTCCCCCCTCCAGCTGCTGCTTGATGCACGACTGCTGTTACGAGAATCTGACCGGCTGCGACCCCAAAAAGGACCGCTACTCCTATAGCTGGGAGAACAAGGCCATCGTCTGCGGTGAGTGGATGCACAGACCCGGGTTCAGATGCTCCCCGAGCCAGAACCAAGCTGGGGTTGATCCTTTCCTCATCTTTGGGCAGCCTGCAGTGCCTTCCTGTAAGCTGCTCTGGGGTGCAAAACTCCTGTCCACCAGGGGGCCACAATCAGGATTCCCTGCATCTCGGCTGCCCTCTGGTGGCCAGGCCAGGTTTTGCAGCCCTCGGCTGAGCCGTCCGAGAGGGTGGGCAGGATTAACCAGGGTTTGCTCTGCCTGCAGGAGAGAAAAACCCACCATGCCTGAAGCAGGTGTGTGAGTGCGACAAGGCCGTGGCAATCTGCCTCCGAGACAATCTGGACACGTACAACAAAGAATATCAGTTTTATGGGGACTTTCGTTGCAAGGAGGGTCCAAAGAAATGCTAAGTCTCTGCAGGCCCGGAAAAACCCCTCAAATAACACAATTGTAGTTGTGTTACTCTATTATTCTGAATGCAATACTGAGTAATAAACAGGTGCCACCTTTGCACTCAATGGGCTTGCAGTCTCTCTTACTACGCATCTTTGTGTACGATGCGAACGCAAGATAGGAAGCCTGCCTATCCACTCAAGATTTCCTGCTTCCCTCTTGTCAATTTGGGAGCTTCAGAAAATTAACATTATAGTCCTCAAGGTTCTGAATAAAGGAATTAGAGAGGATGCCTTCCACTGAGCTAGGATACAGAGTCAAGTTGAAAACCTGGGGACCGAAAGAGAAACGGAGAGGCTCTGCCCCAAAGCAGCTTTAAAAAAGCCATTTAAGATTCTAGTCCTCATGGAACCCTTTTGTGCGACAAATCATCTCTTTCACAAAGCATTTTTGCAGGGGGTGGAGAGAGGAAGATTTTACCAGAGGAGGGGAGGGCCCGATCCCTTTTCACGCCACCGCTCGGAGCGTAGGAGTGGCTGATGGGCAGGGGTGTGAATCCCTGCATCAGAAGAACTCTTACTCCTCATTAAAAATTTTGCTGCCAGAGGCTCCTTTCTTTATATTGCAGTTTTTAAAACTTATTCCAGCATTTTTTCCTTGTGTTTTTAATCCAGGCCGATTGCAGGCTTAATAGAGGGGGTGCAAAATAAACACACACTGAAGGACTTGCTGGCACCGCTGGCACCACAGATATTTATAGCTCAGGGTTGAATTGGGGGGTCCTGGGTGCTCTCTGGGCTTGGTGGTTTCCTTGCAGACGTTTCATGACCCAGCCAGGTAACGTCATCAGCAATGCTACCTCGTTTGGTGATGAAACATCTGCCACAACACAACCCAGCTCAGAGAACATCCAGGACCCTCGTGTGCTCCAAGAGCTGCACAATTTTGTTCCGTCTCCTGCTTGAGCAGGGGGGTTGGACTAGAAGGCCTCTGAGGTCCTTTCCTTCCAGCCCTGCATGGGTCAGAATTGCACGCTCAGGGAAGGCCAAATCCTGTTTGGACGGGGGAGCAGAAGAGGACCGCCTGGGGGATGGGGCGGGGGTGACCTGGGAGGGGTTCCTGCTTCTCCTCAGCTGAAGGGGCACCTGTGGATCTAAGGAGCTCCTCCAGAGTCCCCCCCCATTTCTCAGAGGGCACCTCCGCCCACCTCTGCTCTCTTTCGCATCCGGCGGGCACCAGCGGAGTGGCAGGCAGTCCTAAGTTTACAACTGTTCACTTAGTGACCGTTCAAAGTTACAGTGGATAAAATTCAGGAACCAGACACGGGCGAGGTGGCCCCGGGTCCCGAAGTGACCTTAAACCACTTATTCCCTGTAAAAACCACAAAGCCACCCGGCCTTCGCTCACGTTTTCAGAGTTTGCTTTCAAAATATTGTCCCAGGCAGGCGCTCAACGGCCCCGGATGCCGAGACAGATGCAGTGACGTTGTTACCTTGGCCGCACAATTGTGGTTCTGTTCGTTGCTTCCAGGTGTTGCCGAGTTCATGACTGCTGCTATCAGGCCCTGTCGTGGCGCCACTGCAGACCCAAAATGGAGAAATATTTCTACTCCGTCAGGAAAGACACCATCACTTGCGGTACGTGGGGACACAAACCATGTCGGCGCAAACTTGGGTAACAGTGAAAAGCTCCCAGAATCCCCTGAAAAAGCCAGGCTGGCTGGGGATGCTGGGGTTTGAAGTCCACATGACTGGAGGGGGCCGGGAAGATCAGCTGGCCCGGCCCTTTGCATCACACAGCACGGTGCCCGCGTTCCGATGTAATATTATGGGTGACCCTTGACTTACGACTGACAAGATTTTATGATTTGTTTTTTGCAAGGGTCGTAACCAAACAAAGCCGTCCACAATGGGCATTTTTTTTGCCTGAAAATAAACAATTCTGAGCAGAAAAAAAGTCATAAACTGAGGCTAGGGGTCTGCAGGAGGCTTGCAAACAGCCATAAATGCAGATTGGTCGCTGAGCAGCCAAACTTTATTTCTTAATTTGTCACCTATTTCACCAAGGGGATAAAATGCTGTCTTAAAATGTGGCCAGGGAGAGGGCAGGCATCAAGAGTTTGAATCTGGGTCATAAGTCCCTTTTGGGGGGGGGGGTCCATTGTAACATCTATCCATCCCTAAGCAACCAGGCATTAAGCGAGGAACATTTTCACCTGATTTCTTTACGATGAAGATCATGAGTGGTAGAAGGGAGGGGGCTGCAGAGAGGAGGAGGAGGACTATGGGGTCCTTGCTGCTCACTTCTGGCTGTAATTTGAGGACTACTGGCTGTAGTCTGGCTATAATTCGAGGACCCAACAGGGAACTGCCTGGCCTTAAGGGATCCTACTCAAGAGGTGCAAAGCCCCCTCCTCAATCTCACCCACGAGACCCCCAACTCCATCTGCCACCCGAGGATGCCCCAAGGGACGGAAGTTCGGGATCCTCGCTTGGAGACGGGAAGGAAACCCACGTGGAGAGTTCCTGAAGATGGCCCGCCAGGTGACAGGGAGGATCACCTGCCAGGAGGACTGGGGAAGTCCCTCCCCTACCACATAAAAGGGGCCAGCCGTGTCTCCAGGGGGCAGAGGAGCAGAGGGAGCCTGACAGGTGTGAATAGCCACATCGTTGCCATTTTCCCCTGCCCGGCTTCTCCTTCTGATCCTTGCCTACAGGTCATCCTTGACTTACAACCGTTCGTTTAGTGACCGTTCTAAGGGCCATTTTCCAGACTTTTCACCAGCGGAGGCGATTAACGGGGTCTGTCCATTCCCAGGTCTGGATTCGGGAGGATGAGGACTCTCTGGATAATGGCCGTGTTGCTGCTGGGCGGTGAGTGAAGCAAAACTGTAAAATGGGCAGCTAATTCTGCTCTCTTTGCAGAAGGTGAAACGGAGGGGTTACAGGTTGGCTTTGACTTTAGTGACCGACATCAGGACAGGGAAATTCACTGTTAAGCGAGGCATCCTGTCACCACATCTTGTTTTGCTGTGGCCGTTAAGCGAGGACTGCCAGCATCTGCCATTAACCCTACGGAGAAGCCGAGGGAGGCTGAAACTTTCTCTCTTTTTCCAGTCGAGGGGAGCCTGATCGAATTGGGGAAGATGATCTTCCAAGAGACGGGGAAAAACCCTGTTAAAAACTACGGCTTATACGGATGCAACTGCGGCGTGGGGAACCGAGGCAAGCCAGTGGACGCCACCGACCGGTAAGCCCGTAATGCCCAATGACCAGAAGGTGGAATCCCTCCAGCAGGGCCCTGAGGAAGCCTTCTTCCCTTCAAGGGGGGGGGGGAGGCTGAAATAAATTCAGACACTCGGCAACTGGCTCATATTTATGACGGTCACGGAGTCCCGGGCTCACGTGATCCCCCTTTTGCGACCTCTGGATGAGCAAAATCAAGGGGGAAGAAGGCAGATTCCCCTCAGAACTGCACTGCTAAGCTAAGAACCGCAGTGGCTAGAAAGGTCATAAAAAGGGGGCGAAACTCACTTAACGACTGTCTTGCTCAGCAATGGGCTCAACTGTGGCTGTAAGACGAGGACCATCTGTACGTGGAAGAGCCCCTTCCCCTGACCCCAGAACAGCTCCCATCGTCCTCAGTCGCCATCCAGGGTTTGTCACAACTCCGGATGGTGGAAAGGAACCAGCTTGGAGAAGGCACACACGGACACACACAACAAACACACAACAAACACACAACCAGACCATTTTGCCTCTGCAAAATATCTCCATTGCAAATGATTTCACACTGTACTCTGCAGGACCGGTGGGGACCCCAATCGTTTTCCAATCTTGGGGTGCCAGTGCCTCACCCCCATTGCTGGACAGGGGACCCTCTTTCCGCTAACTCTGACCCGCCCCGTCCCTCCCTCCCTCCCTCCAGCTGCTGCTTCGTGCACAAATGCTGTTACAAAAAAGTGACTGGCTGCGACCCCAAAAAGGACCGCTACTCCTATAGCTGGGAGAACAAGGCCATCGTCTGCGGTGAGTGGATGCACAGACCCGGGTTCAAATGCTCCCCGAGCCGGAACCAAGCTGGGGTTGATCCTTTCCTCATCTTTGGGCAGCCTGCAGTGCCTTCCTGTAAGCTGCTCTGGGGTGCAAAACTCCTGTCCACCAGGGGGCCACAATCAGGATTCCCTGCATCTCAGCTGCCCTCTGGTGGCCAGGCCAGGTTTTGCAGCCCTCGGCTGAGCCGTCCGAGAGGGTGGGCAGGATTAACCAGGGTTTGCTCTGCCTGCAGGAGAGAAAAACCCACCATGCCTGAAGCAGGTGTGTGAGTGCGACAAGGCCGTGGCAATCTGCCTCCGAGAAAATCTGGGCACGTACGACAAAAAGCATAGGGTTACCGTGAAATTTCTTTGCAAGGCGCCAGAGTCATGCTAAGTCTCTGCAGCCCGGGGAAAACCCCTCAAATAACACAATTGTAGTTGTGTTACTCTATTATTCTGAATGCAATACTGAGTAATAAACAGGTGCCACCTTTGCACTCAATCGGCTTGCAGTCTCTCTTACTACGCATCTTACTACTACGCATCTTTGTGTACAATGCAAACACAAGATAGGAAGCCTGCCTATCCACTCAAGATTTCCTGCTTCCCTCTTGTCAATTTGGGAGCTTCAGAAAATTAACATTATAGTCCTCAAGGTTCTGAATAAAGGAATTAGAGAGGATGCCTTCCACTGAGCTAGGATACAGAGTCAAGTTGAAAACCTGGGGACCGAAAAAGAGACACGAAGAGGCTCTGCCCCAGAGCAGCTTTAAAAAAGCCATTTAAGATTGTAGTCCTCATGGAACCCCTTTGCGCAACAAATCTTCTCTTCCACAAAGCTTTTTTGCAGTGGGGGGGGGAGGAAAACTTTACCAGAGGAGGGGAGGGCCCGATCCCTTTTCACGCCACCGCCTGAAGAGTAGGAGTGGCTGATGGGCAGGGGTGTGAATCCCTGCGTCAGAAGGGAGAGAATCAAGATCACGTGAAGTGTTAATACCACTTTACAATTCCTTGGTAAGGCCACACTTGGAATACAGCATCCAGTTTTGGTCACCACGATGCAAAAAAGTTGTTGAGACTCTAGAAAGAGTACAGAGAAGAGCAACAAAGAGGATCAGGGGACTGGAGGCTAAAGCATACAAGGAACGGTTGCTGGAATTGGGTCTGTCTAGTTTAACGAACAGAAGGATGAGGGGGGACATGATAGCCATGTTCCAGTATCTCAGGGGCTGCCCCAAAGGAGAGGGAGTCAAACTATTCTCCAAAAGTGCTTGAAGGCAGGACAAGAAGCAACGGGTGGAAACTCACCAAGGAGAGAAGCAACCTAGAACTAAGGGGAAACTTCCTGGCAGTTAGAACAATTAACCAGTGGGACCACCTGCCTCCAGAAGCGGTGAATGCGCCAACACTGGAAGTTTTTAAGAAGAAACTGGACAGCCATTTCTCCGAAATGGTATAGGGTTTCCTGCCTGAGCAGGGGGTTGGACTTGATGACCTCCAAGGTCCCTTCCAACTTTATTATTGTTATTGTTATTATTATTATTGCTCAAAGATGGCCGGCATGCCTTTGGGCTGCAGCAGCTGCCGTTCTCCTTTTGGAGGCTGCTGAACAACTAATGTTTGGGGCCCCTATCACAGTGGAAACACTTCATTCCATCCAGGAACTCTTAGCCTCCAAGGGGGGCCATTGGCTTGTAGCCCCCCGTCTGGAGCAGTATCTGATTGCTCCCCTTGACAACCCACAAGTTCGTATCAAGTGCAGGGCAGGTTCAATCCAGCAAGCTCTCTTCCCCAACTGGCACAGGATGGAGATCATGACTGTGTGCGAACTATTCCTGCAGTGTTCACTGGCCAGCCGGATTGAACCGACCAGGCACGAGGGGACGCGGACAGGGACCTGCACACAGACGGCAGCAGCTTTATGAGACGGGGGGGGGGGGGAAGGCTAGCTGGCTCTGCCACGGCCGCCTTGGGTCAGGTAGTGGAAGCAGCCGCTCGCCCTGCAGGTGCTTCAGCTCATCGTCTTGACGAGGGCCTTGGAAAAGTCAGACGGTGCGGTTAATGGGTCTTTGTTCAGCTGAATAAATACGTAAAGCTTAAAGGCAACTTCTGGTTCCCTGTGTTTTTTTTTACCAAGCAAAACCGCACAACCTGCACAGCAGCTCCTTTGTTTATACTGCGGGTTTTAAAACTTATTCCAGCATTTTTTCCTTGTGTTTTTATTCCAGGCCGATTCCACGCTTAATAGAGGGCGTGCAAAATAAACACACACACAAGCAATTGCTGGCACCGCCGGCATCACACAGGCCGAGGGAGAGAGAGCAAGAGCGTTGTGTTTGCGTTTTGTTGGCTGCTTAAAACAGCTTCCTGGGGTGTGGACACAGGACACCCCCATTTCTGGCCGTCTGGGAGAAGGACCGGAAGTTGGAGGACCGAGTCTGCTTCCTTTGGAGACCAAATGGCAGATAGGACTCGGCTTGCATTTCACTTAGTGAACGTTTGAAGTTACAGTGAAAAGAGTGACTTACGACCGTTTTTCACACTTACGACCATTGCAGCATCACCTGATCAAAATTCAGACACTTGGCAACTGACTCACAGTTATGACGGTCGCAGTGTCCCGGGGTCATGTCATCCCCTTTTGCGACCGTCTCACAAGGAAAGGCAATAGGGAAGCCAGATTCACCTCACAACCAGGTTACTAACTTATCAACTGCAGTGATTCGCTTAACAACTGCCGCAAAAAAGTCGTAAAATGGGGCAAAACTCAATTAACACATGTCTCACTTAGCAACAGGAATCTTGGGCTCAATTGCAGTCGTAAGGCGAGGACCACCTGTGTGTAAGCTAAGCCTGGTGGGGAAACTACAAACGCACACACAAACGCACCCTGGAGAGCCTGCCAACAGGGAAACCGAGTCCGGAAGTCGTCCGGAAGTCGCTGTCCATCTTTCCAAAGTCCTGAGTGATCCCACAAATATTTTTTCTTAGGAAGAACATAAAGGACGATGTGCTAGACCAGGGGTAGTCAACCTTGGCTCTTTTATGACTCGTGGACTTCAACTCCCAGAATTCCTGAGCCAGCTGGCTCAGGAATTCTGGGAGTTGAAGTCCATAAGTCATAAAAGAGCCAAGGTTGACTACCTCTGTGCTACACTTTGTTATAGGGGCACCATAAGTGCCTCAATGACTAGCCCCCCCCACAGGTGTCCAGAAAGACAGACAGAGCGAAAGGAAGATGCCGTCACAGCACTGAGGTCAACCACGGTCATCTAAGTATAGGTCAACGGTTTCAAAGGTACCGGAAACCCTCTCCGGCCCAGTCGACTGGAGTGGGCGTCGAGACGGGGTCCAGTCTAACCCGGGTGCCTGGTCAAAGGGGTCAAGGTGGTCGAACCTTAAAACGGTCCCCGACTCTTCGGTAGTTTTCTAGGAAACTCCTGTTCCTGACCCGTTTGTAGAGGAATACTTCTTGATTCTTCCTTCAAGTGCTTCCTTTGAACTTTCTCCCCGCTGTCCTGTGGGGCGGATACTTGACACCACCCAAGTCCTCAAAGGTGCTGAGCTTTTGAAGGGCTCTCCGTGGTCAAGGAGGGAAGCCGTGCTGACTGCCGAGGAGAAGGGACGTGTTTCCTTGTCCTCTGAGGTGGGCAGAGCACAAACGAAGCCCCGTGGGATTCTCTGCGCACCCCATTTCTAGCAGAACGTGGGCAGAAGAAGGTAAGAGAGACGTGAGGAGAGGATTGATGCAGACCGACTGGAGAAATAGATCAGATATTTAAGGCGAAGAAGAAGAGCAGACTCAGGGAAAACAAGATGGCGGCGTTGAGGTAGAAAAACGAACCGACAAACAAGATGGTCAAGAAGTTATATTCCACATCCACAAGAACTAAACTGGATTAAATTTGGATTATTCCAAATTTGGATTAAAAAATTCAGATCCAAGTTGCAATCAGCAGGATTAAATACAGGGAATCCTCGACTTACAATCATTCGTTTAGACGGTCTCGGGCCGTACTATTAAACGCCGTGGATGTGCCTGCTTGGTTTTCTGGCTTGTCGGAGAGAGTGATCTGGATGGGCTTTGTGGTCCTTTCAAAGTGGGGTTTGCTGGGCTACGTAATTTCCGAACCACCCTTATGACTAGGTTGACCTTCAGGATCCTGGACAGTGGCTGAACATCCTCGGGGGATCCTTCCATCTCTATGTATCCGCCACTCAAAGGTTCACCACAAATTAGATCCACCACAAATCGAGTGTCAAAAGGGTGTTGCTTCTCCTAGCATCTCCGGGTTGCTGACTTGGAGACTGCGTGTAATTTGTAGCCCTGGAGCTTTATGGAAGGACTGGGGAGGTGGTGGGCCTGGCTGACCGTCTTGGTTTTGCACACACCCTCTGAAAACACCTCGATGATGCCTGCAGGCCTCCCCGGATGAGTTGTGTCTTTTCCCCTTCTTTTGATCCGAGGTTGACAGATCCTGACCTGCTCTGACAAAGTTTGAACTTTTCTAGCTGTCAAGGAAAAAACAACAACTCTTGGGCTGACACTCACGGCATTTTGTTCAGCGCTGAAGGCAGAGCCACCGTGAGCCGGGGTGGACCACAAACTCCATTGTCCTGTAAGCCTCCACTGGTTGGGCTTCCTCTGGAATTCTGGGAAGTGGAGTTAATCAGCTGGAAGGGGCTGGACTAGAAGACCTCCAGGGTCCCTCCCAACCCAAGGACTGTACAGTTTCTTGTCCGGTTTGCTGTTCCATCCAGGAAGGGAGGAAGACTCCACACCCTCTTCAGGATGGCCTGTCTGCTTGGAGGCAGCAGCCCAGTCCTTCTCCTCTGCGGTAGGTCCTCGCCTTAAAGATGGCGGGGAGGGAAGGGGTGGACGAAGGAAAGGCCGAGGCAGAACCCAGCGGAGGCAAGGAAGGGGAACATTCTCCAGATCTAGGGGTTGTTAACTCCATTACGAGTCCCTTATAATAAGGTTGTCGGGTCTAATTCTTCTTAGCGGTTCTCCTTCTTCCCACAAACCTCAAAATGTCTAGTTATTTCCTTATAAACGTCGAGTCCCAACTTACCGCTCCCCCCCCAGGACCCGCGAGAGACCCGGACCACCAAAGGAACGTCTGCAAAGTACTGGGTCGGTCCATTGCAGTAGTCGTTAGCTACCTCGCTTGGTGATGAAACATCTGCCACAACACAACCCAACTCAGAGAATATCCAGGAGCCTCGTGTGCTCCAAGAGCTGCACAATTTTGTTCCGTCTCCTGCTTGAGCAGGGGGGTTGGACTAGAAGGCCTCCGCGGTCCCTTCCTTCCAGCCCTGCATGGGTCAGAATTGCACGCTCAGGGAAGGCCAAATCCGGTTTGGACGGGGGAGCAGGAGAGGACCGCCTGGGGGACGGGGCGGGGGTGACCCGGGCTGGAATAGCCGGGAGTGGGGCGATGGCTACCCTCTCGGTCTCCCTTCCAGTTCCGCTCTTGGCCAACGCCAATTTGATCCAGTTTGGCCACATCATCGAGCACTTGACCGGAAGACGCCCCCTGATTTACAACGGCTACGGCTGCTACTGCGGGCTGGGCGGTTCCCGGCAGCCGGTGGATGCCACCGATTGGTAAGGGGGCGGGGCCTCGGGTGACCTGGGAGGGGTCCCTGCTTCTCCTCAGCTGAAGGGGCACCTGTGGATCTAAGGAGCTCCTCCAGAGCCCCCCCATTTCTCAGAGGGCACCTCCGCCCACCTCTGCTCTTTCGCATCCGGCGGGCACCAGCGGAGTGGCAGGCAGTCCTCAGTTTACAACTGTTCATTAGTGACCGTTCAAAGTTACAGTGCATAAAATTCAAGAACCAGACACGGGCGAGGTGGCCCCGGGTCCCGAAGTGACCTTAAACCAGTTATTCCCTATGAAAACCACAAAGCCACCCGGCCTTCGCTCACGTTTTCAGAGTTTGCTTTCAAAATATTGTCCCAGGCAGGCGCCCAACGGCCCCGGATGCAGAGACGGACGCAGTGACGTTGTTACCTTGGCCGCACAATTGTGGTTCTGTTCGTTGCTTCCAGGTGTTGCCGCGTTCATGACTGCTGCTATCAGGCCCTGTCGTGGCGCCACTGCAAACCTGAAATGGAGAAATATTTCTACTCCGTCAGGAAAGACACCATCACTTGCGGTACGTGGGGACACAAACCATGTCGGCGCAAACTTGGGTAACAGTGAAAAGCTCCCAGAATCCCCTGAAAAAGCCAGGCTGGCTGGGGATGCTGGGGTTTGAAGTCCACACGACTGGAGGGGGCCGGGAAGGTCAGCTGGCCCGGCCCTTTGCATCACACAGCACGGTGCCCACGTTCCGATGTAGTATTATGGGTGACCCTTGACTTACGACTGACAAGATTTTATGGATTTTTTTGCAAGGGTCGTTAACCAAACAAAGCCGTCCACAATGGGCATTGTTTTGCCTGAAAATAAACAATTTTGAGCAGAAAAAAAGTCATACATTGAAGCCAGGGGTCTGCAGGAGGCTTGCAAACAGCCATAAATGCAGAATGGTTGCTAAGCAGCCAAAATTTATTTCTTAATTTGTCACCTATTTCACCAAGGGAGTAAAATGATGTCTTAAAATGTGGCCAGGGAGAGAGCAGGCATCAGGAGTTTGAATCTGGGTCATAAGTCCCTTTTTTGGGGGGGTCCATTGTAACTTCTATCCATCCCTAAGCAACCAGTCATTAAGCGAGGAACATTTTCACCTGATTTCTTTTTGATGAAGATCATGAATGGTAGAAGGGAGGGGGCTGCAGAGAGGAGGAGGAGGAGGACTATGGGGTCGTTGCTGCTCAGTTCTGGCTGTAATTTGAGGACTACTGCATTAAATTGCAGGATTTATTTCTAATGGATTAATCCACCCCTGGGTAATTGAAAACAGGGGGGTCCCTCAGGACAGACCCCCCCTTTCAAGGTTTCCAAACCTTTTCATCAGTGTTAGGAAACGCAGCAGTGGGGAAGAAGCAGGAACTCACTTGGCTGTTTTAAGGCCTTAAGGTCCCAGGAACGAATTCCAACTTATGGCCTCATTTTGTCCAAACATCTGGCACACCCAGATTAGGAAAATGCTCTGCGGTTGGGTGGACCCAACAGAGAACTGCCTGGCCTTAAGGGATCCTACTCAAGAGGTGCAAAGCCCCCTCCTCAATCTCACCCACGAGACCCCCAACTCCATCTGCCACCCGAGGATGCCCCAAGGGACGGAAGTTCGGGATCCTCGCTTGGAGACGGGAAGGAAACCCACGTGGAGAGTTCCTGAAGATGGCCCGCCAGGTGACAGCGAGGATCACCTGCCAGGAGGACTGGGGAAGTCCCTCCCCTACCACATAAAAGGGGCCAGCCGTGTCTCCAGGGGGGCAGAGGAGCAGAGCACAGGTGTGAATAGCCACATCGTTGCCATTTTCCCCTGCCCGGCTTCTCCTTCTGATCCTTGCCTACAGGTCATCCTTGACTTACAATCGTTCGTTTAGTGACCGTTCTAAGGACCATTTTCCAGACTTTTCACCAGCGGAGGCGATTAACGGGGTCTGTCCATTCCCAGGTCTGGATTCGGGAGGATGAGGACTCTTTGGATAGTGGCCGTGTTGCTGCTGGGCGGTGAGTGAAGCAAAACTGTAAAATGGGCAGCTAATTCTGCTCTCTTTGCAGAAGGTGAAACGGAGGGGTTACAGGTTGGCTTTGACATTAGTGACCGACATCGGAACAGGAAAATTCACTGTTAAGCGAGGCATCGTGTCACCTCATCTTGTTTTGCTGTGGCCGTTAAGCGAGGACTGCCAGCATCTGCCATTAACCCTACGGAGAAGCCGAGGGAGGCTGACACTTTCTGTCTTTTTCCAGTTGAAGGGAACCTGCTGCAATTCAATAAAATGATCAAGATAATGACGAAGAAAAACGCTATTCCCTTCTACAGCTCTTACGGATGCTACTGTGGCTGGGGGGGCCAAGGCAAGCCAAAGGACGCCACTGACCGGTAAGCCCGTAACGCCCAATGACCGGAAGGTGGAATCCCTCCAGCAGGGCCGTGAGGAAGCCTTCTTCCCTTCAAGGGGGGGGGGGAGGCTGAAATAAATTCAGACATTCGGCAACTGGCTCATATTTATGACGGTCACGGAGTCCCGGGCTCACGTGATCCCCCTTTTGCGACCTCTGGATGAGCAAAATCAAGGGGGAAGAAGGCAGATTCCCCTCAGAACTGCACTGCTAAGCTAAGAACCGCAGTGGCTAGAAAGGTCATAAAAAGGGGGCGAAACTCACTTAACGACTGTCTTGCTCAGCAATGGGCTCAACTGTGGCTGTAAGACGAGGACCATCTGTACGAGGAAGAGTCCCTTCCTCTGACCCCAGAACAGCTCCCATCGTCCTCAGTCACCATCCAGGGTTTGTCACAACTCCGGATGTTGGAAAGGAACCAGCTTGGAGAAGGCACACACGGACACAAACATACACACGGACACACAGACACACAAACACACTATTTTGCCTCTGCAGCAGGGGTGGTGGGGAGAAGCAAGCGTGAAATGCAAGCCGAGTCCTAGCTGCCATTTGGTCTCCAAAGGAAGCAACCTCGGTCTTCCACCTTCCAGTCCTTCTCCCAGCCGACCAGAAATGGGATCACGAAGCCCACACGGGTGTGTCCTGTGTCCACACCCCAGGAAACTGTTTTAAGCAGCCAACAAAACGCAAACACAACACTGTCGCGTTCTCTCCCTCGGCCTGTGTAATGCCAGCGGTGCCAGCAATTGCTTGTGTGTGTGTGTTTATTTTGCCTCTACAAAATATCTCCATTGCAAATGATTTCACATGGGTTCTTGGGACCGGTGGGGACTCCAATCGTTTTCCAATCTTGGGGTGCCAGCACCTCACCCCCATTGCTGGACGGGGGACCCTCTTTTGGCTTACTCTGCCCCGCCCCCTCCCTCCCTCCCTCCCTCCCTCCAGCTGCTGCTTCGTGCACGACTGCTGTTATGGAAAACTGACCGACTGCAGCCCCAAATCGGACATCTATTCCTACAGCTGGAAGACCGGGATTATCATTTGCGGTGAGTGGATGCACAGACCCGGGTTCAAATGCTCCCCGAGCCAGAACCAAGGTGGGGTTGATCCTTTCATCATCTTTGGGCAACCTACAGTGCCTTCGTGTAAGTTGCTCTGGGGTGCAAAACTCTTGTCCACCAGGGGGCCGCAATCAGGATTTCCTACATCTCCACTGCCCTCTGGTGGCCAGGCCAGGATTTGCAGACCTAAGCTGAGCTGTCCAAGAGGGTGGACAGGATTAACCAGGGTTTGCTCTGCCTGCAGGAGAGGGCACCGAGTGTGAGAAGAAGATTTGTGAGTGCGACAGGGCTGCGGCAGTCTGCTTAGGACATAATCTGCGCACGTACAAGAAAAGATATATGTTTTACCCGGACTTTCTTTGCACGGACCCTTCAGAGAAATGCTAAGTCTCTGCAGGCCGGGAAAAACCCCTCAAATTACACAATCATAATTGTGTTATTCTGAATGCAATACTGAGTAATAAACAGGTGCCAGCTTTGCACTCAATCGGCTTGCAGTCTCTCTTACTACGCATCTTTGTGTACAATGCAAACACAAGATAGGAAACCTGCCTATCCGGCTGCCCACTGAAGATTTCCTGCTTCCCTCTTGTCAATTTGGGAACTTCAGAAAATTAACATTATAGTCCTCAAGGTTCTGAATAAAGGAATTAGAGAGGATTCCTTCCACTGAACTAGGATACAGAGTCAAGTTGAAAACCTGGGGACCGAAAGAGACACGGAGAGGCTCTGCCCCAGAGCAGCTTTAAAAAACCATTTAAGATTGTAGTCCTCATGGAACCCCTTTGCGCGAGAAATCTTCTCTTCCACAAAGCATTTTTGTGGGGGGGGAGGAAGACTTTACCAGAGGGGAGGGTCCGATCCCTTTTCATGCCACCACCGAAGAGTAGGAGTGGCTGATGGGCAGGGGTGTGAATCCCTGCATCAGAAGAACTCTTACTCCCCATTAAAAATTTTCCTGCCAGAGGCTCTGTTGACCCAGAATTAGGAGACAGCATAGGAAGTATCAATTGTGAATATGTGTAGGTGGCCCTGCTGTCTTTGGGCACTTGCAGAGTCACGGATGCAGGATCATGAAAGGGCAGCAAGGAAAACACCCCATGTTTTAACCCACCGAGGAACATACAATGTCTTTAGGGAAACCCCCCAAAGGGAACATTTTTAGCTACTTCTGCTTTCTCCCTTCTTAGCTACAGTGTGCCAGACTTACTGGGTGAAATCTTGATCTTTGCTCGGTGGATTGCTTATGTAATCAGAAAGAATAAATACAAGGATTTCTTCTCATTCGGGGCTTCTCTCTTTTAGAGGAGCCCGTCTTTGTTCAGCTGAATAAAAACGTAAAGCTTAAAGGAAACTTCCTGAATGTTTTTATCAAGCAAAACCTCAGAAGCTGCACAGCATTTTTGGCGAGCCAGGCTTCCAGGAGAGGTGCTCGGTTGGTCCTAGGGAGGCCCAGGAAAGGGGAAGGCGCCAAGCGCGCTCCGGGATTTCCTGGAGGTTCCCCCCCTTCTTGACTCTTCACTGTGGATTTTAGTAGGAACCAGTTTTTTTCTTCTTTTTTGGTTCCCTTTTACTTGGTTCCTGCATGCTCAGGAGGGCTGAAGATAGCGTAAGATACAAAGATACACATTGTTTTGTTGCAGAGGCTTTCCTAGGGGAGTGTGTTTGTGTTTGCGTGCGTGCGTGCGTGTGTGTGTGTGTAAAAGTGTGCATGTTTCCTTGAATCATTTCCCATCGTTCACCAAAGCTGGGTGGAAGAGTTTGCCTTAGCCGCACCTAACCGCCTGCCAATGTCTGGGGGTGTTTAGAAAGCAAGGGGGCTAACCTTGTACTCTCGTGCTTGTGAGTGTTGAACTTGTGGTTGCTCTGAGGTTTGTGGTTGCTCCTTATATATATTTCCCGCTATTGACCAGGCCTAGGCATGACACTGATCTTAGCCAAAGGTCAGTGGTACTTGGTCTCATCCAGTGGCCTATTTCTCCAAACAACTTGATCCGCATCTACATGGAGGGAAGTGTGTAGTGGGGTGCCCCAGGGCTCTGTTCTGGGCCCAGTGCTCTTCAACATCTTCATCAACAATTTGGACGAGGGCATAGTACCCCTTGAGTAGTTTAAACGTCTGCTATGGTTCGACCGTCCTTATCGGTTGTGAGGTCTTCTGTCCGAATCCTATGTCCTCCTAGACCTGTCTGAACTTGTGACCCGCGATAGATTGTTTTACTTTAAGTTACCACTTTTTTCATTCCAAGATGTAAATCCGTTCTTTTTGGTTTACATGTCCATATCATATCGGGGGTAACTTGCTCAATAGTAGTAACTGTGAGAGGGACCTTGGAGTCCTAGTGGACAATCATTTAAATATGAGCCAGCAGTGTGCTGCAGCTGCCAAAAAAGCCAACACAGTGCTAGTCTGCATGAACAGAGGGATAGATCACGTGAAGTATTAATACCACTTTACAATGCCTTAGTAAGACCACACTTGGAATACTGCATCTAGTTTTGGTCACCACGATGCAAAAAAGATGTTGAGAGTCTAGAAAGAAAAAAAGAGAAGAGCAACAGAGATGATCAGGGGACTGGAGGCTAAAGCATATAAGGAACGTTTGCTGGAATTGGGTATGTCAGGTTTAATGAAGAGAAGGACGAGGGGGGACATGATAGCAGTGTTCCAGTATCTCAGGGGCTGCCACAAAGAAGAGGGAGTCAAGCTATTCTCCAAAGCACCTGAGGGCAGGACAAGAAGCAATGGATAGAAACTAATCAAGGAGAGAAGCAACCTAGAACTAAGGAGAAACTTCCTGGCAGTTAGAACAATTAACCAGTGGAACAACCTGCCTCCAGAAGCAGTGAATGCTCCCACACTGGAAGTTTTTAAGAAGAAACTGGACAGCCATTTCTCCGAAATGGTATAGGGTTTCCTGCCTGAGCAGTGGGTTGGACTTGATAACCTCCAAGATCCCTTCCAACTTTATTGTTGTTGTTGTTATTATTATTATTGCTCAAAGATGGCCGGCATGCCTTTGGGCTGCAGCAGCTGCCGTTCTCCTTTTGGAGGCTGCTGAACAACTAACTTTTGGGGCCCCTACCACAGTGGAAACACCTCATTCCATCCAGGAACTGTTAGCCTCCAAGGGGGGCCATTGGCTTGTAGCCCCCCGTCTGGAGCAGTATCTGATTGCTCCCCTTGACAACCGACAAGTTCGTATCAAGTGCAGGGCAGGTTCAATCCAGCAAGCTCTCTTCCCCAACTGGCACAGGATGGAGATCATGACTGTGTGCGAACTATTCCTGTAGTGTTCACTGGCCAGCCGGATTGAACTGACCAGGCACGAGGGGATGCGGACAGGGACCTGCACACAGACGGCAGCAGCTTTATGAGACGGGGGGGGGGGGAAGGCTAGCTGGCTCTGCCACGGCCGCATTGGGTCAGGTAGTGGAAGCAGCCGCTCGCCCTGCAGGTAGTTCAGCTCATCGTCTTGACGAGGGCCTTGGAAAAGTCAGACGGTGCGGTTAATGGGTCTTTGTTCAGCTGAATAAACACGTAAAGCTTAAAGGCAACTTCTGGTTCCCTGTGTTTTTTTTTACCAAGCAAAACCGCACAACCTGCACAGCAGCTCCTTTGTTTATACTGCGGGTTTTAAAACTTATTCCAGCATTTTTTCCTTGTGTTTTTATTCCAGGCCGATTCCACGCTTAATAGAGGGCGTGCAAAATAAACACACACACAAGCAATTGCTGGCACCGCCGGCATCACACAGGCCGAGGGAGAGAGAGCAAGAGCGTTGTGTTTGCGTTTTGTTGGCTGCTTAAAACAGCTTCCTGGGGTGTGGACACAGGACACCCCCATTTCTGGCCGTCTGGGAGAAGGACCGGAAGTTGGAGGACCGAGTCTGCTTCCTTTGGAGACCAAATGGAAGATAGGACTCGGCTTGCATTTCACTTAGTGAACGTTTGAAGTTACAGTGAAAAGAGTGACTTACGACCGTTTTTCACACTTACGACCATTGCAGCATCACCTGATCAAAATTCAGACACTTGGCAACTGACTCACAGTTATGACGGTCGCAGTGTCCCGGGGTCATGTCATCCCCTTTTGCGACCGTCTCACAAGGAAAGGCAATAGGGAAGCCAGATTCACCTCACAACCAGGTTACTAACTTATCAACTGCAGTGATTTGCTTAACAACTGCCGCAAAAAAGTCGTAAAATGGGGCAAAACTCAATTAACACATGTCTCACTTAGCAACAGGAATCTTGGGCTCAATTGCAGTCGTAAGGCGAGGACCACCTGTGTGTAAGCTAAGCCTGGTGGGGAAACTACAAACGCACACACAAACGCACCCTGGAGAGCCTGCCAAAAGGGAAACCGAGTCCAGAAGTCGTCCGGAAGTCGCTGTCCATCTTTCCAAAGTCCTGAGTGATCCCACAAATATTTTTTCTTAGGAAGAACATAAAGGACGATGTGCTAGACCAGGGGTAGTCAACCTTGGCTCTTTTATGACTCGTGGACTTCAACTCCCAGAATTCCTGAGCCAGTTTAGCTAAGCTGGCTCAGGAATTCTGGGAGTTGAAGTCCACGAGTCATAAAAGAGCCAAGGTTGACTACCCCTGTGCTAGACTTTGTTATAGGGGCACCATAAGTGCCTCAATGACTAGCCCCCCCCCCAGGTGTCCAGAAAGACAGAGAGAGCGAAGGGAAGATGCCGTCACAGCACTGAGGTCAACCACGGGGTAGATTCATATCCAGTTGCCAAAGTTTCCATGGCCTTTGGGAGAGGCCGGGTCAGCTGACCTCACCCGCAGCTCTGCCCCAGGTCAGATTGGGCCCACGGACCAGTTTCCCCAGTTCCACCAGCTTGGAATTTTGCCAGGGGCTGAGAAGCCATCAAAAGATCCTTTGAGGACAAGGACTGGGCAAACATCTCCTTATNTGCTCAGGGAATATTATTCCAACAGCCCAGATTAAGAAGAATCGCCAAGAGGAAGAAGGGTGTTTGGAGTTTTACAGATCAATAAAGGAATATTTGCAGCTCAGGGTTGAATGGCGAGGGGGGGGTCCTGGGCGCTCTCTGGGCCTGGTGGTTTCCTTGCAGACGTTTCATGACCCAGCCAGGTAACGTCATCAGCAATTCTACCTCGTTTGGTGATGAAACATCTGCCACAACACAACCCAGCTCAGAGAACATCCAGGAGCCTCGTGTGCTCCAAGAGCTGCACAATTTTGTTCCGTCTCCTGCTTGAGCAGGGGGGTTGGACTAGAAGGCCTCCGAGGTCCCTTCCTTCCAGCCCTGCATGGGTCAGAATTGCACGCTCAGGGAAGGCCAAATCCTGTTTGGACGGGGGAGCAGGAGAGGACCGCCTGGGGGACGGGGCGGGGGTGACCCGGGCTGGAATAGCCGGGAGTGGGGCGATGGCTACCCTCTCGGTCTCCCTTCCAGTTCCGCTCTTGGCCAGCGCCAATTTGATCCAGTTTGGCCACATCATCGAGCACTTGACCGGAAGACGCCCCCTGATTTACAACGGCTACGGCTGCTACTGCGGGCTGGGCGGTTCCCGGCAGCCGGTGGATGCCACCGATTGGTAAGGGGGCGGGGCCTCGGGTGACCTGGGAGGGGTCCCTGCTTCTCCTCAGCTGAAGGGGCACCTGTGGATCTAAGGAGCTCCTCCAGAGCCCCCCCATTTCTCAGAGGGCACCTCTGCCCACCTCTGCTCTCTTTCGCGTCCGGCGGGCACCAGCGGAGTGGCAGGCAGTCCTCAGTTTACAACTGTTCACTTAGTGACCGTTCAAAGTTACAGTGGATAAAATTCAGGAACCAGACACGGGCGAGGTGGCCCCGGGTCCCGAAGTGACCTTAAACCAGTTATTCCCTGTAAAAACCACAAAGCCACCCGGCCTTCGCTCACGTTTTCAGAGTTTGCTTTCAAAATATTGTCCCAGGCAGGCGCCCAACGGCCCCAGAGACGGACACAGTGATGTTGTTACCTTGGCCGCACAATTGTGGCTCTGTTCTTTGCTTCCAGGTGTTGCCAAGTTCATGACTGCTGCTATCAGGCCCTGTCGCAGCGCCACTGCAAACCCAAAATGGAAAAATATTTCTACTCCATCAGGAAAGACACCGTCACTTGTGGTATGTGGGAACACAAATCATGTCGGCGCAAACTTGGTAACAGTGAAAAGCTCCCAGAATCCCCTGCGAAAGCCAGGCTGGCTGAGGATGCTGGGGTTTGAAGTCCACACGACTGGAGGGGGCCGGGAAGATCAGCTATTTTATACCCCCTATTTTACCAAGGGGGTAAAAGGCTGTCTTAAAACATGGCCAGGGAGAGGGCTGGCATCAGGAGTTTGAATCTGGGTCATTAGTCCCTTTTTTTGGGGGGGGGGGTTCCATTGTAACTGCTAACCGTCCCTAAGCAACCGGTCATTAAGTGAGGAACGTTTTCGCCCGTGATTTCTTTTCGATGAAGTGTTTCTCCCAGGGATGCTGTTTGAGAACCGCCTCTCCAAATTTGGGGGAAGGTCCCAGTTGGATGGGAGGGGCTCCCAGATCAAAACCAGGCGAGGAAAGACCCCCCCCTCACGGACCCCTCTCCTCTCCAGGTGGGGAGACCGAGTGCCGGAGGGAAACCTGCGAGTGTGACAAAGCCGCAGCCCTCTGCTTCCGCCACTCGAAGTTTCAAGGCCAGTACATCCGCTACCGCAACCGCCTGTGCGAAGGACCCACACCGCCTTGCCAGGGGGTCTGCCCCCGCTGGGCCCCCACGAAGGGGGGCTGAGGCCGGCCCTCCCGAAACCGCCCCGTCCCTGCACGGCCTCCTCTTGCACGTCTCCGGATTGTGTTTTCGTGTGCAATAAAACAACGGTTCAAAGCTACGACGGACTCGGCCAGGGGTACTCTAAGAGGGGCGTTTATGATTTGGGGGATGGTTTTCGAAGCATCCCTCCCTCGAAGCGGACGACGGCTGCCCTCGCCCTGCGGCCACGACTGGGATCGGAGGGGCCCGGTCATTCCATACCCTGCGTCCCAGGAGCAGCAATTTCTTCCTTTCCCAAACTTGTCAGAGGACTGAGTTGTTTCCACAGCAGGGCAACACCCCCCCCCCACCTTCCCGGGGGGTAGAACCACATATCAAGGCATCCCACTGACGCACACTTTGGAAGGAGCTGGAGACAAAGGAAGGCAGGAGCCGTCTTTGGGGGAAAACGGGTCCTTTAAGGGAAAAACAGCAACCGGCTATTTCATCAACGTGGATAAACTTACAAAATGAACTGAAAAGCGAAGGTTGAGATCCTGGGGGCTTTGCAGAGGAGCTGCCCATGGGGGGGGGGGGGAAGGGATATTTCTGGAAAAAGCTCCCCCAAGTGGTGGCTTCTACCCCCAGCTGGCTTTCTGAAGCCCCTGCATTGCCCTGTCAAGGGAGCAGCCCCCCTCTTGCGAAGCCACACACACCCCCCGCTCACCAACTGAAAGAACCGAGTCGGATTGGAAGGGACCCCTTCCCTGCCCCTCCGCCCCCGCCAGCCCCCTTGAACCTCCGGGCAGGACCACCCCAGTCTTACACCGAACCCCACGGCAATCCAGGAAACCCCTCTGGCCAGCAACTCTTCCTACGCCCACGGACGAAAGGAACCTGCCAGGAACGTGAGGAGGGGGATTTGAGTAGGGGGAGGGTCCCCAAACGGGCAAACCAGCCACCTTTCATCCTGCCCCCATCGTCACGCCTAAGGGAGGGGGAGTCTTTGTGCATTAGGGGGGTTCCCCTTCTCTCAAAGAGGCGAAGGCCGTCCAGCGTGGCCGAGTCAGAGACTGAGGGCCGCAAAAGTCTTCACCAGGGTGACCCGGGACTCGGGCTCCCTGCCGACGGCGTTATTGTCCGAGGGGCCGCCCTTGCCGGTCAGGAATTTCTGCCGGTGCCGGTCCTCCTGCCGCTTTTTCTTCTCCAACCGCTGAAGCTCCTTCTTCTGCTTGGTGGAGCCCTGCCAGAGGAGGAGAGGGGTGGGTACCAGAGGGGGGAGCTCGGACCATGGACAGCCTCCGCCCGGGGCCTTCCAGAGCCAACTTTGGGGCGGGGGGAAGACTCCCAACAGCCTCCTCCCAGAGATGTGGGGGTCAGGTGCCCGGAGAGGTCGGGAGAAGCAGGAAGGCAGGAAGCAGCTGAGTCACTGCACGTGGCTGCCGGTGTCTCTCTGACCGGGTTTGTGTGTTCAGAGAGAGATGACACACTTGCTCTCTGCGGCCTGAGTCGCTGTGTCCAAAAGACACAAGGAGGCCGGTCAGGGCAGACCGTGAGAGGGTGACAGGAATAGCATGAGGCAAAGTGGAGAGAAGCACCCAAGGAGGGAGGAGCCGGCCACCCTCCAGATTCCGGCTGATGGCAGAGAGGCTACCAAGGCCCAAAGATTTGGATGAGGGGTGAATTTAGTAAATGGTAGCGGGGGTTGGACTAGAAGACCTCCGAGGTCCCTTCCACACCTGCAATTCCTCCACCCAAGGGGAGAAAATGCCAAAGGTCAGAGCAAAAGTATCAGACCTGGGCAGGAAGGATGCAGAGGGAGAAATGGGAAGGGGAACGAAGCGGGGGGTGGGTGAGAAGCCCCCAGGCCCCCAGCAGGGGCGACAAAGAGCCAGCAAGGCGGGGGAAGCTGCATTCTCTGCTTTCAGGTACCTTTTGACCCGGGCGGTTCCTTTCCACGAGGTTCCCGTGGGGGTTATTGTTGTTTCCCACTTCCTGGCGGCCCGAACCCCAGCCGTGGCCTCCCTTCTCGTCCCACGGGGCCGGCCTGGGCTGCGGGTTCGGCCTCGTGGCCCGGTTTTCCTCGGCGTCTACAAAGAGAAGGGCCGTGCTCAGCCAGGGGACTCCGCTGCCAGCCTGACCTCCAGGACGAGATCAGGAGAGTGGCCGTCCTTCCCGTGGGGGAAAAAACCGAGGCAGAGACGCCCGAAGCTGTGTCGAGAATCAAGCCGTGAACCTGGACACTAAACTGTCTCTGAACAGGATGTCCAAAAGCCTTTAGCATCAAGCTGGGGATATTTCTGCTTTTAAAACATTGGCACAAAGGGGGATGTTTTGGTCCCGGTGGGCGGATGTATGCCCGTTTTGGTTTTTCTCTTCCTGAGTTAGGTCTGGCGAGAGATTTTTGGGGAGGAAAGGCTGGCTAAAAGGTTAAAGAAATCCCTTCGTCTGAATTAAGGACATTTAAGAGGAATTGTTCGCGAGACGCCACGAAGACTTCCTTCCCACTGAGGCGTGCACCCGTTTGCAAACACACATGCACACAGACCCACAAATGCACACCAGCTTTTCAGGCAAGCAAACGGATGCTTGCTCGCTGTGAAAATAAGGTTTTGCAACAGAAAATTTCTCGGCCTCAACAAAAGTTTCCCTGGGCTCAAATGTTTAAAATCTCTCAGTTTCTCCTTCTGAATTTACAAATATACACTCTCAATTATTGTGGTTTTCCCCCCCTGCTTTTTCTACAATATTATATTATTCTTTAATATTGCATTTATGATTCTTATCCTGGAAGGAAGGAAGGAAGGAAGGAAGGAAGGAAGGAAGGAAGGAAGGAAGGAAGGAAGGAAGGAAGGAAGGAAGGAAGGAAGGGACTTACGGAGTTTTTCCAACTCTTTCATCTGGAAAACGGCAAAGACGGCGGACTCAATGCTGTAGTCTTCTGCCTCCAGGACCTGAGCAATGAAATCCACATCCTGAGAAGGGAAATAAAAAGGGACGCCTTGAATAAATCTGGGCTGTGTCTGGGCTGCCACGGTAAACCCAGTTCCCCAAATGCCTCGCTTAGTAAAATAAATTTCGGGCTCAACTGTGGTTGCAAATTGAAGACCACCCGTATAAACACATAAACAAACTCTGAATGTTCACTAAGCGATAGTCGTAAGTCAGGGACCAGCCTCCCCGGAAGGCAAGTGGGCCTTAACCGAAACAAGAGGGAGAAACCCCCTCACCGAGCACCCGGTGGCGTTGCGGACTTTCTGAAGGGCGTCCTCCATTTCATCCCGAGTCTCTTCTCTCGGCTGCTGCCCCTCCACCTTCGCCTGGGGGGCCTCCCTGATTTTGGCTTCATTTGGGCACAGCATCTGGGCAAGGAGGCAAAAGGGTGTGAGAGCGGGTTTGTGTTTGTGTGGAAGGAGACGGGCTCCCCTGAGCCTGCAGAGTTGAACAACCCTGAGCAGGCAGCTCTGGAGGGCTGTAACACCCCCCCACACACACACACACAAACACAATTTTGCCCAAAACAGCCAGCCAGCCAACCTCTGTCTGCAGCCAAGCGGGTGACGCCGAGTTGTCGTTGATCTTTCGGACGCTGTCGTAGTGCTCGCCGTAGCGATACGCAATGTGGAGCTCTCGGGCGCTGCTCTTGTCCGTCCCGTGGATCTGCGACAGGAAGAGGGACGCTTGAGATGGGGGCCAGAACATTGCATGGGCAGGGGGAGGGTGTTAAGACAAATTTCCAATGGGGAGGGAGGGAGGGAAGGAAGGAAGGAAGGAAGGAAGGAAGGAAGGAAGGAAGAAGACAAAAGAGAGGGAGAGAAGGATGGATGGAAGAAAGGAAAAGGGAGAAAAGAGGAAGGAAGGAAAAGAGGGAGGAAGGAAGGGACAAACAAGCAGAGCTAGGAGGCAGAGGTGGCCACGACCAGCTTAAAACCAACTGGAGTTTATAATAGAGTTTAACTTCCAGTGCCCACAATGCCTGCCACACATTTAATATTTCCCCTTTCACTCCTATTAAACATTACAGCTCAAGAGACCCTGGCAAAGGTTCCAGAGACCTCCTTGAGGCCTCCAAGCCTTTCCTGAGTTTGGGGGGTTGGGGAGGGGCAACCCAATGGTCTGCCCCCAGGGCAAAGCGATGGCGTCAGGGAGCCTCTGTCGGCTGGGCAGGCCTGCTGCAGGGACGGCTGCTTTTCTGGGGAGACCCACCTGCCAGAGGGGGGCGTTTTGCTGGTGAATGACGATGCTGACTTGGTTGTTCCTCGCAAAGGCCACGATGGCGTCGTTGCCGGCAAATGTGCCCGGCTGGGCTAAATTGGCGACTGGAAAAGACAAAAACGAAAGCAAAATTGAAGGATGAGAGTGTGCAGACCTGGGAAAAGGAGCCTCCCTTTGGGAGGGGGAAAAAATGGGCCTCGGAACACCCCAGCCCCCCTCCCCCCATCAGGAAGGAAGGAAGGAAGGGAGGGAGGGAGACCCACTAAGGCACCCCAATTCCTCAGAGGCCCCTGGAAAGGAAACCAAGCTGGCTCCCGGGGGACGGGGGAAAAGCCACCGTCAAAGCCTGGCAAGGCAAGGCCGGGCCGGGCTGGCTGGTCAAGGGGAGCCGCGGGGGACACCCACTGTGCTTCTCGAAGGGGACGTCGTCCTCCACGAAGGGCTCAAAGTCTGCCCGCTGCTGGATCATGTAGGCCACGGTGTCCTGCCGGTGCTTGAGGTGGTTCCGCGAGTGGCCCTCCAGCTGGTCCCCAAGGGCCCTGAAGAGGCAGTTCCTGGGGGAGGGGGGGAAGGAAAACAGGGAGGTTGAGGAGGCCCACGAGGCTGGAGCGGCCCTGGCCCTGGTGGGCCCCGCCTTTGAAGAGCCTGGCCCGGGGACTGGCCGGCGTTTTGCCTCGCTTCATTCTGTTATGATTGTCCTTACGCATTCTACCTTTCGCTCTCATCCCTCGTTCCCTCGTTCCCTCACCCTCGAAAGTGGGTGAGCCATTTCTCTTCTCTTGTCCTTTTAGACTTAAAAATGTTGATCCCCTGACTGGGAAGAGCAAAAAAGCAAAGACCCCAGAAGGACCAGAGGATTTAAAGGCGGCGAGCAACTACAAAGGGGGAAGATCTTTAAGGAACACAAAAGAACTTTTAAAAAGCTGAATTCAGATTGGTTTAAAAAAATACTACTTAATCTATAAGAGGTAGAAAAATTTTTTAGGTATACTTTTAAGGTTAAACAACATATAAAGAACTTTAAAAGAAAAAATGTGTAACATTTTTTTTGAAACTAGATATTGATAAAACAGTGCACGAGGACATCTAGTGGTGAAAGAAGATATTACACTATCACTAAATACCGTAATAAAAGAATCTGGAACTGTTTGACCTTGAGACAACACCTGGTGTAAACAAAGTGCCTGTGTGTGAGTCTACAAGTGAAAAGACTTTTCATAACTATATTTGTTGACTCTGGACATAACTAAAACAGGAATGACTTGGAGACAGCAAACGTTTTACATCTGAGACCCGACTGGAGGAGTTGGATTTGGCCTAAAGTAGTTGGCTCGTTCTTTTTGGTTGGATTTTAGCCTAAGATAGTTGGCTTTTTCCCCCCTCTTTTTTTCTTTTTGCTTGCTCTATTTTGTTGCTGTTTGTTTTCTCTCCTTGAGATATTGGATTTAGCCTAAAGTAGTTGGCTCCTTTTACAGTTTGGATTTTAGCCTAAGATAGTTGGCTGGAAAAATGAGTACATCAAACATCACCAAACTTATTGTGAAAAAGACTTCCTCTGTACCCTCTGTTGGAACACCTCCTAGCCCAACAACTCAGGGATCCATTGAAACAATGTTGCAGCGTGAGAAAATAAGCACCGCTCAAGATGAGATGCAAATTACATTAAAAGTGAATCAAGAAGGGAATTTAAAATCTAAACAGGAAATGGAAAATCAGGGTATCAACCTATCATGGTGGGCACATTTGCAGATGTAAACTAGATATGATAAAGATGTTAAATTGTATGGGTTTTACAAGGAACAAACTGTGTTTGATAAGGTATTGTTAAGTTTGGATGAGAAACTAATTAAGAAAATGTATAATTTTCTGTTAACTTTGGAAATGGAAAGCGAGCAAGTTAAAAAAACAATGATAAGATGGGTGAAAATTTTTGGATATAATATAGAATTAGAAAAATGGCAAAATTTATGGAAAGGAATTATAAACGGACAATGACAACTTCTTATAAATAAAACTTATATAAAATGTTCTATAGATGGCACCTGCCACCAGCAAGATTAGCAAAAATGTTTAAAAATATGTCAGATAGATGTTGGAAATGTAAACATAACTCAGGCACAAATTATCATGTTTGGTGGACATGTGATAAAGAATTATTGGAAAAAGATACATAACTGGCTAGAAAAGATGCTGGGAGAACATGTAGATTTTAAACTTGAACTTGTTTTATTAGATATAATGCCAGAAAAGACTGATAAACAAAGTATATATTTGATTTTGCATGTCACAACAGTGGCAAGAATTATATTTGCACAAAATTGTAAAAATGAAGGAATACCATCAGATGAAGAAATAATAATAATAAAAAAATACTACAATGCGCAGAGAGGGACAGATTGACTATGAGACTGAAAGAAAAAGAAGAAACAGGATACTATCAAACTTGGGACTTATTTTATCCACGGCTAGAGGAAAGAATAAAGGATTAGGAATTAAATATGCATTAGCGAATGTAAACTCAGCACGTTGGTTGAAAAATTATTACTGTATGTATGGGAAAAAAAATCAATAAAAACTTGGGCGGCACTTTATAAACTATAAATTAAAATAAAATATAAAATACAATAAAAATCAAAGGCTCTAGTCCTCAGTGAAGAGCAGAGCAGAGCAAAGCAGTAGTGAGACCAGGCCACCAAGGGACTCTGGGCCGGGTCCCCCTCACCAGCCCAGCCTACCTCGCAGGGTTGTTGTGGGAAGGGCTACAGCACGGAAGCCCCCACAACCCGAATCGGTAGGTCGCCAGCAATGACGTCAAAACCGCGCCACGTAGCCATCGTGGGAGGGGGCGTGGCTTGCTTACCCGTCGCCCGGAACTTCGCGCAGGCGCAGTCCGAGCGCTCGCAGCTGGTCGTTGAGGCCACCGCCGCCGCCGTCGGGTTCACCCTCGCCCTGGGCCCGGTTGCGCCTCTCGCGGGCCAGCGCTCTCCGGGCCGCCCGCTCGTCCCGCTTCCGCTCCACCTCCGCCTTCCCGGGCCGCGCCCGCGCCGCCTGTTTACGGGACATCGCCGCCGCCGCTCCTGTCGGCGCGGCCCTCGCCACTGCGCCTGCGCTGCCCGGCGACGGAAGTGGGAGCCTATAGAGGGAAGGTGCCAGAGCGGCGGGATCAGGCGGTAAAAGAAGTGGGAGCCCACGTGGTGGAGGACTCGAATTGCACCTAATGGATGCTCTGGCTTTTCTTCTCCTCTCTCTCCGCCCGTTGCAGAAAAAGAGCCGTTTTCAATCCTTTTGCCCCTTTGCTGTAAATCATTTCCCGATCTACAAGAGTTCGTTTTGCATAATAATAGCGGTTAACCGCGATTTCTTTTTTCAATCACAGTGGCCAGGCTGCCACTTCTGCTAAAGCCAAACGGGTCCCATATTTCTCAAGTCTGGCCACTTTAAAAAGGTCTGGAGTTCAACTCCCAGAATTCGCCATTCAGCTTTTGTTTTCTGGTGTTTCCAAAGTGAAGGGAAGGCAGGTCCCATGGGTGGATCTCCCTGACTCCTGCCCGTTCTTTATGGCCTTGTTTTTTTTTATTAGTCCCCTGGTCCTTTCCAGAGGGAGGCAGCTTCACAGCAGCCGAATTAAAGCCGCTGCAGCCACCAGGACGTCTCCTTAGGGTGCATCTTCTCAGCCTGGGGGTCCCCAGAGCGAGTTTCTGCCCATCAATAAACCCCAGTTGGTTCTCCTTGCAGCTGATGAACTCCGCTAGTGTCAAAGGGGGCAACTCAGAAACAACTGCCTGGCTATCGAGGGGGCAGCACTCACATCTCGCACAGCCCAAGTTACCCCCTTCCTTTTATCCCTTTCCACAGCGGCTCCTTGCGAGGGCCTGCACCTCCCCACTTCTCCCTGGCAGGGATAGCTGCTTTCAAAGAGAAGGCCTGGGCGGAGACCACCCAGCAGCAGCTGCTCTTTCTAGAGCTCTTTTATGACTTTGTGGTGTTGTGTTGGAGTTGGCTTCTGGCCATCGCTACCCCAGGAGAAGGGCAACAGGGTTAATCAGTAACTGGGCAGCCAGTTCAGAGCAGTCCTGCTCACCTCTACAGGGGTCAATCATTTGTTGACTCAAGCCCCTTTTTGCCACTTTTAGCCATTTTGCTCAATCCCTTCTCAGCTCTTTATCATGTTTGGTTTAAAGATAATCTTTTCTCAGAACGATACACCACTTACCTAATCTAACCTTTCCCAAAACTAGAGACGGACCAGAGGACTGCGTTTAATTACTATATCCAAATCGAACTTGATAATGTAATTAATTTTTTTAGCAAACAATATGATCTACTGCTAGTTAACAGAATGCCAGAGTCGGGAGGGAGTTGGGAGGTCTCCAGTCCAACATTCCCCCCTCCTCGCACTTAAGCAAGAGAGATTCCTCTGCCTTAAGGTCCCCTGGCAGGATGGGTTCTCAAGTGAATAGGGTCCAAATCTAGTTTTTCTCTCTTCCTACTGAGCTAAAAACAACACTTCACTTCAAGCGCTTTCCTGCAAATTCTTGTGTTTTGGAACGGCTCTTGAGGCTTGTTGACCAAGGTCTCAAAGGAGCACACCCAGAGGTGCTGGAGAACCTTTTCAGATGGCAAACAAACCACCTCATACTTGAGTTGGCGAGGTCAGTTTGGCTGCCTCCACCCGTCCTCCGGTGACCTGCAGCCCAGACGATGGTCCAGGGCACCATCCCAAGCCTGTCAACCTGATCCCCCAGCAATGCAAGAGGGCCCTCTGGCCAGGGAGACAGTTGCCACCAAATATGGCCGTAACACACGGACGGCTCTGCTTCTTGCGGCTCTGAGTCATATTCCTTTTCTTAACTGAAACCAGCTCGGTAAAAGCTCTTGGATGGGTCGAGAGACAAGGACGCTCTCCATGGCAAGAATCGCTTTTCAAAACTTGGAAGCCGTCTTCTGAGAAATTGGGACTGCTAAAGTTTCTGTCCCCATTTTTTCTGGAGATGACCATACTGAAGCAGTCAGATTTTACGGACATCTGGCAGTCAAAGATGACCACGTGGGGGATTTTATGCTATGGACTCAATGCTTTCATGTAGAAATCCTGGGGAAGTCCAATAAAACTCCATCTTGAAGATCATCAACTTGTCGCTCAATAAAAAAAACACAACGCCGCATCCCGTCTGTCGCCTGCCTGGGACTCCCAGACTCAAAAAATTGGCCTCACCCGTCCACTGATGATCATCTATTATTAATTTTTGCAGGTTTCTCCCCAAGACCTTCCCGTAAGTAAAACATCGAAGCGTCCCAGCTATTTGAGCTTATTAAACAAACAAACAAAAAACCCCTCACCATATGCATTTCAGATGCTCCCAAGTCTGCTATAAGCAGAAAAGCTCCCATTTTCCTGAATTTCGCAACCTTAGCTCTGGGTTCCTAGTCACAGTGAATGAACAGTGAACTTCCTAGTCTGTTCTGAAGTTCCTGACTAAAAACTCCAAGTATAATCTGCAAACTCAGGCAAGCCTGCTCTGGGCAAATAACTCCTCTGTAACAATCCAGAAATTTCTCAGATTAAGATCAGCTCTTTCACACTCAAAAGGTTTGACTTCAGCACTACACACCAGACTGGGCCGAAGGGACCGCTGCTGGCCAGCATGGAATTGGAATCACAGCCAGACCACACCGAGCAATTCTTAAGACCTTTATTTAAGAGATGCTTGCAGTTTGACGTGAAAAAATCAGGTGTATTTCATACAAATTAAAAATGAGGTTCTTAAAAATCCCAACTTGACCAGATATATGAAACAATTTAAAAACCTTTAAAGGTGTATTGAGAAAAAACAGGCCTTTTAAAAAACATGTTTGTCGCTCCCAAAAGGAGGAGACTGCTTTATAGGTAAAAATAATAAAAATCCCGTGCTGCATAGATAATGCAGAGAGTTCGAGTTATCTGGTCAACAGCAAAAAGCAAGCACTTAAGGTCTTCAGTTCCAAGTCTTCTGTTCATTTCTTATTGCTGGAATTTCAGATTCTGCTTATTTCAGATTCTCTCTTCTTTGATGACTAAACTGGAAACAGAAAGAAAGCCACAAGTAATAGGATCTTGCCCACCACCCTGGAAAAAAATCAGCAGGGGATCCCGGCTTAAGGTTCCCACAATCCCTTGCCCATTCAAAGCCATTAAGCCCGCCAGAGAGTTGGCAGAGTTAAACATCACCCTAAGCAGGCGGACCAAACGAGGGCACTCCCGTTTTGTTCCTTCCATTTTCCTCTTCAGGTCAGGGGCTTGAAGCCCCCAGCCTCTTCTGTGCAAACTGGGCAAAGAGCCACTTCTCTGTCTGGCGCAGCAGGAAATCGACAGCAGGACTCACGGGGAAAATGACGGCTACAGATCCACAATGCAAGCTGCTCTAAGCAAGCGCTACTCTGACCCAAACGCTGCGACTTGAAGCCCCCTCCCCAAACGGCGTCACCTGCAAACGTTGGGACTGTGTTACGTGAAACCCCCCTCCCCAAGAGCACTGGGGATTGGGGAATCCGGGTTTAACATTACGGGTGACTCAGCCAAGAGGGGGGGGTCCTTAAAGCTTCCTGCCACTGTCCCTGGGGAGCCCGAACTCAAAGGAGTCGCCCCCACCCCCACCCCTTTCAGGCTGCCCAGACTGCAGTGCTCCCCCCCCCCGTCCTCTCTCGGCCACTCACCCGGATGATGGTAGAGATGGTAAGCCGGCGTTTACTCAGCCCCGCCCTGCTCGGCCTCGGGAGCGGACGTGTTCTCAGCTGATGGTTCGGCTGCCTTGGTCTCTTTGCCATCTTGTGGTTTAGGGTTCTCTGGGCGTCTGCGCCGGTAGTTGAAGTTGCGACGGTACCGACGCTGAGGTGGCTGCTGGCCCTGGACCTCATCTGCTTGGTTCTCTTTGTCTTCTTCGTTGCCTTCCTCCCTGGGCTGCCGTTGGCGAGGAGGGCCCCTGAAAAACCCGGGCAGGCTTGAGACATTTCACCCCGACTTTTACGGCCGGGCACGATCCGGACACCGCGGGGACTGCAGCGCGGCCTGCAGGGACTCACCTGCGATAGCGCGGTCTGTAACCCCGATACAGGTTCTGCCTGACAGGCCTGCCTTGCTCCCCTGCACCCTGGTTGTCGGCGCCCTGTGAGATGGAGGAGGAGGAGGAGGAAGGTGCTGAAGCCGGCACACCTGCAGCCTCTCTGGCCTCCCACTTAAGACAAAAACAGGGCTTTCAAACATTCAAAAGCTCCTTTTGTTCTGAGCCAGCTGGGAGGCCTCCTCCCCACGGCCCCCGCAGGGCATGCAACCCCACTTCCCACTTCCCCACGCCCGAGAACCATTTTCCTTCCGCAGCCCAACCTCCCTACCCCTCCCCCAGCCAAAAAACAGACAAACAAAAGAGCAAGCAATCTTGATAATCAGTAAGAGTTACCTCAACTAGGTCTCCTTGCACAGGGGCATTGGAGTACTGTGGCCGCCGGCCGTAGGGCCGACGCATGTAGTAAGGGGGGTACCGCCTCCTGCGGTAGGGGCGGCGCTGTTGGGACTGCCCTTCCTGCAAGTTCTCTGACCCCTCATTCTTTTCCCCACTTTCACTGTTTTGGTAATTCTGTGGGTAGTTGCGCGGAGGGCCTCTGCGCCGAGGATATCGTCTGTACTGGTTACGGTCTGCTGCGTATTTGCTGCCTTGCACAGGAACGCCGCCCGGACCTGTAACATTGGCTGCCTCTGCTCCCTGGAAGGGAAAGTGGTTGGTAAGCCTCAGCCCCCCCTCCCTTTGGGGAAAGGGGGCTGCCACACACCCACCCACCCAGAAAGGGGGCAGCCGGGGGAGGGGGCTCCTCACCCACCTTTTCACCTTCAACCACGTCAAACTCCACAGTTTCTCCATCTCCTACACTGCGAAGGTATTTCCTGGGGTTATTCTTCTTGATAGCAGTCTGCGGAGGGAAGGAGGAAGGTGTTAAGAGAGAACAAGGAAACACATCGGAAATATTCGGGTGAAAATCTAATGTTTGAGAAGAAGGCGGGGTGGAGATCAACGTGGAGAAATATACGACAGGGTTCCTCCCAGGCGACTGTGGGATGCAGAAAAATAACAGGGACCTTGGAGGTCTCCTTGTCCAACCAAGACTTTTTAAAAAGTTTGCCAGAGAATCTAATTCAAGACAAACCAGGCCCCCCCAGACAGGAAGTCTGTTCTCAGTGACAAAAGCACATGAAAACATAAAGGTGGCAAAGCCAGGACAAGGACCAACAGGCTCACAGGGGGCTGCACCAAGCGAAGTTCACTTAGCAGAGCCTATGGCAGACAACTAATACTAAAAAACGAACTTAAGTTTAAGAAATAAGTAGCTAGAAAGAAATCTGCACTTCTGTGGACCTGTGCAGGCTCTCAAAATTATAGTTTGGCCATCATGCATTAGCTGAAATCTCGCATTAGAAAAAACTGCTTAAAAAACTGTAAAGTTCCTTTTGTTCTGAGCCAGCACATTCCCCCCCCCCTCCCCGGATACACTTCTCTTTATTTCAGCAAGGCAGAAACGCTACTGTTTTTCCTCAACAGCTAGCAAACAAAGCATCTCACCTGGTGGACAAACACATCTTCCTTGGTGTCATTCCTGCAAAACAAGGAGTATCCATTTCAGAAAACATCTGACACAAAAGAGCCAGCATTCCCTGGCAAGGAGTGGTACCCCTTTTGGACGGAGGCCAATCCAACGCTGGGCCCTGCCAAGGAGAGCGAGATCTTCCCAAGTGTACGCCCTCCGCTTAAATCCTGAGCTAAAAATACAGGAGGAGACGACTAACTTGACGTTTCAGATTTCTTCTTTGAGAACTCCTGCAATTAGCGAACAGCCAAAGCTGGAAAGGTAGGCCAAGCGTAATTTTGGCTATGGGACAGCTCTCTTCTGCAGAGGCATTTTCACGAATTCTTGATGCAAAGCAACTCACAGGAACGCAAAGGCCGTACAGGAAAACAGATGTCCGTTTGAACTAAGGCAGGTATGTGTGCACGTACCTTCTAAATACAATTTCTACTTTCAGGCTGATGTTTACATAGGACAGAATAAAAGCAGATGGGATCCCTCTGCCTGAAAGGATCCAAAGTATTCACCAGACTGATCATACCACTTGGCGTAAGAGTGAGGTCAACAGCTGCAATCAGGTAGGAAACTTTATCAACCTTTCCCAGAAAAACATTTTGCCAGATCGTGCACCTCCACCTGGGAACTGCCACAGATGGGACACGTAACTTAAACCTCCTGCCCAGCGACAATGATTTGCACAGAGAAGCGCACAGGGCTTTAAGAGGACTATAAAAATAAGGGAAACACCCAGAACCTGACTGTTAAAATCTTACATTTCAAAACGTTTATTGGGCACTATTTGTAGAGTGCTGGTGAAGTATGACTCATAATCCAAAGAATGTATGATTAACCGGGTGCAGAACTTGAATGCAGAGGGCACAATAGGGATTTCAACAGAAAGTTCAATCAAGAACCCGGAACCAGCTTTATGGGTGACAACTGTTGCAAGCCTCCCTCTGCTTACTGGAAGGGTCATCTGATCCCTTCCATGCGAGAAAGACTCATCATTTGTAACCCTAAGAATGGGGAGGCAGACTTCTTGTGAGCTTCTAGGCCAGCCCAGCTGCCATCCAGGGGCTCCCATCCCTGATAGGGAGGGTGGGAACTAACAATCCAGCACATCTGGTGGGGGATCACACTGGCAATGGCGTGCCCAACTCAATAAAAGATAGGCATAAGCTGAAAGTAATAACTGTGACTCACTCCCAAGCAGTTAAAACAAATACAGACACACACACACAGCCCCCAGCCCTGGTCACCTGTTGATGAAGCCATAGCCGTTCCTTACGTTGAACCATTTCACTGTCCCCAAAACCTTCGTTGCTGCAAAAGAGAAAAGGTGCAAGACAGGTAAGAACCAGCCCAGCTCAAGACCTCCGTCCTTCTTGATTGGAAGGACTCTATAATATGCATTTATCTTTCAGCTGCAGCAGCAGTGTTTTCCCTATCATAGATCCAAAGGTATGTTTTCATATTGGCTGGGAGAGGAATTTCATTTCAAAGCCCCAAACAAACAACTCTGACTTGCAAGGAGAAAAATCACAGGAGGCCTGTAAGTTTCCAATGCAGAGGTAATAATGAACAAGCCCCTGCAATATCCCAAAGGGGTCCCCCCCCCAAAAAAAAGACAGCTGGACTTTGTGTTTTCTTTGAAAACATTCTGAACTAAAGAAGCGAAATGTTTTCAAAGAAAGCACCAAGAAAGTCCAGCTGACTTGTTTGGGGGAGGGGGGGAAGCATCTTTGGGACAATCAGGACCTGGATGATTGAGAAGCTTCATCCACATTTAGCCCCCCCCCCCCATATGCTGAGATTTTGTTCCTGGCAAAAGCTGCAGAAAAAAAGGCAGCACCACTTACGGTACTGTTCTAAGTGATGTATGTTAATGGCACATTAGTTGTATTATCCTCCTCGTCTTTCCTACCACCTTCTATTGGTATATGGCTTTGCTGCTTGTATGTACAGGTGGTCCTCGACTTACAACCACAACTGAGCCCAAAATTTGTTGTTAAGCGAGATGTTTGTTAGTTTGAGTTTTGCCCCATTTTACGACCTTTCTTGCCATAGCCGTTAAGTGAATCACTGCAGTTGGTAAGTTCACTAACTAAAGTGAATCTGGCTCCCCCATTGATTTTGCTTGTCAAAAGGCTGCAAACCCCCCCCCCCGCCCCATGGCACAGCCACGGCCACAAACACGAGCCAGTGGCCAAGCGTGGGAACTCTGATCTCAGGGCCAGGGAGATGCCCCAATGACCATGTGAGAGAGAGTCCTACGTCACTCTTTACGGTGCCACCGTAACTTCAAATGAAGAGTTGCAAGTCAAGGACTCCCCATATTGTAAGTGTTGTATATTCAGGGTGCATTTACCAGACATGGGCTTTGACTGCCCCAGCCTGGGCCGGGAGGATTCCTGGGGGCTCAGCCCCTGCCAGGTGGGCTCTGCCCAGCCAGGCAAGCAGGGGAAACCAAGCCAAGACTGGGGGGGGGTTGTCTGCCCATCTCCCCCTCCCCTCCTTGGCGGCCATCTGCTCCGCACAGCCGCCAGCTGACGCCTTCCTTCCTCTGGCAGCGGCCCTCCAGCGCCCCTTCCCCAGCCAAGGGGGGGGCGTTTCGAAGCCCCCCTCTCCCCAGGCAAGCCGCAGCGCGCATGTCAGTAAGCAGACAAAGGAAGGAGGTGGGAAGCGGCCGTGGGGAGCCAGCAATGGGGCCGGGAGGGGCTTCTATGCTCGCCCCCCCCGCCCGGCTCTCCCGGCTGAGGACCCGCGCCCCGAATTGATCGCGTTAAGCCGGGCCGAGCTCCGCGCACGCGCAGGAGGCGCGCACAAAAAAAAAAAAAAAAGGGGGTTCCGCGCGCGGCGGACATCTTGCGCCGCCTCGGCCCCGCCCCCTCCCACGCGCTTTTTTTTTTTCTTCTCTCGCCCCCTCCCACCACCTAAGGCGCAGGCGCGCCCCAAGAGCACGAACCGCCTCAAAACGGTCGCGGCGCGCGCCTGAAGCTGGAGTGGGGGGGGGGGCGGAGAAAGGAGAAAATGGCTCACCCACTTTTCCCTTCCAATCAGAGAAGCGAGGGAGGGCGAGCGCGGCCAATCAGCGGGCGGGATGGCGGGACGTGCGCGAGGGAGAAGGGAGGGGGAAGACGGAGGGAAGACGGCACGCGCCGCACGAGGGCCCGCCCACCCTCCCTTCACGCGCACGCGCGCCCCGCTCTTTTTTTTTTTCCCCTCCCCTCCCCTCCCTTTCCCTCACCGATGACCTTCTTGTCCCCGCCGGCGGGGGGCGCCGCCATGCCCAGGCCGCCGTTGGTTCCGTTGCCGCCGCCGCCTCCGCCGCCGCTGCTGTTGCCGCCGTTGCTGGGCTTGGCATCCGCGACGGCCGGGGAGGGGCCCGTGGGCGTCGCCAACGGGGCCGCCGCAGGCGGGGCGGCCGCCGGGGCCGCCAGAGTGGCGGCGGAGGGGGGCGCCTGGGTCTCGGCCTCGCTGCTCATGGCGTCGCTGACTGTCGGTGGACGGTGGTGGTGACTGGCTTTCGCAGCAGCAGCGCCGCCTCCCGCGCGGTGTTGATGGTGACTCGGGGGCCGGCCGTGGGCGGGGGGGGCTGCTCCCTTGCTCCGGGCTCGCTGGGCTCCGCTCTCCGCTCCCGATACCGATCGAACTGGCCACAATGGCGGCGCGCACTCACTAGCCACCCCTCAAGCGCCGCCCCCTGCCCGGCGCTCATTGGCCGCTACGCGCTGCCTGTCGGGCGCAGCGCGGTCTCATCGGGCCGCGGCGGCGGCTCGAGGCGATCGCTGGCGCCTCGTTGGCTCGGGCCGGCCGCCCGTCAGAATCTACGTCCCGCGATTGGTGGGCTCCCTCAGCGTGTCCCGCCCCCGCAGAAAGGGCTCGGCTCTTCATGCGGGCTTGCCCCCTCGCGGGGCTCCTGATTGGCCCTGCGCCCGGGCGCCCCGCCCCCTGGGAGAAGCGCGGCCAGGAAGTCCCTTTCCCGGGCTGGAGCCGTCCGGGGCGCACGTGGCCGGGGAGCCGCGCGGGGCAGCCCCGGGATCCCCCCCCTGGGAGCGGGCCCGCCCTCCCGCCAGCCGGCGCTCCCGTTGGCCCCGCTGGCCGGAAAGGCGCGCCAGAGTCCCGTCTACCGGGAAGACGATCGGCCCGCTCCTCTCCCATCGCCCGCTCTGCTCGAGCCTGGCTGGAGCAGCGTTGGGACTTCCGAAGGTGGCCGCTTCAAGGTCACACGGGCAGCCCTCGGCCGCTCCCCTCCCCTCCCCTCCGCGCCCCCAAATCGCTCCCCGGGCCGCCTTGGCCAAGCGGCTCTGGGCACACGCGCTGCGTTTCTATTTGCTTGGTCCGCGGCTTTGACATGCAGGTGACGCCCCCCCCCCCCCAATGATAGGCATCTGTCAATTTCCCAAGGGCTGCCTACTGGAAGAAGAGAAACGACTGGGGGGGGGGGCGCAAGATACACTCCCCATTCCCAGCACCTCAGACCTGTGTGACCCTCCCTCGAGGCATGAGGATGGACAGATATTTTAAGAAGTCTTTTTATTTACAAATGGGGTGGGGAACAGACACGTGGAATGTGGGATGAAGGATGAGCGGTCAGGAACTGCTTGGCATCCCAGGACGAAGCAAAAATCAACCTGGAATCAGGAAGAGGTAAACAATTAGTCCCCAGCGCTGGGTTTTCCCCACATGCAGAATCCGGGGCAGGGCTTACATTGGTGGCCTCCCCTTGAGGTGGTGACACACTCGGTGCAGAAAGGACTTTGTGCCGAGTTAGACCACAAGGAAACTTGCAAGCTTTGCTCTGTGAGCGAGGTTCCAATCCTCCCCGCTGCTGAGAGGCCACGTGGGCTGCCAACCCTCCACGCCAGGGGCAAGGAACATGGCTACAGTTCTGATTTGCGCTGCAGACACATGGAAATGCGCTGTGTAAACCAGCGTCGTCCAACCTTGGCAACTTTAAGACCTGTGGACTTCAACTCCCAGAATTCCTCAGCCAGCATGGTTTTCATGACGTTTCGTGACCCAACTAGGTAACATCATCCATGCTAATGGTTGGCTGGGGAATTCTGGGAGTTGAAGTCCACAGGTCTTAAAGTTGACGTCCCAGGCATAGACCCTCCTGTCTCGCCCAGATATCCCCTACCCCCCCACACACACACCCCATTCCCAGACAGCATTTTAGAGGCCACTTCAGCTGCACAAACTAAGGTGACACCTACCTACATCTCTCCGCACTGGGCAATCACCACCGGCAGTTTCGGTTTGTTATTCGGCCCGGTGGGCACATTCTGCAAGAAGCAGAAAGCAGGTGAGCAGATATGCAGAATGGGAAAAGAGCAGCAGCAACCTTGCTCAGATAGCCATTGCCAGGATAAAGAGGCTCTCTTGCAGCCTGCTTATAACTTATGTTTGGTACTGAGGTGTTCTTGCAGATGTTTCAGGACCCAACTATATCAACAGAGCAAATCCCATTCCTCACTCGCACTGGTGATGTTACCTAGTTGGGTAATGAAACATCTGCCAGAAAACCACCAAGCTCAGAGGGGACCAAGGACCCTACATTTGGGTTCTCTCACTTTCTCAGGCAGAAATAGCCAGAAGAGTGAAAGGCTGAGAGATTACACCTTTTGGGGGCATGTTGCTCTTCTAAGCTGCCTGGCCAGGATTTGCATCCCGAAAGGCAGGAGAGGAGAGTCTGGGAAGCCTCAGGCTAGAACAGCAAATTAAAATAATTTTTTCTCTAGAAAAGCAAAACCGCCTAATTTTCATGTGGTTTCTTGGATGGCAGAGTTTCATCGCAAACCCAGAGACAAGCACGACTTACTTCAATTTTCCTCATGACTAGAAGCCCATCGATTATTTTACCTGCCAGGTGAGAAAAGAACAATCTTAGTGCTCCAAGCGTTTCTGAATTCCTTAGCCAAGGAAGAGCCAGGCTGGTGTGATCTTTAACCTTTCTTTGGAGAGGGGAACGAGAAGGAAGCAAGAGGGGCTGGGGGGGGGGCGGGGAGTCCAACCTTGGCAACTTTTAAGACTTGTGGGCTTTGACTCCCAGAGTTCCCCATGCTGCTCCCTTAACCCAGTGGGGGGGGGGGTCCTGAGGCAGCGGGGGAGGGGGGGAACCTAGAGACAAGAGTGCAAAGCATTTCAGGAAGCCCAGATAATGGGAACTTCCCAGGGCAGATCTGCCACGAATTTGGGGCGAGGGCCAGGATCAGGAGAGGAGCACCCAAGCTAACGGAGGCAGGGTGCGCCCGGGTCCCGGCCTCCGCCCCGGCCAGTGATGACTCACCAAAAACCACGTGTTTCCCATCGAGCCAGTCGCACTTGGAGCAGGTGATGAAGAACTGGCAGCCATTGGTGCTGGGGCCGCTGTTGGCCTGCGGGGAAAGGGGCAGGCGAGGAGAATGACCTCCCGTGTGGTCAAGCCCTCCCCATTCACCCCAGGCTCTGCAGCCGGGGGGGGGGGAGAATTTCAGAGTGCCTCCATTTGGAGGACATCCAATTCAACGTCGCATTGGGCGCTATGCAAGACCCGGGCGTTGAAAGGCGGTGGTCTTCCTGCTGGGCAGCCCGATCAAGGACCCCCACCCCCACCCCGAGTTCGGCACCTGGCCACTGTTTGTCTGCCAAAACTCAGCAAGGCTGAAGCAGCAGCTCCTATAAATAGCAACCCGCTGCCAGCAGCAGGAAGGGGGGGGAAGAGGGGCTGGGGTTTAACCCTTTCCTCCCAGGCAACAATCCAGATGAGAAACCGGAAATTCAGAGGGTCCCCCCCCCCCCCCGGAGAAGGCTGGGCTGGGTAGTGGCACCGAAGGAAGGGGAATGCTCCCGATCCCCACCCTTCCTGATGCTGGGACCTGGATGGGCACCTTCCCAAGATGCCTGGGGGCTACAGGGAAAAAGAAGGGAACAGATCAGGAACAAGTCCCTCCCCCCCAAGCTACGAATCCTTTCTTCGGGCTGCACGAGTTACTGAAGGGATCTGTGAGGAAGGTTCAGATCCAACTTCAGGCTGTTCTTTACCATGGAGAGCAAGCCGGGTGCCGAGTGTTTCAGTTTGAAGTTCTCGTCGGCAAAAGGTCCCCGATAAATGCTGGCCACTCCAGTGCCATCTCCCTATTGAGAGAGAAGACCAGGGAGGGAGGGAGGGAGGGAAGGAGGGGAAAGATATGGATGGATGGATGGATAGAAGGAAGGAAGGAGGGAAAAGAAAGGGAAGGGGGGATGAACGGAAGGCAGGAAGAGACGGAGAGAAGAGGGGAGGAAGGCCTCATGAGCCATGGGGCAATTCCCTTGGCAAACAGATACAAAACTGCTTATCCAGAATGAGCCTCCTCTAATGATTGTTAAAAAAAAAAAAGAAGTCTAAGTGCACAAGTACGTCCGCAATCACTCCTTCCTTAATCCTTTAATATGCTGCATTTACAAATTAGCATCCCCCCCCCAAAAGGCATTTCCTTTCCCTGCAAGCTATTGAGCGGAACCCCCGCCATCTTGCCAGCGAAACCTCAGAGTGAGCGAGTTCAGTTTGTAGCCATCTTCGCTTCTGTGATGTGGAAGTTAAACAGAATCAAGGAAAGGAGAAGTTTAGAGGAACCACTTCCTTCCAGCAAATGTTAGCCTGTTTTCTAGAAAACGTTTTAAGTTTTCCTGAGAACTTTAGCTCGAGTTTCTGAATAAGGGTGCCAGCCTGCAAGTCCAGCTCCTTGGTGGGGTAACTTCCAATCTTATCTGCACCAATTCCAAGTCAAATGCCCACTTTCCCTTCCGTAAAAGAGCTTTGAAGTACCTACGTTTACAAAATCACCTCCTTGGATCATGAAATCCTTTATAACCCTTGAAAAGGAAAAAAGAAATATTAGGAGGTCAAGGTATCCAACAGCTGCTCTTAAACACCAACTTGGGAAGCTCACAAATGGGCTGTAAATGTCTGGAACAGGATTCTGGATGGCTTGCAAAATAGTGCCTCAAGGGACTCGGTTTTAAGTAACACACAGTTTAACTTAAAGGCCACACAACAAGATTGGGGTGGCTGGCAGGTTTAGAACGCAATTCACTCATTTGAAGCACCCTCTCCAAATGTGGGAGTCCATCAGCCCCGGATGTGGGGAGCTGGAGGGGTGAAAAAAACTAGCCTGCCAGAGCCCAAAGCCCGACGTACCTGTGAAAAGTGCTGCCTTTGTAACCGATAGGAACACCATCTTTCCTGGGAGAGAAAAAAGCAAAACAGTCAGAAATTGGCAGATGCCACAATAGCCAGTGACCAAGATTGCTCTGGGGCCAAAGAGGCAACACTCCCAACTCACAACCTGTCACTTCTCACTGTTTTGTTCTGATCTCGAATTTCCTGAGGTAGAAGGACAAACGACAGAGAGGGGCGGCAATTCTCTTCACTAGCCTCTTATTATTTTTATTTACCCCTCTTACTATGTTTTTACTTCCACCTTTTATTGGCTGTATACTTTCGTATTATTATAATTATACTCTGTTGTTTGGCAAGTACACCGAGTGCTTCCGTACCCGAGGACTAATTCCCTGTGTGTGTCTAACCGCACTTGGCTAAATAAACACATAAAGCGTAAAATATAAAGTTAGGGATTGTTCTCCTCCTCCTCCTGTGCTGCCACTCTTCCAGCTCGATCAAATCAATCAATTTTTATTTTTATTTTTGGAAGGATCAACGGGATCGATCTACCCACCTGAATTCACCCGTGCAAAATTGCCTGGAAAGAAGAAAGAAAAAGGCTGCATGTTAAACTGGGACGCAGAGAGGCAGGTGATTCAGAGGGAGAGGCTCAAATTCAGCAAAGAAAGCCCCTCCATCACTGGGGCCGGGAAGGGGGGAGACAGGACAGGCGGATCGAAGCTGCATGTTCTATACAAGCTGTCCTCGACTTACGGCCACAATTCAGCCCAAAGTTTCTGTTGCTAAGCGAGCCAGTCGTGAGTTTAGAGCAGGGGTCTTCAAGCTTGGCCCTTTTATGACTTGTGGACTTCAACTCCCAGAATTCCTCAGCCACTCTGGGAGTTGAAGTCCACAAGTCATAAAAAGGCCAAGTTTGAAGGCCCCTGGTTCGGAGGTTGTAGAGGGCGAAGGGCTGCCCCCTCCCCCGCCAGGGAAGGGCTTGGGAATTTCTCTCCCCAACAAGCTTTCCTTTTGTCTCCCTGCGCCCATCATCCCCAGCCAGCTGGCAAAGCGGCGGCGCTCTAGGCCGGGCGGCTCTGTGGCGGGCGGCCGCTCTGGCCTCCCGTCTCCATGGCCCCCGCCTTCCCGCCGGCCTCGGGCTCACCTGAAGTTCTCGGCCGTCTTGGGCACCACGTCGGCGAAGAGCTCCACTTTCATGCGGCCCACCTCCTGCGGAGGGACAGAGGCGTCAGAGGCCGAATCCGGGCTCTCCCCAGGCCACTCCTCCCGGCCCCGCTCCCTCCGCCAGAGGCATACCTGCCCGCCGATGGTGACATCGAAGAAGACCACGGGGTTGTTGGGATTGGAAGCCAGTACCGCCATGGCGACCACCTCTGACCCGGAAGCGGAAGAGCGGCCCCTTTTTTGGCCTAGCGCGGCGTGAAACGCTCACTTCCGGGTGCGTCAAGCGCCAAACCGAAGCCGTTACACCGGGCTGACGTTTTTATTTTCACGTTTTATCGACATTAACCAATATCTTGGGCGCCGCGCTCCGGTTTCTGACGAAGGAATCTCACCGTCGATGTGCCAACGGGCAGAGTGTCACGAGCCTAGTTCAATCCCCATGCTGTTCCCGTCCCACCGGAAGCTCCCGCCTCTTCCGCTCCTTTGGAACCGCTATCCCGGTCGCTGGGGAACCCGAAGTGTCGCTGCGTGGGCGCGCGCGCGCCTGTCGGTTCACATCCTGAAGTCAATGCAGCCGCCTATTCGGCTGGGCCTCATGGACGCTGTGCAGGATGTTTCCTTTCGCAAAATTTTATTTTATTTTTTTTTAAAAAAAAAAAGAGGCTACGATGGCCACCATTTCCCAATAAGAGTTATGTTTTAAGCCTCACTCAAGAACAGATGGTCTCTGAAGGATTTCTTCCTTCCTCCCTCCCTCCCTCCCTTTTTACCTTCCCTTCTTCCTTCTTTCTTTCTTTCTCCTCCCTCCCTCCCTTTTCTCTCCCTCTTTTCTTTCCTCCCTCCCTCCCTTCAGATTTTCTCTCCCTCTTTTCTCTCCCTCTTTTCTTCCCTCCCCAAAAAACACTCCGGGACACAAATTACGCTCAGAGCTCCAGAGTTGTAGAAACAAATAATTATTGTTCCAAAAATACATTTGACATTTTCCACGTTTTTTCCGCTCCGTGGTTTTTAAAAAAGCCCCCCCCCTCCCCCCCCGGCCTCCACCGACAGGCAGGAGGGGCCTTTGGGCTCTCCCACCCGACCTCAGCAGGCGGGCTGGCCGGGCTCGTCCTGGCGGAGGTCGGCCGGGTTTCTGGGGACGCCCAGGCAGCCCACCCGGGAGCTCCGGAAGGCCAGAGGGGAGAGCAGGGCCTTCTGCCCGGGCTCGGCCGGCTGCCCGCCCTTGATGGCTTGGCGAAGGCTGCTGGCGTCCGAAAGCCTGGTGACCGAGAAGCTGAAAGGGAAAGGACGGGCCTCAGCCCTCTGGCCGGAGAGTCGGAGGTCCTCTCAAGCTTTAGTGAGGGTAGAAGCAGCCATAAAACGAGGCTGGGAAGGTAGACTTGCAAGGTAGACTGCTCCCCAAGAGAGAGGCTCCACTTCGCTTACTGGGTCCCCTTGGACAGTCGTGGTCCAGGTGGCCCCCGTTCAAGCTGCTCCAATATGCTCCCCGCAAGCCATCCAGACCCCACCCCAACTGAAAGAGGATTTCAGGAGCACCTCGTGCCCCTCACCCTGCTCACCAGGCACACCTCAAAGGAACCCCGGGGGCCCCCATGGCCTCGAAGCCGGCAGGAGGGACCCCGGCAGAGACCCTCTCCTTCCCCAGATCCATTTCTCCGGCCCCTCCCCGCACAGCGGCCTCCCCTTCCGCCCACCGTCCCAATGATTCGCTCTCCCGGGGTGTCGGATTTGAGGGCCCTGCTTTTATTCCTCTGGTTCCTGCCTTGCGTGGCCCGAAGAAGGCAGAAGCGTGGAAGGGGGAGAACCTCCGGGGGGGGGCAGCGGAGGCTCCGGGGAGGCCATGGTGAGACAGACGCCACCCTGGCTGCTGCGGGGAAGGGAGCGCCCGGTGTCGGTGTCCCCGCGATGGTCTGATCCCGGCTGGGCCTGCCGCCTCACTGACACACCTGCCTGGCGCCGTACCTGAAGCCGGGGAAGGGCAAGAGCTTCCTCTGCAGCGGACACTCAGGGAAGCCGAGGCTCTTCAGCTCCTGCGGAAAGAAGGGTGCGGGGTTTAACAAACACCCACAGCCACACCCGGAAGACGGTCAGCAAGCCCTGCCGAGGGGGCCTGGTCTAGCCTGGAGACATTCGGACTCTTCCCATCCCCTTGAAATCTCTTGCGCTGGGATTTCTTTGTGGTCTCCCAACCCAGGAGCAGCCAAGTCTGGACCGACTTAGCCTCAGAGAGGGGTAACCACAGGGGCTGCCAACCTGTCCCCTGCGCAGGTGAGCGGCCCCACTGAGGCCCCTGCTGGGCCGTCCAGCCTCGACCGAGGAGACGGGGAGGGGGGGGCAGGCGGGGGCTGGGCCGGCTCACCTCCAGGCTGTGCACATGGATGGTGCGCAGGGCCCGCTCCAGGATCCCAACCTGCAGGCTCAGCTGGAGGGTCCGGTCCTGCAGCTGCTTGTTCTCCCCCTCCAAAAGCTGGACTCTGGGAAAGAGAGAGAGAGAGAGAGAAAGGGGGCTTGGGGTGGGGCTCCCCCCAAAAAACTCCCTCCCTACCCCCTTTCCTTTCCCGTGCGCTTGGCCCCTCCCACCTGTTCTGAAGGGCGCAGAGGGCCTGTCCGTCGCTCTGCTTGGCCTCCTCCAGGCTGTGGAGCTGCTCCAGGGTCTTCCGCTTCTCCCTGAACAGGCCCTCGTTCTCGCTGGTCACCCGCCGGATCAGCAGCTGGTCCTGGGTGCAAAAGCCGGCATCCCCGTTCGCCTGCGCTCCCCTCCCGCCTGGCTCCAGAGGAGGCCGCCCTGCAGAGAGGGACCCCTGGGGGGTCGAGGCGGGGGTGGCAGCTCCCGCAGGTGAGGCTTAAGGCAGCCTAGCTCGGATTGCCCGGCTCGGCCCAGGGCTGCTCTACCTTTTCGGCCTGGCTCTTGGAGAGGCGGACCTCGTTCTCCAGGTTCCGGATGCGAGTGTCGCGCAGCTTCACCTCGCCGAGCAGCGTCTCCTTCGCCTGCCGCAGCCGGGCTTTGTGCCGAAGGCGGCGCTCGCTCTGTTTCCTGGGGAGGCCAAGCGGTGGGGCTCTGGATCCTAGGGGCCCCGGCCCTGGCGGTGGAGCCAGGCGGCCGCCCAACGGGGCCAGCGGAGGGAGGCTCACCTGAGGGAGACGTCCACCTGCTTCAGGATCTGCCTCTGCTCGTCACACAGCGCCTCCTTCTCCTGCCGCAGGGCCGAGAGCTGCTCCGAGAGGCGCTGGCTGCGACTCTGACAGCGCAGGTGCTGGAGGGGGAGATTGGGGGTGGGGGGCTCAGTCGGGCTTCCCGGGAGGGGGGGTGAGTGAAGGGAGGAAGGGAAAGAGAAAAGGGAGAGGAAGGAAGGAAATAGAGGGGATGGGGAGGGAGGGAGGGATGGGGAGAGGGAGGGCCGCTGACCTCCTTGGCGAGGGCCCTCCTCTCCTCCTCCAGGGCCCGCAGGTGCCCCTCCTGCTGCTGGGCCTGGGCCTCCCGGTCAGCCAAGGCCTGGAGCAGCCCGGCCTCCTTCTCCCGCCAGAGCCTCAGCCGCTGCTGTTGCTGCTCCTCCTGCTTCTGCTCCAGCGCCTTCCTGCGAGAGGGAAAGTCAGCCCACCTGGAGCCCCCAGACCCATAAGGGCCCAAGGGGGTGAGCCCCTCCCCTCCGCACCAGACCCCTACCGCCTCTTCTGCTCCTCTTGCAGGGACCGCCGGGCATCGGCCTCCTTCGCTCTGGCCTCCCTCGCCTCCTCCTCCAGCTGCCTCCTCCCCAGGGCAGCCTGGCCCTCCTGCAGCTGCCGGGCCTCCTGCAGCCTCTGCTCCAGATCCTGCGCCTGGGAAGGACCAGAAGCACAGGGATGGCTTAACTGAAGGGCACGGGGCCCCCAGTCCCGGACGGGGAAGGCGGAGGCCTCTCACCCCAGGGTAAGAAGCAATCCGCCCTCCCATCGCCGCCCTCCCCGGGGAGGAGAGGGGGACCCAGCGGGCCCCGGCAGAGGGGGAGAGTCCAGCTGCAGCCCCTGACTGGCCTGGGAAAACTGACCCGTTTCTCGGCCTGGGCCGCTCGCTGGCCCTCCTGGCTCAGCTGCTCCCGCAGGCGGCTCTGCTGCTTCGCGGCCTGGGACTGCTGCAGCAGCTCCATCTCCAGCTCCTTCACCGTCTGCTGGCACAGCTCCCCCTGCGAGGCCAGAGCCCCACAGGCCTTGGAGCTCTCCGACAGCCTCGCCTGGGCTTGCCTCAGCTCGGCCTGGACCTGGAGGGAAACGGGGGGGGGGGGCTGTTGGGTGGAGGAGGAGCATCCGCCTCCCCTATTCCCCCCCCCCAGGGGGGGCAGCCGGATAGTGGCACAATCATTGCCAGGCTGGGAAATGGGCTGAAGTCAAACCCAGGCTGCAGAACTGCCTCAGAGCCACTAGAGGGCGGCAAACCCTAACTCTCCTCCGCCCTCTTGTGGCGAAGGAGAGCACGGCATCCTCTACAGCAGCAGGATCTGCCAGGATCACCATCAGCTACCAGTTGGAAGGGGGCTCCCGGGCTGCCCAGGCCCAAATCTGGTGGGAGGGAGGGTAAACGGGCTGCCTGCCCCCCCCCCGTAGCCTATCAGGTGGTCCCCTTTCTTGCTAGCACCGTGTTTTTCCCAACCGTGGGGAGACTTTGAACCTGGGTGAGGTTTCCCGTCTCTCCCACTGCAGACGGTCAAGGCCGTGTCCCCCTCCTCAATTCCCAGCATCTTCGGAGAGCTGGGACCTCAGTTAGGCCTCACGCCAAATGTTTAAGCTTCGTACAAGTCCCCGTCAGCTGCCTTCCAATTCCCCAGCCGCAACTGACAGGGACATGCAACGAAACCCCCTCCCCCTGACCCGCCAGGCGTCCCCCCCCACCTTGATGTTTTCCTGCTGCAGTTGCAGGTTTTGTAGCCTCAGCTCCAAGCTCCTCTCCTGTTCCAGCCTCAGCTGCTTCTTGACAGAGCCCCCGGAGATCGGCGCCTGCCGGGGGTCCCCGCACAGCCCCGGTGGCTCTTCCTGCGGCTGCAGGGCTCCTTTGTGGGGGGGTCCCTGCGTGCAGAGGGGAGGGGGTAAAGAAAGCACGGCCTTGCCGGCCCCTTCCCCACGGGTGGCCCTGATCTGTACCTGCTCCGTGTCCCCCCCGGCTCTTCCCAGGGCTGCCCGGGGTGGGCAGGGCTGAGCCGCAGCGCTGTGTCTCTCTCGGTGGGCGCTCAGCTGATGCTGCACCGCCCGGATCTCCTTCAGGAAGGCTCCCTCCTCTTCCCGCGTGGTCTGGACCGGCTCCCCCACCTCTCCCATCCTGCTGGCTTCTGACAAAGGAAGGCTGTGGGTCAAAAGACTGGGGGGGGGGGGGAAGAGAGGCAGAGATAGGGGGCATCAGGTAAGGGAAGGGGGTCCTAGGTGCTCCTTCCTCCCTCCTTGCAATAGGGCTGGCTGCTAAATAACAAGGATGACACCTAGACACATGCGGGGGTCTTGGGACCGGGTTATCTGAAGGACCCTCCCCACTTACGCCTACCTGACCCACCCTACAGAGGTCCATCTGGTGGGACCCAGGAGAAGGGCCTTCTCGGTGGTGGCCCCCTCCCTGTGGGACATCATCCCCACGGAGATTAAACCGGCCCCCATTCTGACACTCTTTCGCCAGGCCCCGAAGACCTGGGGACCCCCAGAGTGGGTGGGAGCCCATCCAGTGGCTTCTTTGATTGATGGCCGGCTGTCCCCCGGGGGACGCTGGTGCCTGGAATCCTGGGGCCTGTAGTCCCCGCTGCAGCAACAAACATGGGGGCAGGTTTTAAAATCCCACCTTCATCTTTGTGGCAGGAGAGACTACGCAGAGGGAGAAAAGGGGGAAGGGGTTACACCCGCCCCCCCCAGGGGAGCCCGTGCCTGGATCCTGGTTCCGTGAGGACGGAGGAAGAGGGGTGCCTGCAGCAGCTCCGCTGTTTGGGGCGAGTGGCCCCTCCTGGCCCCACCAGGCCAGACGCGACATCAGTGGGTGACATCAGAATGGGGCAGGGTCCCCCTCCCCCCCTCCCCCAGCTCAGGCTTCAGGAATTCACAAGAAAGAGAGGGCAGGGGGCTCGGTTCCCCCTCCCCCCTCTCAGAAACCCCCCAGCCCTGCTCTCCCTGACCCCCAGCAGCTTTGGAGAGCCCAAAAGACCCTTTCAGCTGCTAAGTTGGTTTCTGGGCATGTTTTTCCCTTCTCCCTCCGATTCCCCTCTTCCTCGCCTGCCGTGTCTGCCAGACTGAGCTCTCCTCTGATATCTGGCATCTGGGAGTCTTTTCAGGTAGGGAAAGGGTGGAAAACGGTGATAAAAAATTCTATTTTTACTGCCTGGGCTAAACAGGGGAGGGACTCGGTGTATCCGTCAAGACCCCAAGGCAGAGGCGGTCCAACCTGGGCCACTTTTGAGACTTGTGGACTTCAATTCCCAGAATTCCCCAGCCAGCCTGTCCTAAGACCAGCGTTTATTTGTCAATACTCTGTATTTCCCCTCTGAAAGAAGTGACTTCCTTTTGATTTAGCTCTGGGAGTCTTCAGTACGAACATATATCAATTTCTTTCTTAGAAGGGTTCTAAGGTTCCAATCTAAACACATCCAGCTGTCCAGGGTCCGAATTACCACGCTGGCTCTCCGTCTCCTCCCTGGCTCGGCATCTGATCTCCACAAACCTGCCCCCTCGCTGGAAATTCGGGGCAGGAAAGTCTGCTTGCCAAAAGCCTCTCCTCTTCTTCCTCCTCCTCTTCCTCCTCCTCCTCCTCCTCCTCCCTTTCCCTCAGGATGTGCCGGTTCAGGCGCTCGCATTCCTGGGAGAGCTCCGACACCTGCGGGTTTTATTTTTTACTCATTGGTGTATTAAATGTATTTATTAAATACACCGACTTCATACATTGATAACAGCTTAATTTATTAAATTAATAATTTTGAACAAATGTATTTCATTTAGATTTAGATTTAAGAAAACATGGAGTGTGCGGGGTTGAATTATGTCGCCCGTGCTTGTGCTGCTTTTTTCAGATGCAAAGACAGGCAGTGTAGTTCAGTCCCACACTCTCTTATGTTTGCTTAAACCTAAATTTAATCAATGAAATAAATACGTGATCAAAGTTCGGATGCTCGGCCCTGACTCACAGTTACCTCCTCCCCCCCCCCCCCGAGCTGTCTGGCAGGGCCCCGGGGCCCACCTTGGCTTCCAGCAGCCCGTTCTTCTGCAGCAGCTTCTGGTGGGCCAGGCGCAGAAAGTCCCTCTCTTCTGCGGCGCCCTGGAAGCCCTGCAGCTCGCCGTGGAGACGAAGCAGCTCTGACCTGTAGAGGTGCAGCTCCTGGTTCCACCGGGAGAGATCAAGCCAGAACCGGGAGGAATTTATCCGAACACGGCAGGAGTTGCACCGTATGGACTTGGTGTGTCAGTAAAGGAGGGTCTTTGTAGCTCAGGGTTGAAATGAGAGGGTCCCTGTTGCGGCTTTCTTGCAGACGTTTCACGACCCAGCTAGGGAACATGGGCTGGAAGGGACCAACCCCCACTTCCTTCCAGCACTGGTGGTGTTCCCTAGCTGGGTCGTGAAACGTCTGCAAGAAAGCCACCCAGCTCAGAGAGCGCCCGGGACCCCTCAAGGAACGTCAACCAATCCAGGGCTCCCCCCCTCCCAAGGGCCGCTGGGAGGATCCAAACGGGAGGCGCCCACTGGGAATAGTCAGGGCCGCCTGGGAGAATCTGGAGGGGGGTCTGACCTACGTGCTTCAAGCAGCCTCCAAGGTGGCTGGCTGCCTCTCGGCCGGTTCCTGAGCCCCCCAGACAGGCCTGCCTCTCTGCCTCCGGGAAGCAAAGCCCCTCCAGCAGCAGCAGTCTATCTGTCGGGAGTTTCTGCTCGCTGGCCTTCCGCCACTCCGAGGCAGCTAGAGGGAATCCAAAGGTCACTTGGGGAGGCTGAGGTCAGTCTGGGCTCTCTCAGCCCTGGCAGCGGGAAGAGGTGCGGATCCAACCTCCCATGTTCCCCTGCCAGCCGTGCCGCCCTGCTTACTGACGGAATCGGGATCCGGGGCCGAGACGGGGTTCCCGGCGAGGGACGGTTTCGCCGACGGTTCGACGGGCTGCTGGGCCCTCTCTGCCTCCTGGTCCCCCTTTCCTTGCCAGATCTCGGCTCCTGGACAGAGAGACATTTTTTAAAAAATACAGGTCGTCCTTGACTTATGACCTTGTGTTTCTGTTGCTAAGTGAGACAGTTGTGAAGTGAGCTTGAAAAAGGAATCCGGCCAAAGACCTACCGACCGAGTCACGCAGCTTCCCCGGCTCTCCCTCTGACACGTCCGGATCCTTGTTCAACGCCGGGATCTCACCCTGGGCGCTGCGAAGTCTGTCTGGGGCTCCACCCGGACCTCGCTCAGCCTCTTCCCGGCCGAGGTTTCCTCCTTCCGGCTCTTCCGAGGGAGACTTCTGGGAGTTGAAGTCCACAAGTCATCAAAGGGCCAAGTCTGAAGACCCCTGAACTAGCGGAATAAAGCAGGCAGCGGGGGAAACCCTCTCTCTGCCCTGGGGGAGGGGTCTGCCTTTAAAGCTTTCCCTCCTCTGTGCGCCCCCCTCCCCGACAGAAAAGACCCCGTACTTGCAGGGCAGCCGCGCAGGGTCTGCCCAGGCAGAGGGGGGCTCCCAGCTCCTCTTCCAGCCCCGCCATCCTCTCCAGCAAAGTGCTTCTCTCCACCAGCAAGTAGGCCACCTGCTCGCTGGGGCTGCTGTGGACAATGCCAGTCAAGCCCTCCAGGGCCAGCAGCTCAGCCACCTCCTTATGCTGAGACTCTGGGGGGAAACACAAGGCGGAGCCCTCTCTTGGCACATGGGGGGGGCTGTGTGGCGCCCATAGGCGCCTCCTCTGTTGCCCCCCAAGAGTGGAGAGACACCCCAGTGTCCAGCACCGGGTCTAAGATACAGACTTCTTCTCTGGACCTTATCACACAGTAGCACTGATGATGTTACCTAGTCGGGTAATGAAAACCAGCAAGCTCAGATATTGCTGTTCTCCTCTCCTTCCTTCCTTCCTTCCTCCCTCCCTCCCTCCCTCCCTCTTGCTTTCCTTCCTCCCTCCCTTCCATCCTTCCCTCTCTAGCTCTCTCAGCTTCCTTCCTTCCTTTCCTTCCTCCCTCCTTCCGTCCTTCCTCCCTCCCTCCCTCCCTCCCTCCCTCCCTCCCTCCTCCTGTTGGACATGAGTGGGGTGTCCTTCACCGAGGACATCACAACCCAAACTCCACCTTGTGGGCTTGCACCACAATATGATCTGCAAGAACGGGAAGGGCGAGAGGTTGTGTTTGATTGGGTTTTGTTAGGGGTTTTATATTTTAGAGCAGGCTTTTATGTAATATTTACTGTGATTTTTATTATTGCCTGTTCACCGCCCTGAGTCCTGTAGGGAGATAGGGTGGTATATAAATTTAAATAATAAATAAATAAATAAACAGCCCAAAGGAGGCACAGAAAGCGCTCAAGGGCGGGTACCGAGTTCCAGTTGCAGCTGGGCAAACTTCGCCCTCAGCTCTTCGTTCTCCCGCTCGTATTCCGCCGCCAGAGCATCCCGGGCCTCCGTCAAGGCCCTGACGTGGTCGACGTAATTCTGCACCTGAAAAGGAGGAGGAGGAGGAGGGCAGGATCGGATTTCCAAACTCCAGAGAGGGAGGCCATTTGGCCAGCTGAGGAAAAGGCTCTTCTTTCACCACCCTTGCAACCATTTCTCAACCTTGGCAGCTGGAAGATGGGGGGACTTTGACTCCCAGAATTCCCCAGCCGGCAACCTTGAAAAAAAAAGTTTCCAGATTTGGACGGTCACCAGGGGGCACTCTGGCTCTGTCCAACATCCTCTGCCAAAAATAATAATAATAATAATAATAAAAAATCCCTTCACACCCCTTTAGTTCCTCCTAGGGATCAGAAATCTGCATAACCAGAAATTCGAGCCCCTCTCCCTCCCTCCGATGCCGCCAGGGGTCAGTGGTTGGAGGGGGGGCGCTCCCTACACATGGACAAGACCCCGAGTTGGAATCTGGTTTATTTATTTCCAAAAGGAGTGGCGACATATTTCAAAGAGAGGAATTTAAGAGAGCTCCTGTTCCAGAAGAGAAAGCTTTAGAGAGCCCAGACAGACATTTACCCGGAATGGTCTAGGCGGGTCTCCTGCTTGAGCAGGGGGTTGGACTAGATGACCTCCAAGGTCCCTCCCAAATCTGTGATTCTGTTAAGGGCTGCAGGCTAATTCAGAGCATATGTTCTTGAACAATTACCTCGGAGGGTGGGATTTTTTTGTTAGATCTCTAATGTTCACTAACATCACCTCCCAGAATTCCTCTCCCTGTAAATCTTGTAAATCAGGGGTCTTCAAACTTGGCCCTTTGATGACTTGTGGACTTCAACTCCCAGAATTCCTCAGCCAGGCACGCGTGCCTGGCTGAGGAATTCTGGGAGTTGAAGTCCACAAGTCATCAAAGGGCCAAGTTTGAAGACCCCCGTTGTAAATCTTCAAGAAAAGGTTCTCAAGAACCACCTGAAAACCACTGACCCCATCGCTGGCTGAAGAATTCGGGGAGTTGAGGTCCACATGCTTAAAGTTGCCGAGGTCGGAGACCCCTGCTTCAGACCCTCTCACGTCTCCTAAGCCTGGATAGGGCTTTGAGGCTGCCCCGATTCACGGCCTTAAGTCGCAAAAGAGGCTTCTTTGCCAATTTCATCGTCCGGACGACAACCCCTCAGGCCAACGGGCCAAAGCAGAGTGACCCAACTCACCTTGTGACCTTCACAGCCCCAAACACAAACATTGGCAACCAACCAAGAGACACACCCAATCTAGCATTTTTACCCTACGGACGTCTTGGAGCAGCCAGTGGCGCAGGACCCCCACCCACCCACCCCTACATGCCATTTTGATCCTTCTCCCCTTTTGATGACCCAAAGTCCGAGAACAAACGAACTATACCCAGATATCGTCCCGGGTTCAAAGCGAGACGGGAGACGGCTGACGTGGGCTGCCCTTCCGTCTCAGCAGGAGGAAAAAAGGAGCTTTTGCAAACCGGAGGGTGGGCAGGGGTGGGCCGCCCATCCAGGGGGCGAAGGGCTGGTTCTCCCCCCCGTCAAGATGACGACAGCCGGGAAAGGAAGCGAATCGTCGGCCGAGCAAGGGAAGCGATCCTTGGCGTGGCCTGCAAGAAGCCTGGAGCTGCTATTGTCTTCAGTGGCCGCTTTGAAGGGTCCGGAGAGGGAAGAAACCCACCCACAGCTCTTCCTATCCCCCCAGATCAGACGGGCGTGAATGGGCAGGAAGTGCCGCTCTGCGGAGGTCACCATCTTCAAGGCATTTTGCAACGGAAGGTGCCCTGCGGGCGAGCACATCCCCAAGACGCTGGAATACCAGGAAGACCTGAAGCCCCAAAGAATGGGTGCTCTCGGGTCCAAGAAAAGCAGGAAACGGGACAAAAAGACACCGCCAGGTTGGCGTCCCAGGCTCAAAGGAGAGCAGGAGGCCGGTCCGAGGGGCCGAACTGGGGCATCGGCTGCTCCCAGTTGGTGTGACGCACGGCTGACACAAATTGCCGGCTTCCCCAAGAGTCAACCCGTGGAACGGAAGTTGTCTCCAGAATTTGTGGGTGCTCCACGGCTGGAGGTCTTCAAGAAGGTCTCCTGCTCAAACAGTTGGGGTTGGACTAGATGACCTCCAAGGTCCCTTCCAACTCTGTTATTCTGTTATAATGACATGCCCGTTCCTAAGAAGCCCACTTTGGCCTGATTCAGAAGCCAGCCACTAACGAACCGCACACCTTTTAGGAGGGAAATTGGACATTTTCCCAAGTTTCCACCCGTCCCTGGAAACTGGTCTGCTCCCTCCCAGGCTCGAGGCAGCCTAATCGTCCCAGAGGGGTCCCTCTGGGTGCAAATGGGGTCCCACCTCCCTCATCTCCTTCTCCAGCTGCTGACGGAGAGACGGCTCAGAGGCGAAGCGCAGCTCCTCCTGGCCGGGCAGGAAACAGGGCCACGGGTGGGCTAGCTGGGTCTCCGAGGGGGTGCCGGCAGCGTCTCCTCCTCCTTCGGCCTCCCCCAGCTGCGGGAAGAGAGAAAAGCATCAGAAGTCCAAGTCAGCTCCCCTTCTGCAAGGAGGCCAGCGTGGCTGAACAGCTGGGCAACAAGCCTTGGCACTGTTATGGCCAGGGCAAACCAAGGTTTGAACCAACCCCAGTTTGGCACTCTGGAAGCTATGTCTTCTCAGCTCCCTGTCCAGGATTTGCTTTTCCTCTGTCTGGTCACTCTTGCAAATGCCCTTTTTTGGTGTTGATTTTGGGCTGGATCCTCGGCTCAGTTTGGATTTGGGGGTTTAAAGTCCTGTTGGCCACCCCGGGGCTGCCTTGGCCAGACGGGCAGCGACCGAAATCGAATCTCAGGGAGTTCTACGCAAATAGGTCCCCATCGTCCCCAGCCAGCAAAGGCTGGGGAGGATGGGAGTTGGAATCCAATGCATTGAGAAGTCCATCCACCTACCTATTCACGCATATATTTAATACACACACAGACACAAATATGTCTATAGATGCACACATACAGACCAACCTATGGAGAGATTTTTTTATTTATTTAGCCACCCTTTTTGCAGTGGTATCAGCGGCATATAAATTGAATACATTTTGCATGCCTTCCAAATGTTTGCTTTTTAATTTAGCTATTCCCAGCTTTTGTGTGTGTTTATATGTATGTATGCATGTGTGTGTGTGTGTAAACACACACATTTATGCATGTTCCTTCTATTATTATTTTTTTAAATTGCTCTCCTTGCCCAGAGTCGTCTTTGCAATGTGGGAGTCCATATAACTGGAATAAAATCAATCAATCAATCAATCTTTATAGCCATATTTAGAAAAAGGAAAAAAAAACCGGTGGCGAGTCCGTTCTTCAACCACAGCACCTTTGAGCGGAGCCTCCCCGGGCAGGAGCAGTCTACCCTCCCCAGCTCCCTCCGCCACCAGCCTGATTGCATCCCGGCCTTGTCCGCCGCCGCCCTGCCTGGCCCCCACGCTGACTCACCAGCCGGCCTCCCTCCATGAGGCCCCGGCTGCACCACCCGGGCCGGGCGGGAGCGCAGCCGGCAGACTAGGCCGCGAAACCATGGCAACGCGCGGCCTAGGCGTGCGGAGACGCCGCCGGCAGCCCTAGCAACTGGCCACGCCCCCTTAAAGAAGCCGCTTCCCATTTCTTTCCCAGTTAGCCAATCGCGCTTTCAATCAGAACAGAGTTGGAAGGGACCTCGGAGGTCTTCTAGTCCAACCCCTTGCTCTATTTCAGATAGGTGGCTGGGCTCAGTCAAAGAATCATGTTTTCCTTAGCATGATCTAAGCCAAAGACACACAAGGCAAGCTAGAACAAAGCATACAATTTCTTCAGTCCAGTGTCCGAATATTTTTTTTATTATTCTGAACCTGTGTAGTGTCTTCCCTTTTCGTACAATTCCTCAAGTATCAGATTCCTTTTTCCGGTGAATTTTAAAACACGATCCAAGAAACGTGACAGTTATTCAGCTTGCAAACACAGGGCAACCGATTTTACCGCTGGGTCCGTGTAACAAATAAAAGAGTTAACGTGGCTTAATTAGCCTGGGACGTGTCATGAAAGCATCGCCAGCAAGCCATTTTAAGCAAGGCAGAGCTGAGCAGGTTGTGTGAACGCAGTACTATTATTATTATTATTATTTTAATTTCTATACCGCCCTTCTCCCGCAGGACTCAGGGCGGTGCACAGCATATTAAAAACAGATACAATAACAATATACAAAAATAAAACCCTTCTAAAACCAAATTAAAAACCAAATATTAGAGGCTGTGTTCCAATTAAAATTATACTTAAAATCGTCCCTAAATAAAATCCTCCTTANTCGTTCCAGAGGGTGGGGGCACCCACAGAGAAGGCCCTCCCCCTGGGGGTCGCCAGCCGACACTGTTTGGCCGACGGCACCCTGAGGAGACCCACTCTGTGGGAGCGTACCGGTCTATGGGAGGAAATCTGAGGCAGAAGGCGGTCTCGGAGGTAACCAGGTCCGATGCCATGGAGCGTTTTAAAGGTGGTAACTAACAGGAAGTCCTCAGCTTACGACCACAAGTGGTATCAGAACTTCCATCACTAAGCAATGTAATTATTAAGTGAGTAGCGCCTGATTTTATGACCCTTTTGCAATGGTCATTAAGGAAATCAGCCTCCTCCATTGATTTTGCTTGTCAAAAGCTCACTGGGAAAGTCGCAAACGGTGATCACGTGACCTTGGGATGCTACAACCGTCATAAATATATGCCAGTTGCCAAGTGCCTGAATATTACCAGTAACCGTGGAGACGCTGCAACAGTTTGTAAGTGCAAGGACCAGTTGTAAATCACTTTTTTTCCAGCATTATCATAACTTTGAACAGTCATTAAACAAATGGTCATAAGTGGAGGACTACTTGTATAAAATTCACATTTCCTAAGGCATCAAGGTGATGGAAGATTTTAGCCATTCGAGTTTTTTCTTGCAGCAGAACAGAAAAACATAAAACTTCAAAAAAGGTCAGATGGACACATTTTGGAAGAAAAAGACAACATTGGAACATTTCTGGCCCACAAAACTCCAATTGATCTATTATTTGACCAGTTTAATAATTTTAGGATGCCCAAAGTCAGCAAGTCACATACTGGCCTAGAGACTCTCATTATTTTGTGCAAACTGGCATAATTCAAGACGGAATAATAAGATTCAGAAATTGACTAGAACGCTTTTTAAATTTTCCTGAGTGATTTTTACCAAGGCAGCAGGGAAAAAATAATAATCAGAGAGGTTTTTGTCTGCCTGGTCACCAAAACGCCAACCCCAGTGATTGTACCAATCACACACCAGAACGAGTCACAGCTTGGAATGTTCCTGTTCTTTAAACCTTCCCACCAACAAGCAGCAAACGGGTCTGAAGATGTGCAATCAGATTTCGCCTCCTTGACCCCAGTTAAAGAGGTCTCTGTTAACAGCTAATAGAAGCTTTCCAGTTTCTCCAGCTTCACCACCACCAGCTCCTAGCGGTTCTTAAATTTATAATTGAGAAAGAATTGACTTTTATCCACTGGCAATTATTTTTCCACAAAGGCTCTGTGTTGGGATACCAGGTGGCTGACAATCTTTTCCTCAATCTCTACACCTCGGGCAATTTCCTCCTCCAAAAGGGACAACGGGGTCTCTGAATCCTTAGTGACCACGATCACCGAGGTTCTTCGCGAATCCAGGGCGTTGGCGATGACCACCTGGTGATTGTATTTTGCCAGGGCCTGCCTGGCTTTCTCAACCAGGATCGACGGATCCGTTTCCAACTTGAAGGAAATCACGAATGCCTCAGGGGCCCATTCTTTAACCAGCGGGGACAGCATTTTGGGTACCATCTTCATGGTTATCTGCAACAAGGGAAGCAGAGAGAACTTAGCAAAAGGCAGAAATTTCCTGGCACTGAGGACAATTAACCAGTGGAACAACCTGCGTCTAGAGGTCGTGGGTGCTCCATCACTGGGAGCTTTCAAGAAGAGACTGGAGAACCATCTGTCTGGAATGATCTAGGGTCTCCTGCTTGAGCAGGGGTTGGACTAGAAAACCTCCAAGGCAGGTCCTTTCCAACTGTTATTCTGGTGTCACCTGCTTTGGCCCCTCTTTCTAGCTCTCTCAGCCTCCCCCTTTCTCCTCCCAAAATTCTTCCCCTTCTCTGATCTGTCATCCTTATGAAAGGGCATCCCACACGATCTCCTCTTACCTGGAGGGGCCCGTCAGAGGATTGGATTTTATGTTCAGGCATCTCTGAAGGGGGGATGTAGAAATCTGACACAGCCGCTGCTAAGTAGAACATGGCGTTGGAACCTGACGGGGCAGAGAGAGTGAAAGAGAGAGAGAGTGAGTGAGAATCTGCATCTATTGCACTTACTGCCATAGCATGCTTGCACCCAGCGTTTGCATGCATTGCATGGGCTGTACTTGCAACTAGTGCAAGAGCAAATGTTTGCAGACGTTGTGTTACATTGCACCGGCGAGTTTGGGCACGCCTGGCTCGTACTCCCTTTTTTCCCGCCCTGCCTTTGCACGGGTTGCACGGAGAGGCCCTTGGCCCGTCTCCTCCCTCCCTCCCTCCCGGGCACCCAGCGGGCCCTCACCGAGCGGGGCGAGGGCGCGGGCGGCGGCGCGCAGCAGGGCCAGGTACTCGGCCAGCCCGGCGAACTCCAGCGCCAGGAAGGCTCCGTCGTCCCGGGCCCGGCCGTAGGCGCGCAGGGCGGGCAGCAAGGCCGGGAGAGCCCCGTCGCGCACGCGCACCGCCCCGTCCTCCTCGTGCACGCGCAGCAGGTCCAGCAGGGCCGGGCCCGGAGGCGGCAGGGCGCGCGCCCAGGGAAAAGCCGAGCGCGCCCGGTGCAGGAAGCAGACCCCGTAGCCGGCGGCCGCCAGACGCTCCGCCGAGGCCGCCCCGCGCCGCCCGCTGCTGAAGTTCTCCAGGAAGCGGACCGCGCGGGCCTCCAGCGGCACCTGCGTCCCGCCGGACGTCACCAGCGCCACGCGGCGCCCGCGCGCCCGCTGCGCCTCCGCCCAGGCCCGCACGCGACCCTCCGCCTCGGCCGCCGCCGCCCGTTCCGAGGAGGCCGCCATCGCCCCGGCAGTCGCCATTGCTGCAGCCCCGCCTGCGCACAACGCCCGTCCCCCGCGGCTTAATCAGAGCGGCTTTCCGGGAACCATAACCGGAAGAGGCGGGCCTTTCCGGCCAAGTACTTCTTGGCATCTGCCGCTGGCTATTGCGCCTGCGCGCCACACCCGCCCCAGCCAGAGCGCTCTTCCGGGGACCATAACCGGACGTGGCTTAGTAAGATGGGTGTTTTCAGAGCATGATGGCCGCCGGCGGAAGCCCCGCCTCCCTTAGCAACGGCGCCCTTAGCAACGGCGGCGGGAGAAGATGGCCATGCAGACGGAGTGGCTGGTGCCGCTGGCGCAGCCCCGGCAGAAGAAGCAGCGCTGCGAGCTCTGCCTCGGCCCCGCCACGGTCCGCTGCGCCGCCTGCCTGGTCACCTACTACTGGTGAGTGGCCGGCAGGCGGGGCTCCGTCCGGTGAAGCGCCCGGGGGGAGACTGGACAGCTGTCAATCTTCATCCCTGTCAGGAGCTCCTTCAGATTGTAGGCATTCAGTTGCAAAATGAGCCAATGAAACGGGTATAAAACCGGCCAGAAGAACGCACAGACGTAAAACATACGCATATAAAATAAATAAAAATAAATAGATATAAAACGTCATAAAAATGTGACAGGTGTAAAAACGTGCAAAATAGATTGTATATAATAATAATGCGTGCGCAGGGCAAGATGGAACAAAAGCACAGGTAGTCCTCAGCTTATGCCCAAAATTTCCATTGCTGAGCGAGACGGTGGCTGAGTGAATTTTGACCCAGTTTATGACGTCTCTCAACCGGGTTGTTAAGCAAACAGCTTTTTTCGGAACTTGGAACTTGTGTGAGTCGAGCGCTAGCTATTTGCGTTTGCATGTGCATTTTCGTTTTCTTACCTCATAATACGGGTAGTCGTTAAGCAAGGCGAATGTTATGGCATGAAGTTACAGTCACGCCTGATTTTATTTATTGACTTTCTCCTCCTCTGGCCAGCGATGTGGATCACCAGAACGCCGACTGGATCAGCATCCACGCCAAGATCTGCCGGCTGCTCATCCCGCTGCGGGCGGCTCCCCCCTTCTACACCTCGGAGAAAGAAAGGAAACTCGGAGAGGAGCAGAAGCGGAACCGAGAGGTAGGCTGGGGGATCCAGGGTACCAAACGCAGGCAGTCCTCGACTTACGACCACAATCCAGCTTCAAAGTATGAATCAGTGGCCAAGCGTCCAAATCCTGGTCACAGGACCACGGGGGGGGGGGCTGAAAGTCGTAAGTATGAAAATTGGTCCCAAGTCCCTTTTTTCAGGGCCACTGTGAAACGGTCACTAAATAAACGGCTGTAAGTCAGGGACTATCTGCACCACACCCAGTCCTCAGAATCGACTGGAAGGAAAAAAAAATCAGCCCACCCCTCAATTATTTCTCCCCCACCCAGATCTTCCTGGCTGAAGTGACCTTTGAGACGGCCCAGAATTTCCTGCTGGAAGGCCACCACGAAGACGCCATCCCGGCCGCTCTCCACTCCCTGAAGTTCAGTATCAGCATCTACGGGCCGGACTCGGCGGAGTTGGTCCCTGCCTACCTGGCCTTAGCCGAGACCAGCTTGGGTGAGCCGCAGGGGGGGGCTTCCGAAGGGGGAGAGGGGCTCGGAGGGGCAGCCCTCCACTCCCTCACTTTATGACTGGAACTTCCGGTTGTGGTCTTGAATGCTTTTAAAATTTTAACGGCAATACGTGCTTTAAATTGTGAGCCGCCCAGAGTCATTTGCTGAGAATCAAACAAACAAGTGCATTGATATATAAGTAATTTATTTCTTCCCCTGGAAAGATGGACTGGAGCTCCATTTAATAAGATTGCAAATCCCAGGAATATCTTCACCGTTCTTTTCTGAACTGAGTGATGAATGTCGCTCCCAAAGTAGTTTGGATTTGAGGTTTGTGCGTTCAGACATTCTGTCTCCGCACAAGCCAAGTTTCCTCGCTGGTTTCCTGTTACTTGCGTAACGTGGCTGCGTCTTGTCGGTTTTCCAGGCCTGGGGCACCTCTCACAAGGCGAAGAGTATCTCTCCCAAGCCCAGTGGATTGTCCTCAAGAGCCCCCACTGCAGCTACAACATTCAGTCCAAGCTGCATCGCAACCTCGGGCTTCTGTACGCCGCCAGGGGGAACTTCGACGACTCTTTGTACCACCTGGCCAACGACGTAAGGCTCAGCAATCGTTGTGGGTCTGTCTCTCTTTCTTGAGAGGGGTGCTTCAGAAGCAGCAGCTGCTCCAGGAGGGAGGGAGGGTCACAGCCCAAGGAAGGGGGACCTGAAAGGCAGACTCGTTTCCTGGTTTATTAAAACCAGATTCAGAGGGACAGAAATCCTTCGTGGTTATGAAAATCCTTCCATGCTTCCCAGGGCCGGGCTGAGTCCCGAATCAACCTCAAAGTGGGTTTGCGTAACATGGGGAGGTTATTGAGAACTTCCTGCCTTCCCAACGTGATTGGAAGCAGATGGGAACTTCGGTTCAAGCCCAGGGACTGCATGCAGTCTGAAAGCACCATCCGGAACAGACCAGGGAATATCAGTAGGAGAGAATACTGGTAGCTCAGGGTGAAAACGTGGGTTCCTTGGTGCTCTCGGAGCTTGGAGGTTTCCCTACAGACCTTTCATGATCCAACTAGGTAACATCATCAGTGCTAGAAGGGAGTGGGTTTGCAGAAGAGAAGGAGAAGGACTGTGGGGTCCTTGGTGCTCTCTCATCTTGGTGGTTTCCTTGCAGACGTTTCATTACCAAACAAGGTAACATCATCACTGAGAATGTTACCTAGTTTGGTAAAGAAACATCTGCAAGAAAACCACCAAGAGAGCACCATGAATCCCATCGCCCTTCTTCTTTTTTCTTCTCCCTGCCCTCCTCCCCCTCCTCAAATATACCTCACCACAGGTATATTTTGCGTGTTGCGCTTTTGGGACGACGAGCAACGTGGCCATCTCCGGAGGCTATTTCCACATGGCCAACGTTTTCTCCCGCCAGAATAAGATGGACATTGTGGATTCCTTGTATGCTGAGGTCAGTGGACACCGCCCCCCCGCCACCCCCACCCGGCTGCGAGTTTAGATGCAAGTGAGAATGAGTTAAAAAAAAAAAACAATTTAGGGTTTATGCCACCCTAAAATATATGGGGGGGGCTGCCACCCCGCCCCCTTGAGTAAATCAAAATAACCCTCCTGATGATGATGATGATGATGATGATGATGATGATGATGATGATGATGATTGGAGGGTCCGGGTTTTTCCCTCCGCAGGTGGTCAATCTCTGGCACGATCACTTCAGCCACTTTGTTGGAATCCAGTACCAAAAACTCATCACTCCCACTGAGGTGGACCTGCTCTCTGTAGAAGACGGGAGAGAGGAAGACGTACTGGGTAAGGAGGCCCCCCTCCTGATCTCCGGGACCATCTCTGGGAGGTCAGTGGTTTTAGCAGTTTTTAGAAGGAATATACCTGGGACTCAAATTTTTAAAATAATCACGGATATATATATATATATATATATACATACAACATTCCATCCTTTGCCACCATTGGGACCCCCTCTCCTCCTCCTCCTCCTCTTCCTCTTCCTCTTCCAGATGAGAAGCAGCGGGCCGAAGCAACGGAGATGCTGAACTCCATCTTGCATTTCCGAGAACAGTCTCTCAGGCCACAGCCAGAGAAGGAAGCCAAACTTCTGCACGCGTTGGCCATGTTTCATTTCTTGGTCCACGATTTGGCAAAGGTAATTGAAATTAAAAAAAAAAAGAAGAAGAAGAATTTTGTAGAGCTTGAAGGACAAGAGGGAGAGAGGCTGGAAGACAAAGGTGCCAAAAGAGCCCAGGCCAAAAAAATAACAGAATGTTGGAAGGGACCTTGGAGGTCTTCCAGTCCAATTAACCTCCTGCTCAAAGCAGGAAACCCTCTACCCTTCCAGGCAAATGGCTGCCCAATCTCTTCCTGAAAGCCTCCAGTGATGGAGCACCCACAACCTCTGGAGGCAAACCGTTCCACCGGTTAATTGTCCTCCCTGTCAGGAAGTTTCTCCTTAGTTCCAGGTTGCTTCTCTCCTTGGTTGGTTTCCATCTGTTGCTTTGTGCCCTGCCTTTCAGGTGCTCCGGAGAATAGGTGGACCCCCTCTTCTTTGCGGTAACCCCCTAGATATTGGAAGACCGCTATTCTGTCACTCTTAGTCCTTCTTTTCTCCAGACTGGTCATACCCAAGAACACGAGGAAAAAGTCAGGGAGCATATCTGAACTTTTGCTGAGGTCTGCAGTTGGGGCACCTTATTTTAAAAGAGCCAAGCCAGGTTCCGCCCGTCTTGTGAAGAACGAAGCCTTATCTTCCTCCCGGGCACCAGAAACAGGCCTGGCACAAAATCCAGCTGTGGATTTTTGTTTTGTTTTTCTCTCTTTCTGCAAAGGGCTTAACTTTGTTTACCTTGTTTTGTTTTGTTCCCCCCCCCCCTTCCCGGTGTGCCTCGTTCCAGGCGGACGAATTTGTGATGAGGTTTCTACAAACCGCCAAGGCTCTGCCCACCCGCGACCCAGGCGAGTCGCTTTACCACTTGGTGAAACTGATCAAATCCAGAGAAGAGCAAAAGAAATAGCTTCTCGCAGCAGGTAAGGACCGGCCCCACACCGGAGCCGCTCGTAGTCCGGTTTTCACAAAACGAGTCTTTCTTTTATCTTTGTGGGACGATGAAAGCCCCCTAAAAGACAACTATTTGCTATCATCCTAGTAGCAGGACTTAAAATTTATTTTGGTTTGTGACCAGGGTGACAGCTTCCAGGGAGCAGTCAAAGGCACGGAGCCATCTGTGAGGCTGTTTCACACTGTGTGGGGAAGGGGTGTACACAGGCAGCATCCAGAGACCCCGTTTAATGGACTGTTCGGCCGCAGGGGATGTCTGCTACTTCTAATCATTCATTAAATCCATGCTCTGATTGTCCATGTCATTTCAAACTGACCCAAATGAAAATTGTTCCCCCCCCCCGGCGTTTCTCAGATGGTTTGATGCAGCTGGCGCGTGTGCAGGATTTCTGGCCCTGTTGATCACGAAAAACACGCTCCCTCGAGGGTCTCTGTGTCTTTCTCCATCTCTGGGGGGCGCTAAGCCCCCAGCAGAGAAGTTTGAAAGGATGTCCCCCTCTCAAGAACCAGGCTAAGGTCCTTCAGTGGGCAGTTCTCCCCTAACCACCCTCCTGCTGATTAAAAAGAAGTTTAGAAAACCAGCAACCTCTAAAAGACTTGGAGAAAAGTCACCACCAGGAGATCCCTCCTTACCCAAGTCTTGTAGACATTGCTGGTTTTCTAAATTTCCTTTTAAGCAGCGGGAAAATCTCTCCCCCTGCTCCATTTGTGGTGTTTTTGAGGACTTCGTCTCTCCCCAAACATCCTGAACGATTGTCAAATCGCGGCAATCACTTCCCAGAATTCCCACCTGGAGCTGCTGCTGCTGCCGCCTCGGGAATTCTGGGAGCTGAAGTTTGCCTCTGCCAGGCACCCAGGCTCAAGCAGTTTTTACAAGGCGCGCACTGAGAATATTTTGCAAAATATCACAGCAGCAGCAAGATTGACAGGCCGCTTCGGCGATTCTCCCTGCCCCCAAGCTAAGCAACATCGCAGGACACACAATTTTATTTTATTTATTTATTTGATCCATACAAAATTGTCATTTCTGGCTTTCCTTCCCATTGGCACTCCAGAAAGGAGCCCCTCCCCCCTCGACATCACACAGTAACACAGCAAAACACAAAAGTTAACGTTTAAGAAAAAAAAATACCCTAAAAATGTAATTCTTTTATTCAAGTGCGGTCGTGTGTATGCCTTCGGTTTACAAACAGACAAATAAATAAAATATACATATATTATTAAATAGGTGCGTTTAATGGTTTTGCTTCAGGAATCTTCTTTCTTTTTGCAAACCTGTCGAGAACTAGCAAACACAAAACACGAAAGGCCGTTTTTAAACCAGGTTGGCTGACTAGACTAAAGTAAAAACCTAACATTATCAGTGCAACAGGTTCTGCTACAGTGCAGGTGAGATACTCTATATATAAAAAAATAAGTTTATCGTAGACAAATACAGCTCTGAACGACGGCTAGAGAAACTAGAACTATTCAAGAATACAGTCTTTGCAGGAAATACAGTATTGGAAACAGTGCTATAACTTAGCGCACTGCCCACATGAAACAGGAACCAAAAATAAAAAATATACATACATAATAATAATATAAATATTTTCCAGTCTAGGAAAGCTAGGAAAAGGGGTGCAGCTATTCTCGTTTTGGGGGGGGGGTTAGAACGGGGTGTTGAGTGAGTCCAGTTGCCGAAGACCAGGAATTGCTCAAAGACACAATAGAACTGTGTCCCTCTGAGCTCTTTTGCAGGGTGGGTGCAAGGAGGTTAATGGGGAGCTGGAAACAGATTTGGGTGTGTGTTTGTGTGTATCTCATTGTTGCCCCAGTGTATGACTTCTGGAATCGTTGACTTCTGGAAAAAAAGATTTACCGGTAAGTCAGTTTCCAGGGCAGAGAGGTCTCCTCTCTCTCTTCAGAGGCGGTCAGTTGGGACCGTCTTTGGCCAAGGCTGGGGGAATGTTCTTTCTTGAACCCGGGACCCTACGCCCGGCAGAGTCTGAAGGGAGACCAACCCCACCCCTGGCAGGAATCTGGGGGAAAAGATTCCTGAAAAGGGAGGAATTGTTTTTTTTTTTCTCTCTCTCTCTCTCTTTCTCTCTCTCATTCTTCCTTTCACCTCAGGGAAGATGCCTTCGGGCCACAGCCTGGCCTGGCCACCTACTGCTAGGGTGGACCAGGTGCGGGAGGTCAACAAGGGTGGTCCTCACAACTACTGGGGGATCCACAGGGCTCCTCTCAAGCTTGGGCAGAAGGAAGGGGACACCAAGAACTTTGTCCCTACCGGAGACGATTTTCTGTTGACTTTTAGAGAATAACCACTGGAGGCTGGGGAGAAGAACCACGGGCTTAAATCTTGTTTTGGGGGGAGGTATACTTTCTCACTCCCCCACCTGTAAAAAAAAACAAAACCCCCCCACACCGTCCCTCTGAGAATGCGATTGCCACTCCTCAGAGGACACCCCTACCTTAGCTCAGTTCCTCTCCCCAACTTTTCAAAATGCTGGCCTGGAAAACCCCCCCCCACTTGGCCCTTCAGATCCAGTCTCAGTTCGTTTCAGAAGTTCCAACTTTTCAGTCCCCCCCGCCCCCCCCCCCGGTCTTGTATTTAACCAGCGTTTAATGGTATTCAATGTTTTGTCTCTGGCAACGCAAGGTTTTGTGGGGGGGGGGGCAAAGGGAGATGCTTTTTCTCCTTTATAAAACAAAGAGGAAAAAAGAATAGAGCAAGGATGGCTGCAGAAGTGCTATCTTCTCAAGGACGAGGCCACGAAGAGGAATCGTTGCTTCCGAACGCTTCTGACAACGTTGAAATCCTGGACTGGCCACCAGCTAAGGGTTCCTAAGGAGCTACGCTGGGTTGGGTTCGTCATCCAGAGACCAGGCGGTGGGGTTGGACTCGGGACCCAAATACTTTTCTTCGCCTCGGACCTGGCTTTGTAACAAGCGCATGGAGAGGATGGGCAGGACAAGAGCGACACGGAGGAGATGCCCACCCAGGTCCCAGACTTTAGACTTGGGAGTCGGCACCCAAGCTGTGGAACTCATCCGCGGATTTGTCTCCATGGGCGGCACCTCCTTGGCGGAACTCGGAGGCGATCTCGTCAAAGGTTCGGCCCTTGGTCTCAGGCACCTTGAAGTAGGTGAAGATGAAGAAGAGGATCAGCAAGACGGTGAAGATGATGAAGACGTAGGCGCCACAGAGGTCCTGTAAGGGGGGAAGAAGAAGAAGAGGTATCACAGCTCTGGTTAGTGTAGGGTCAGAGGTGCAGTCAGCTGGAGGTGAATTAAGGACAACTCAACCCACCACCGCTAAGTCAAGAAGATTGTCAAGCTTCTCTTGACAATCTTGACAAGCTCTTGACAAGCTTCTCTTGAGAACGAGGAAGTGACATCTTGGTGGTAGAACACCTCTTTGAAGCAAAAAGTCCCAGGTTCCTTGATAATTCCCATTACAAGTGGCCATCTTTTCAGGAGAACCTTTTGTCGTACCCACCCTCATCTCTCTGCTGGCTTCCACAGTCTTTATCTTGAAAGAGGTGGAAACTTAATTTTCAGAATCTTCAAACTATCTGGACAGTATGGAAATCACTATTTCGATACTCGGGAAGCATCAAGACTCTCATTGCCACAACTTAGCACTGACTTGGGGTGAAGAGATATCTTCTCATGTTAGACCCTCATTTCATTATACCCCAGCCTCACCTCCAAAGTCTCTTCCCTTATTCTATTATTCTCCCAGATAAGTAAAAGCAGCCACTGAGTTCTTCAAGAGCAGTAGAGATGGCAGTTGGATAGCTAGAGTGTCCAACTTTCAGTGTACAAAAAAGCAGGTCTACCCAGCCATCCTTGGTTGCCCTACTTCTCTCAAGAAGGATGGAGTAATAACATAGAAGGGCCGTGCAAAATTGAGAAGATCCCAAGCAAGCTTAAGTCCTGGTCTGCTTCTGATCAAAAGCAGAGGCTTCTCAACATGTCCTGCTCCTGGGTCCCTTTGCCCAGATCGGCCCCCGGAAACTAATCATGAGGTCCCTCTCTGATGCCGGTGCTGGGAAGAGCTCATCTCCATACTTACCGCCACATATTGAAAGCCCATCCCTACGATGAAGTTGGCGGTCCAGTTGGACAGTCCCGCAACGGCGATGGCAGCAGGACGCGGGCCTTGGCTGAACAACTCAGCCACAATAAACCAAGGAATGGGTCCCGGGCCGATTTCAAAAAATGCCACGAAGCCCAGGATGGCGACGATGCTAAGATAGGACATCCACGGCACTTGAATCTAGCAGAGGAAGTGAGAGAAAAAATAGAATCAGGGAACGAACTTTTAATTGTATTTCCCATCACCTTTGGTGGCATTCTTGAGTTTTATTTTTTTTCTCAGTTCTTAGCTTTTTTGGAGACAAATTCCTTATGCTTCTAATCACACTTTGCCAATAAAACTATTCTGTTCTATTCTGTGTTTTATTCTGTATTCTGTTCTGTTCCCTATTCTGTTCTATTCTGTTCTGTTCTATTCTATTTTCAATTCTTCTAAGAATCGTAGTAATTCAGTTGGAATACAAATGCTTGGAGAATAATCAGCAGAATGTTGGACCCAACACCCACAATACAGCCTGCTGTTATATCTTCAGTTCTCCTGGTATGTTGGATTCTCCTTCCCCTAATTTCCTGGGAAAGGATCAATGGTTAGGGAAACCATCAGGGTCCTCCTCATTTACCGTCATCCTATGGGACCTTTGATGGATCCATGTTTGCTACTCACCAGAAGTGCCAGGGCGATAGTCATGAGAACCGCACAGATGGCCATCCCGGAGAGTCCAATGAGATGCAGTGTCCTTCGGCCAGCCCGTTCTACCACAAACAGCTTCAGAGAGAGAGAGAGAGAGAACAGTGGAGATACATCAGCATGGAAACCATGGAAGGTCCTCCTCAAAATCATCAGAGAACTTTGGGGAGACCACGCAGAGGAGTTAGAGGTCACAAATCAACTTTGAGGAAGTGGCTGTAGATTCAGGTTGACATATACTCATGTGCACAATTATATTCTGTGGAAGCTCCTTGGATGAGAAGCGAAATGTCTTCAAAGAAAAACAAAGTCCAGTTGCCTTTTGAAAAAGCACCTTTGGGACAACCATGACTGGTTGACTCTCCATTGACATGGATCCTCTGAACTGTCTCATTTTGGTTCTGAAGATTGCCACATTCCCTGCTCCAAAGGAACTTCAGGTACTTCCGAGAGAGAGGTCCCTCATGGCTGTTTAGGAACCCTATTATGACACCTATTGCTGTAGGCCCTTCCTCCTCTTTACAAGTCCTTCCCTGTCCTCTCTCCAGGTCCGCTTTCTTAGCAAGAGAGCCCCCTACTCACCGAAACAACCGTGAAGGCTGTGTTGACCACTCCAGCCCCAATCGTGGCATAAACAGGCTGCTGTACTCCGGCTCTTTCAAAGATATCCGTGGAGTAGTAGAACACCTTGGAGAAGGGAGACAAGAGGGACAACGTCAACACAACTGACCTCTAAGAGCACTCAGTGGCATTGTTGGGGTGCTGGTAGAGAAACAATGCTGTCTAGATGCAGGGAGGAACATATTGTCCTACTCAACGGGGTTGGTAGGACCTCAAAACCAACCCAACATTTCACCTCAATTTCTCGCCAAGCCCATATTTACCGCGTTGATCCCGGAAAGTTGCTGAGAGAGCTGCAGTACGATGGCAATCAAGAGGGGCTGGCGGTAGATAGGAGAACGGAAGAGTTCCAAGATGGTGACCTTCTTCTCCTGGAGCATTTGCCGGCTCTCCTCTTTCATCTCCTGAAGGTCTCTGCTGACGTCGGTCGTCCCACGGAGCTTCTTTAGAACTTGAGAGAGAAACAAAGGATTCATAAAGGGAGAAATGGAAGACCTGGGCCAGCCAGCAATCCAAAAGAATTAACCTGCCTGTCTCAGCTAGTGGTTGCGACTTACCACTCTTGGCTTTGTTCTCCTCGTTGCGGTTAATGAGAAGGAAACGGGGGCTCTCGGGGGCAAAAGGCAGCAGGATGCACTGGGCCAAGGAGGGGACGAAGGTGAACCCCAACAGCAGGGGCCAGAGGTTTTCGTTCCCCATGATGAGATCAATACCGAAAATCTGTGAAAAAGGCACAGTGGGGAAGGTGAGAACTGAAGTCTAGGAAGTGTGAAGATCCTGGACGCACTTGTTTGTCAAAAATCGGGAGGAATAGACCCACACATTTTCCTAGAAGACAACGGTTCTCTTGAGGTTCCGTTCAGTTCATCACAGGCATGGTTAGCCTAGGGTTTAAATTGAGATGGAGGGAGATGGTCTTTCTGGACTTCCCCAGCTCTTCTCCTCCACTGTGTTTTGTGTGGTGTGTGCTTACTTGTGCACAAAGGCTACAACCCATTCCTGGATTCCTCCAGATAAGGCCAAGAAACAGGGTGCTTGTATCTGGTGGGACTAAGCACAATGGGCAAAATATTTCCATCTTGAAACTCTGCAAGCTTCAAGAGATCCACTACTGGTTGGAAAATGGCCTCTACAGCCCTTCCGGAAGGGTTCAACCTTTCTCCTAGTTGGAAAAACGTCTCGGAATTTGAAACCCTGTGGGATTTTGGCAGGCATTTGAGTTGTGACTGTTACATTTTTATGTTGTCCTTCTTGAACGTTCGGTCAAGATCTGCAGGAGACCCAACATGGACCTTCAGGGTCCATCCTTCCCCCTCAACAGACCCCCCCAAGAGTCTCTCACCTGTGCAATCAGGATCCCAATCACGACCCCAAGTTGATGGAGTGTTCCTAGTGCCCCCCTCAGAGCCGTGGGGGAGACCTCGCCCACGTACATGGGCACGAAGCCGGTGGTGAGGCCCGAGTAAACGCCCACGATGAAACGGCCGAGGATTAACATCTCAAAGGAGCCGGCCATCTTGGAGAAGCCCATCAGGATGGCCGAAAGGAAAGCGAGAGAGTTGGACATCAGCATGGAATTCCTCCTGGGAGGGGAAAAGGAAGGACAACAACGGTCAAGGCCCCAGTCAGGAACAAAGGAAAGGAGAAGGTTGACCTTCTCAACCCCCGTTTTATATTTGAAGAGGAACATCCAACATCGGGAAAATATTGCTGCCCCTCTTATAGGTTTGTCCTGCAGACAAATATGTGTTTTTGGGTGGTTCCAGAAAAGATGGAAGATCTTTGAGAACCATTGACTTTTAAGAAGAGACCGGACAGCCATTTGTCCAGAACGGTAGAAGGTCTCCTGCTTGAGCAGTGGGTTGGACTAGAAGACCTCAAAGGCCCCTTCCAACTCTGTTATTCTCTTATTCTGACTTACCGTCCAAAGCGGTTGACAAAGAGCCCAACGGAGAACGAGCCGACCATCCCACCGACTGAGAAGATGGACACGGAGAGAGACCAGAGAGTGGTCAACATGCCCGAGGTGATGTAGGTCTCGTATCGGTTCAACCATGTTTGGTTGTAAAATTCCTCTATCACCTGCAAAGAGGAGGAGGAGGAGGAGAAGGACTCTACGAGATTGAAACGAGAAGGTTTCTGCCGCACACAAGATGTTTCCACCAGTCAGATCTCCTTAAGAGGGATCTCTGTTGACACACAATCAGAGTTGCCCCCGTGACAGGAGGCCAAACGGGTCAAGCAGCAGCCCCGGGGCAAGCTGACCCACTGCTCCTCCTGGGCCAAGGATTGTTTTTGGAGCCACCGACGCCTTTTCTCCACCAGAGGGTGGCAGCGGTCCAGCTGGCCTGCGAGGGACGGGCGCCTGGCCAAGCAGGTTACGGTGACCTAGAAGGAACTGAGACCTCAGAGGCCGGCTGGCTGCTGAGTCACGATGGAAGGGCTGAAATGGAAGGGAGGGGACTACGGGGCGAGGAGGACTTCTTCCCTCAGCAGCAGCAGCAGCAGCAGCCCTCCCCTCCTCCTCCTTCCTCCCATTCCCCTCCTCCTCCTCTTCTTCTCCTCCTTCACAACCTTCTCTACTTCTTCTTCACCGTCTTCATCTCCTCCTCCTCCTCCTCAACCTTCTCCACTTCTCCTTCACCTTCTCTTTCATCTCCTCCTCCTGGTCCTTTCCCTCAATCTCCTTCTCCTCCTCCTTCACTTTCACCTTCATTCCTCCTTAACCTTAACCTTCTTCCTTCCTCTCCTCCTCCTCCTCCTCTTCCTCCTCCTCAACCTTCTCCACTTCTCCTTCACCTTCTCTTTCATCTCCTCCTCCTGGTCCTCTTCCTCTTCCTCAATCTCCTCCTCCTCCTCCTCCTCCTCCTTCACTTTCACCTTCATTCCTCCTTAACCTTCTTCCTTCCTCTCCTTTTTCCTCCTCCTCCTCCTCCTCCTCCTCCTCCGAAATGAGCCCACACAATCTGTTGTTGTAGGCTCACCTCCCTTTGTCCTGCTTTCTTTTCCAGTAGGGTGTCCTTTTGGGTATATATGTGTGTGTGTGTGTGTGTGTATAAACACACCAAAGGGGATCAGGGTGAGAGCAGCATTCCACAGAGAGGGGTGTGGGTGGTCAAGGCAGCTCAGGTTTCCTCTCCCACCGAAGGAGCGGAGCACAGCAGCCGTTCTTTGATGCTCCTCCAAACTCTTGGCTGGTTGGACCCAATCCTGCCCTGCTTAGAGAGGCTCTCCTTTAAGGGCCCAAGAACCCAACCCTACGTGCGCCTAAGGTGTCTTTGCAAGGGAAAACAGCAACAGCCCCGCCAGGAGCAGAACAAAACGTTCCAGGTGCTTTTGGGACTCAAAAATGTAAAACAAGACACCGCTTCTTAAAGAAACGGAGGTTTGTTGAACAAAAGCCCACTTGGCTGGGAAGGCAGAACAAACCAGAACCGGACCTGGCCAGATGCAGGGTGAGGGGCTCGGCCGAACTGTCCCTCCTCCGGCCCCAGGAGCTTTTGGAGGCGTCCAGGCCAGGCCGAGAGGGCCATCGGGCATCTTCCCCTCGGACCCGTTAATTGTCCTAAGTGCCCAGACCAGATTAGAGGCTCTTCCAAGGTCTCTCCAGACTTCCGCGTGGCTTCCCCCTGGGGGAGTCTTGCAAAGAGGCCGGCTGGGGATGACGCAACCTCCCAAGCCGTGAACTTCGGTCTCTCCTGGTCCTTGGCCGGAGGGCAGGCAGAGTCCCGGTGAAAGGGGACGAAGGGGGCACCTGCCCTGGGCCTCCACTCTTCCCGGACGAAAGCCAGGGGGGCCGGACCCCTGACCTGCTCGCCCCACTGTCGGGTCATCGTTGTTCCCCCGAGGTTTCGTTCATCTCTTTTTTTGTGTGTGGCGTTTCCGTCTTCATTTCCTGAGCTTCACCTTCTAGCTAAATCCACATGCTGTTCACTGGCTGGAGTTCGGTTGAAGGAAGGCGCCTTTTTAACACACATACACACACAAAGCGCTGCACAACCACTTTGGGTAAGTTGCAACCGGCTACTTTGTGGCTCAGGAGAGCACACCTGGTTTTACAGCCCTCGTTTGAAGTTACAACAGACCCCCCCTCCCAAAACTACTTACAACCTGTTTCCGGACTTCCAACGGCAACACACACACAATCACAGCTACACAGCTACATGACCGCATTTCGGGTGCCTGACACCCTGCCACCTTTGGCAGCCAATCACAGTGTTTTGTGATCCCATGACACAATTTACGAAGTTTTGGGCAGTTGTGTGTTCTTGTGGTGCGAAGCAGTGGCTCTTACCCTCTGCGGTGCGTTGATTACTCCAGTGTTGTACCCAAACTGCAGTGACCCCAACACGGCACCCCCGACGGCCATCAACAACTGGGCGGTCATCTGCGGAGACGGAAGAAAGAGCAAACAAGGGTTACTCAGACTGGGGAAAACCTGAACGTGGAACGGGGCAGAAACTGGTGAGACTGGGATAAGCCACCGAGCCCCCATACGAACTGGCGTGGCTCAGGATGCACGTTCGGCATCATTTAGTGAAGTGGGATCACCAAGGCAGGCAGGCAGGCAGGAAGGGGACCTTAACCGAGACAAAATGACTAAGTTCAGGATAGCATTCAGAGGCGGTTCAGGCAGAAGCCCCCAACCAAGGGGAGAAGCAACCTGGAACTAAGGAGAAACTTCCTGACAGTGAGGACAATTAACCAGTGGAACGGAAGTTCCCTCCAGAGGTTGTGGGGCCTCTGGACAGCCACTCTGGACAGCCACCTGGACAGTCTCCTGCTTCAGCAAGGGGTTGGACTAGCAGACCTCCAAGGTCCCTACCAGCTCTAGTCTGATCGATTGAAGCCAGTTTGCCCACAAATAAACCAGCTCTTTCCCCCCTCCCCAGCTTTCCCACTTTCCAGCCTCCTTCCTGCCCAACCAGGTTATCAATCGAGGGTTTGTTCGGGCTCTTGGTTACGAGACGTGACTGAAATCCCGGCAGCTTCCCCTCGCCGGGTGCACACCAGTAATCTGGGGATCCAATTCTGGCCAGCTGACCTAAGCGGCTTTGGGAGACTCTCACGGCCCCAACAACACGCTCCGGTTCTCACGCTCTGTCCATTGTGGTGGCCTCCGCTCGGGCAGCGGAGTCCAAAGGGTATTGCCGGACAGGAGGAGGAGGCTGAGCTGGCAGCCTCGTGAATCGGATTTGGAGCAAGCTGCCCGCTCTTAGGCTGCTTTGCCCCTCTTGGCGCCCTGCTCGGGGGCCCAAGCCGGCTGGCTGTGGGGCCAGGGATGGGGAAGGGGGATGCCGGGTCCCCCCCCTCCAAAACCTGGCCAGGAAAGCTGGAGAAACCTCTCCCCTGCTATATTTTTCTTTCCAGGACCATGGAGCAGAATTTAGTCTTTGAGTCCCAAGCAGCCACCAGGCGTTTGCAACTTTTCCTGGCCAAACCACCCAAGAGGCTGGCCAAACCCAGCAAGGACATGACCTCCACAGTTGCTGTCCATGCGAGGATTGGCTGCAAAGTTACCTTTTCGTCAGTGTTAGTGTTCTAAGTGCGAATGGTCGCTAAACGAGGACTACCTGTAGAACTAGGGGCGAGCTATCAACTTAGCACTTGACCTGGCCTGTGCAGTGCACTTGGTTTATGACGGGAACCACAAATTATTTTATTCAATAAAACAAAACAAAACAAAAATAAACATTATTTTGTTCAACAGACCATGTTTAAACTAGCATTGCTTCATGAGGGAGGCGCGTCCCTGGCTGCAGGCCTCTCTCAAGAAGCCCAGGGTTCAAATCCCCATTACGCATGAAACTCGTAGCCGGTTGGGAGTCACGGCCCACCAGTGAAGACTGGGGTCACAAACCCATCATCCCCACAGCCGGCCCAGGACACCCGGCTCGCCCTGCCGCCCTCGCCCCGACCAAGAATGCGAGGAAGGAGTCCCACAGGGAAGGGAGAGGCTGCAGTGGGGTTCTTGGCGTGGCCTCCGTCAAAGGTGGTCCGTCCTGACCCTCCCTAAAGGCCGACGGGTCCCTGGCAGGGCTTCACAAGGACGGGTTGCGGGTCAAGCTGGACGAGAAGGAGGGACAGAGATTTGTTTTGCTGAACAACCTCACAAGGAAAGGTCTTGTCCAAGCAGGAACAAGGAGAGCAAAATTTTTGAAGAGGGTCCCACCCTTCGCCCAGATCGTGGGAAAATAATTCCTGTCCGTGGCACCAGAACAGCCGACGGGCTGATGCAACAGAGGCGGAAAAGTGAGCTCGGGAAGGGATCCCGTCACGCGATTCACGGCAGCCGCTATCCAACTGCAGATAACCTTTGACTGGCAATCCTTCCCTGGAAGTTATAACAGCACTGGAAAAAAGTGACTTAGGACCGTTTTTCACACAACCGTTGCCGCGTCCCCGTGGGTCACGTGATCAAAATTCAGGCACTTGGCCACTGGCTCCTATTTGTGACGGTGCAGTGATTCACTTAACGGTGGCCAGGAAGGTCGTAAAACGGGGAAACGTACATTTAACAACTGCCTCGCGCTCAGTTGTGGTCGTACGTCGAGGACCACCGGCATGTAGCTGAAAGGAAAATAATGAAATCAAAAGCAGGGGAGAAAGAAATACCCCTGGATAAAATGGCCACCGGGAAGCTTTTGAGTCCGTACTTGTGGGGGCTGCCTCCTCCCCAGGCAACAACTCCAGAATGCGGAATCCCGAGTCTCTGTCGGTCTTTTGCAACTTTCCAGGAAGCCCTGAAGCACCCAACCTTTGTTTTGGTTACTGACACGTTGTCCCCAAAGGTGTGGTTGTGATTGTGACATCAAGGACACACAGGCACCTGCGAATTCACCTTTGTCCAGTCACCCCATTAAGGAGAAGACGGGGGGCCAAGCTCAAAATCACACCATGGGGCAGAGGACAGAGAGAGGAAGGAAGGAAGGAAGGAAGGAAGGAAGGAAGGAAGGAAGGAAAAGAAAAAAACTGGGAAGGAAGGAGGAAGGGAGGGAGGGAGATAGACAGAAAGAAGTAAAGAGAAAGAAGGAAGGAAATAAACCCAAAGCTCCAGAGCTCCCAAAAGTGAATTTTCAGAAGTAAAAAAAAGTTGTGTTTCTTTGCTTAACAGCCTTCTGCCCCCACCTCCACCACCAAGACCCCCCTGCTCAGAAAGGCCAGCCAGAGGAGAGAGGCCTTGCCCTGCTCTGCCTTCGATTTAACATACAAACCAAAATAAACTGGATTTTTTTGTTTTAAATGAACCATATTCATGGCTGCCTGCTTAAGAGGCGCACAGGATTCCTCCTCTCCCAGCGGCACCGAAATGAAGGAGAGCACCAGGACTGGGCCACACAAAACTCCGAATTTGGGCAGCGGATCGCTGGCCCCCATCGAGAGGCGGACTGACACACACCCCTCCCCAAATCCACCTCCCGCTTGTATAATACGCTCAACCACAATCACATGCCCACAGCTTTGCCAAAGACGGAAGATGACACAGCACAATCCCTCCTGGCAAACTTTATTGCGATGGATTAATGCTTCGGGTTAAGGAGAAGGCGGTTTGTTGGGGGGGGTGGGCAGGTCCAGGTTCGAATCCCGCCTCCCTAGTAGCAAATCCCCACCCACCCACCCCAGTGAAGCAGCCCTGTGTGACCAGGAGCCTTGCCCAATGGAAAGATTTTGAGACAGGTTGTTGAAAGAGACACATTGAAAGAAGAAGAAGAGAAAAGATGTGTTTATTTGGTCTCAAAACAACTTTCTGTCACCCTGTCTGTGTTACATTATTTATGGCTGTCTGGAGAAGAGAGTTCTTGAGCATGCAATGACCGCCTTCATGGCCTCAGGGGGAAAAACTTTGCATGGATTGCACAGCGCAGCGGGCAGGGCATCTCAACCAACAAGTTCGCCCTCTCTGCTTTGGGGGTTGGGAAATTTCTGCCCCAAAGACATCACAAACACACACACACAAACAGACACACACCCCACACAAACACACACACACACACAGAGACACACCTGTTTGCTGCATTCAGACTATACAATACTCCCACCCCCCAACTAGGAACAGTTTCTTGCTTCAGGGAGTAATAAAAGAGGGGCCTCAAAGGTCATCTAGCCTCACCCCAGAGAGGAAAGGCGGATATCTCACCGCAGGTAGTCCTCAACCCTAACCCAACTCCTCCTCCCTCGAAAACCCGGCGGCTGCTGCTGCTGCTCAGAGCAGGCCAGGACACAACCCCGGCACAACACAACCTCTGCTCCATTGCAACACAACACAGGTCAAGTTTGCAACCTCTCTTCCCCCCCCCCTCCCCGTTCTCCCGCCTGCGAGGGGGGAAAAAAAAGCACCACCAAGAGGCTGCCAAAAACTCTGCAACTTGTTTGTCCAGAGCTGGATTGCCCAGAAAAATCTCCCCACCCTGCAATCTCCCTCTGGCCTCCCCCCCCCCACACACCCCCTCCGGGCTCCTTTTCATCCTCCGACAGCCCTAAGCCGCTTGCGGGTTTAACCCCTTCGCCCCCCCCCCTGTCCCCGGCTCCAAAATCAGCTCCACACTTTCAAAGGCAGTCCTCGGCTCACGACTGTTCGCTTACTGACCGAAGTTGCAACGGCATTGAAAAAAGGGACTGTTTTTTTTTTTTTACACTTAGGACCAGGGTCAGGTGATCAAAATTCAGACGCTTGGCAACTGACTTGTATTTATGACGGTTCAAGGTCCCCTTTTGCGACCTCCTGGCCAGCAAAGTGAATGGGGGAAGACGGATTCACTTAAAATTAAAAAAATGGCCAGGTTTGAAAATCAACCTCTTCTACATCCACCCCCCCCCAGCCACATAGCGCATCCCGGGATCCGAATTTGGCACCTTGTACAGAAACCTCCGCCCTCGTGGAGGTTCCTGCATGAGCGCGCCTGGCCTGCGTGCCTCTCCCCACGTCCACCAACCTCAGATTCCTGGCAGGGTGCTGGATGGGGGGGTGAGGCCTGTCCTGGCAGCCAAGGAGTGGGCAGCCCTGCCCAGCAGGCACACCCTGACCCCGTTTGGCCTGCAGTGGCCATTAAATTTTCATTCGCCGTCCGATAGTCGGAGAGGCCACTGTGCGAGGCAGGCAGCAACAAGGCTGCAGGGTCTCCAAAGGAGAAGGGTCCCATTTGAATTTGGTCAATCCGTGGTTAAGGGAAGGGGAATAATAGAAGAACAGAATAGTGGAATAATATATGAGTTGGAAGGGGCCTTGGAGGTCTTCTAGTCCAACCCCCTGCTCAAGCAGGAGACCCTTTCTTACGGAATAGAGAACAACAGAATAACAGGGCAGGTAGGCAGGTAGAGAAGGAAGGGAGGGAGGGAGGGAGGGAAAGAAAGAAAGAAAACAAAGAAAGAAAGAAAGAAAGAAAGAAAGAAAGAAAGAAAGAAAGAAAGAAAGAAAGAAAGAAAGGGAAAAAGAAAGGATGAATTCCTCGTTCTTTGTCATTCTGGTTTTTTTTAAAAAAAACATTAAGATAAACATGCCTACACAGTGATGTGTTTTTGTCAGTCATATTTCAAATTGTGACTCCACCCAGGAATAATAATAATTACTTAATTCTCCTGAATTGATCTCACACAACTCTGGTGAACTTTTTCTTTTTTTAAAAAAATAATAGTTTTTTTTAAAATTAAAAAAATTGTTCAGTGAAGCCAACTAGACATTATTAGAACTATTAGGCCACCTGCAAAATTGAAAAATAAATAGTAAACAAAAATAAAATTAAAATGTGGGTGGTTTTTTTTTTTTTAAACCAAGCACTCTATAATGCCAACAAGGCTGAACATCACGGAAAGAAGCAATTGCTACACCCCTCTGGAAGAGCCTGAGACAGGAATCCACTGAATCCAATGAGGCGGGGGGGGGGGGAAGGTGGGCACCAGACGTGCTCTAGCCTATTAATGTTAAGTTCTTTCTAAATTTACTTTCCTGGGTCCTAAGAGAGTTTCTGCAACATTTCCCCCCCCTGTCCCATCCTTTTAAATGGGGTGCAAACGGGTCCGCCGGGAGCAGAGACTTTTTCAGGGTGGCCCCCCTAAGATGCTCGCTTTCAGCACCACGGAGAGGGGTCTGTCGCACAAAGTCACTTTCCCAAACCTCTCCAAAACTTTGCAGTTGTTTTTTTCCCCTCTGCTGCCACGGTGGGTGCAGTTTTTTTTCTCTAATATCCTCCTTTTCCATTTTACAACGTTGTTGCTACTGTTTTTATCGTTATTGTCGTGGTGAGGTTTTCCCTTTTCTGTCCCCCCCCCCCCATGAAAACATCAGAGGTTGAATAGCGCAGTGAGAAAATAACGAATTCCTTCCCTGGTCATCTGCTCGTTCCCAAACGCAGCCAGGGGGACCCAAAGATTCAAACCGCCTTCCTGAACATGTGCAGAGAGCCTGTTCCCGCCAAGCAGGTCAAGCAAAGGAAACCGTTTCTGAGTCAGCGTCTCCTTCTGACTCAGCCACAAACAGCAGTTGAGGTTCAGGGTGGTTAGAAAGTCAAATCTGAACAGGCAAGGAGCAGACTCAGCCACGAGGCCCCAACCATGCTCTGCTTTGGGGGCTTCTTCCCCTTCTAGCATCTGCAGAGGATTCTGGGAGTGGAAGTCCACAGTCTCTCTCTCTCTCTCTCTCTCTGACCAAAACCAGATGCAGCCTACCAACTGCGCCTTCCTTGACCCTCCGGCCGGGCCAAAGCGCTGGAGCAAGCAAGGGAGGCACAATAACATCCATTGACCAATATTTATTATTCTCCTTTCTCCCAACAATGCCCCATGGACAACTCCCCCCCCCCAGCGGGTCCCTGGGCCTCTGCCTAGCAGATCAAAGCCTCCCCTATTGTCTCTGCAGCCTCTTTGAAGGAGCTGGAAAAGGGAAATTTTAAATACATATATATTTATATATTTATATACATATCCCCTCCGCTCTCTTCAAAAAAATGTCGCTTGGCTGCAGCTTCCCAGGCTATGCAGAGAGCAGACTGGAGCACCGAGGGAGAGGGAGGGTGTCTGCTTCTTCCTGCAGAGGGGGCTCCCCTTCCTCTCCCCCCCCCTGGAAAATCTTACGCAGTGGCGTGCTCCTGACTGTCACGTCTCCCAGAAGCCGTTCCAAGCCCAGATCTTAATCCAGACTCTGCCCAAACTCCAGTCCGGCTCTTCACGGCCACTGGGTGTCCCCTCCCCTGCTGGCCGGCTTTGTGGAGCTGAGAGTTGTGCGGTCTTGGTGCCGCACACACCATTTTTATTAACAAAAAGGGGTGGGTGGGCAGAGAGAATGGAGGCCAGGGAAGCAGAAGGTGCCCACTCCCCAGACCCCTCTGCGGTGCGCTCAGCCACTTGCGGGCCCTTTTCCCTCTCCAGCCAAGCAGCGGAGAGCAACTCCAGCAATTAAAGCCGAAGGGAGGACTGGAAACAGCTGGATAAAAGGTCCTTTCGAGAAAAATGCCCAACAGCCACATTTGGAAACAGAGGGGGAAAAATTCAGAACAGAAGCAAAAGTCCCTCTTTAAGCAGTTCACAGAATAACAGAGTGGGGAAGGGCCTCGGAGGTCCTCTAGTCCAACCCCTTGTTCAAGCAGGAGACCCTAGACCATCCCGGGGGGGGGGAAATGTTCTCTTTCACACAAGGGTGAGATTTGGCTTTTTACAAGCCTTGCAACACAGAGCAAAGGATCCAGTTGTCCCTGCTTTTTTCCTGCAAAAAAGTTTTACTCTGCCTTCCTCACCATAACACACACACCCCGTGTAAAGCCCCCCCCTTGCAGCTACGTTGAACCACTTCCTCTGAAGCTCGCACAGAACTTCAAATATCCTTTGATGGCAAGAGCTGCACTTGTTTTCAGCAAATTTTTAAAACACGGCACAGGTGGGCCTAACATGGATGTCAGGGGCACACAGGAAAAAAAGACCGACTCTGTTCCCGGCTGCAGGGCTGAAGGCCCTCTTTTCCAAGCTGAAGACCCTCTTTTCCACCCGGCTGGTGGTCCCTGCATTGAAAACCAGCTTCAAAATAGCCTGCTGTAAAAAAAAAAGTTGGATTTTGGTGGACAAAGAGATACCCAGACCTCCCCAACACAGGTAGAGATTTGTCTCAGATCTGCTTAGGAAAACTTTGCTGTTCTCCAACAAACGTGGTAGAACCAGGTCATTAACCAGCCAGCTTACTGGAGTTAAAAGACATCCCCTTCCTGCAATTTCATGCTTGGCATAACTTAAAGTAAAAATAAAACAAAAGCAACATCCCAGCAACTCTGAGTTTTAAACAAACAGCCTCTGAGCAAATATAACGGATGCTTTAAACCAGAAGTCCCCAACCTTTGGGGCACCAGTGACCGGTTCCGTGGAGAGAGGTTTTTCCAAGGATCAGAGAGTGTGTGATTTTGTGTGCTGCCTGCATCCTAGGGATGGGGCTTTGCTTGTTTGTGCGGACTGGTTGCGGGCATGCCGCGGTCCGGTACTGGTCCACGGTCCGGGGATTGGGACTTCTGCTTTAAACTCATTTAAATTCAGCCTGCTATTGACCTAAACATCTCTGCTGATTCATTCTTTCTTTCTTTCTTTCTTTCTTTCTTTCTTTCTTTCTTTCTTTCTTTCTTTCTTTTCTTTTCTTTTCTTTTCTTTTCTTTTTCTAAATTGCCCATCTCCCTCAAAACAGGGCTCTGGGCATTATACAATATAATATAACCAATCAATAAAACAACACAAATTAACATTAGAATTAAAATTTCAATTAAGGTTATTTTTTTAAAAATTGGCTTTTCTCTTTGTAATCTAAAAGCCCCGAACTCAGAAAAGGATAAAATACGAAAGTAAAAAAAATTTTTTTTGAGTTGTTTGCAATTAGACAGGCCGCAAATAAATTTAGTAAGTAAAAAAAAATAAAAGTGGAAAAAGTCACCATCTCTGCTCATGCTGTCGCCTGAACAAGCACCGCACGGTGTAAAAATACCAGGAGTCTGTAGTAGCCCTTTTCAGATTAACCGAGTTTATTTTATTGGTTAGTGCAAATGTTTGCTTGGCGCCTCTGATCGCTGCCTGCCGTTTGCCAACTCTGCTCTTCTGACAAACGTTTTCAACTTAAGTCGAAAGTGTGGATACAGTTGGGGGTCCCGCTGGGGACCCCCCTCGCTTGCCAACGTTGGCGCTCATAGTGGGGGGGGGACCCCCAGTCCAGAACGACTATTCCCCCAGACTTTCCAGGGTTAGAGACCAACTTTACGCCAACTTTAATCCTGGTTAGTCCTCTGTGGCTTCCCACGACCAAGCACCCCCTCAACAAGCGAGCTAGCGAGGACTCCTGCAATTTCTATTCAGACGTGGGCAGGGGTTTTTTTACATAGAGGAGAAGGTCGGGACGGGACGTCCCCACCAGCTATGGCGCACGGAGGGGCCTGGCGAGGCGGGACGGCGGGGAAGGCCCTCTCTCCGGGAAGGGACGGCGGCAGAGAGGCTTCCCCGGGGAGAGCCGGACCCGCAACCCGCAACCCGGCCCTGCCCTGCCCTGCCCTTCCCCGGCCGCGCAACCCGGATCTGCCGCGCGTCAAAGCTGGCAGGGAGGGAGGAGGAAGGACACGCGGAGGAGGAGGAGGAGGAGGAAGGGGGGGCCGCGGAGCGCTCGGCTCCCGTCTCCGAGCCGCTTTTTCCTTCTCGCCCTCCCAGCCGTCCTCCCCCCCTCCTCCCCCCCCCGCCCTTCTCCTTTTCCTCCTCTTCTCCCATCCCTCCCTCTTCTCTCTCTTCTTCTCCTCCTCCTCCTCTTTCTTTTCCTTCGCCTCTTCTTGCATCCCTCCTCTTTCAAGTTCTCTTCCTCCGCCGTCCCTTCTCCTTCTCTTCCTCTTCTCCCATCCCTCCTCTTCTCTCTCTTCTTCTCCTCCTCCTCCTCTTTCTTTTCCTTCGCCTCTTCTTGCATCCCTCCTCTTTCAAGTTCTCTCTTCCTCCGCCGTCCCTTCTCCTTCTCTTCCTCTTCTCCCATCCCTCCTCTTCTCTCTCTTCTTCTCCTCCTCCTCCTCTTTCTTTTCCTTCGCCTCTTCTTGCATCCCTCCTCTTTCAAGTTCTCTCTTCCTCCGCCGTCCCTTCTCCATCCCGCCTTCTCTATCCCTCCTCCTCCTCTTCCTCCCCCCCACTCCCCCCCTCCCCCCGGCCAGGCTAGCGGCCGAAGCCCGGCTCCGCTGCGGCGCCTGGTCCAGGGTCCTGAAAGCGGCGCCGCTTCGCCTGCCGCTTCCTCCGCTCTCCCGCCCGGCAGGAGCGCCCAGCGCCTCCCCGGGACGCCCCCAGCCCGGTCCCCGACCCCCGAGGCCCCCGCCCGGCTCACCTTCCCCTCCGAGGCCATGGCTCGGCTCGGCTCGGCTCGGCTCGGCTCGGCTCGGCTCGTCAAGAGGGCGCCCGGCGCTGCTGCTACCGCTGTTGCTGCTGCTGCTGCTGCTGCGGGGGAGAGGAGCGGCGAGGCGGCTGCTTCTTCCCGGCTGCTCCGAGCGAGGCTGCGGGCGGCAAGAGCGGCGTCCGGGGCCCGGCGGCGGCTTAAGAGGCGATTGGCCGGCGGTGGAGGTGTGGCGGGGGCGGGGGGAAGGTGGGGCTGACGCGGCGCTGACGTCACACCGGCGGGGAGGGCTCGGCCGGCCCGCGCCTCTCCGTCCCGCAGGGGGGGGCCCTGACCCGGGTGGCAGCTCCCGAGAGGCTCCGTCGGAATCCACCCGCTTATCACTCTTTTCCTCGGCCCCTTGAAGACCTCAGGACCACAACTCCCAGAATCCCCCGCCCAGCGAGGCTCCCAAGACCCCTGGGCGTCAACTCCCAGAATCCCCCGCCCAGCGAGGCTCCCAAGACCCCTGGGCGTCAACTCCCAGAATCCCCCGCCCAGCGAGGCTCCCAGAATGCCCAGCCGGGCTTTGGGACCCCCGTGGACTCCTGCTCCCAGAAGGGCCGGGGGGTTCTGGGAGTTGAAGTCCACTTGGGTCTCCCAGTTGCCCACGTTGCCTGCTCCCTCCTGCCCGCCTTCCACAAATTGTGGTGAGCGTCACGCAGACACACACCCGAGGACACTTTAATCCGGGATGAGTTCCCTGTGGGAAGCGGCTGCGTTCTGCAGCGAGTCCGGCCCTTAAGAGACCCGATTTTGCCTGCTCCCCTTCCCGCCCGCCTCTGCCTGAAGATGCTCCTGGGGGAGAATTCCCCCCCCTTTGCTCACCTCTCTGCCCTCTTGCAGGAAACCAGAACCCCGAATCAGCTGAGCACCCCGTAGACCCCATTCACGGGCACTCCACACCTTGGATATAACCAAGCCACAATTGTGGGTTTACAAAGGCGCCTCTTTTCAAACCCTGGCTTCACATTAAATGGGTGATCCGGAGCTGGAGGGGGGGGGAGAAAGCAGAAACTTTTGCCACCATCCTTTCCAGCCTCTGCCTTGCAGGGAGGGAGGTCGCCCAGCCTGGCCTCCCTTGCAGGGTTGGTGTTTACAAACAGGCGCGCGTCGTTTCCCATCCGCCGGACTAACTTTGGTGACTAACAGCAACCAGAAATGTCAATTGTCCTGGTGAATAATCAGAATTCTTGAAATCTCGCCAGGGTAAAGTCCCACCAAAGTTACCCCAGCCGGGGGTGGGGGGGGATTGGTGGGGGGTGGGTGCTTCCTTCTCCTTCCTGGCTCCAGGGAGGGTCACACCGGTTCTTATCACAACTTTGTTGTTTTGGGACCCGTTGTGAAGCCCTTGCACTTCCTAGTTCTGGTTTTGTTTTTTCTTTCTTCTTTTTAAAACGTTCTGACTTTCTGATTTTCCGTTTCAGCCGGTTCTGCTTAGCAATTATCCTCCAGTAATGTCAACAAGCGAGCTCGTTTGACAGGCTCTTGTCTTCAAAACAATCTTGATTTCAGGTAGACCTCGACTTACGACCGTTAGCGACCGATGGGACAAAACCCACTTAACAACTGTCTCACTTAGCAACGGAGCTCCCTGTTTTTTTTATTATTCTATTCATAGCAGGTCTCCTTCTTTCTCTCGCTCTCGTTTTAGCACTTGTGATGGGGGGAAAAAGGCCGTTTAGGTCTCCCTTCAAACCGAAGTTGAGAATTACTACAAAATTTCAGGATCAAGTGGAAAAATCCTCAGAAGACATCAGGCTGGAGGGCAAAAAAACCCCTGAAATAACAGAGAAAACAAGAACCTGCCTCTAGCCATTTTTTATCTTCTTTCAATCTAGTTTCTGATATATATTTTTTTTCCCCTCTGTGGTCATTCTGTAACCGAGCTGCCGTCTTTTCCTGACTAAGGGGGGAAATTCTGCAGCGTAAAAAATGAACTTCTATTCATATTGCGAGCATGGGGTGGGAATTAAACCTGACAGTCTAATTTTAATTTAACCACCGCAACGTTTCGCTTCTATATCTTTCTGCTGAAAGTCAGAAGTTTAGTTTTTTTCACTCTCTTTTCCTTTCTTTCGGCCTGAAAAGAGAGATGAAACTGCAGCGCAGTGCGGGAGCCCAACTGACCGTATTCTACTCAATAAATACATTTCTTCCTAACTTCCCTGTCTGACCTCATGGGTCTTCCCCCCCCCCAATTAAAAGGCAGGTGAACGACATCAAAGAGGAAGCGAGGCTCTCGGTCCCTGCAGCAAGGCACGTTCTTAAAATTCTGCTGAAAAAGGAGAGGATGTGACTCATTAACCTTGATAATATCAATCAGTGAATTTGCTAGATTGTCAAAGTAACACCTTCCACACCTCTGGAGATGCCAGCAAGGCTGAACCAAAGGGTAAATTTACTTCAGCCAGAAAACCCTCTCAGGCGGCAGTGTCGTGTTTTGGAAAAAAGGGAGGGAAGAACAGGCACGTCTCAGAGAAAGGTTCCACTGGTCTGCTCAACTGTACAGGGAGTCCTCGACTTTCAACCGTTTGTTTAGCGACCGTTCAAAGTTACAATAGTAGTGAAAAAAAAGTGACTTTTGACTGGTCCTTGCACCTTTGGCTGCTGCAGCCTCCTTGCCCGCAATCAGAATTTGGGTGCTTGGCAATTAGCATGCCTTTACAGCAGTAACTTCAAACGGTCACTAAACAAACTTTTGCAAGTCAAGGACTGTCTCTAGTTCCCCCCCCCCCCTTTGCTTCTTTCCCAGGTGGGAACCACAATGTTGGAAGAACGTCAACAAAGAAATTCAGGCCCCAACAAGTCTCCTGGTCAGGAGGCCTCAGAGTCAGCAGCTTCGAGGAAAAAGCGGTTGGGATCGTCCAACCGATGTGTCACCTGCCACAATTCAGCACCGACAAGTCTGGGGTTGTGTATCTGTGTGTGTGTGAGCATCACATGCCCGGAAAAAGATAAAGCTGGTGGGGATTGTCTGGAGATTAAAAAATATATATATGAAATTTCCTTTTAGGGAAGTAGATTTTTGTGACAGGCAAAGCTGTCATGTCCTGAGGGGGAAAAAATAGACTTTGCAGGAAATTTGACTGCGCGCAACAAATCCCTTCGGCATTTGATTCTGAAATTCCCGTTAAAGGAGAGGAGAATTTGGGCAAATTCTCACGTAATCGTGAGGGCTGTTTTACTGCTTACTTGTGAACTGATGGGGGACTTGGCTTCCCAGCCTTTCAGCAAATTCAGCATTTTCCTCCACCTTGGCAACTTTAAGAGGCATGGACTTCAACTCCCAGAATCCCCCAGCCTTCACATGGGGTTGGACTAGAAGACCTCCAAGGTCCCTTCCAGCCCTAGGATTTTATGAACTCCGCGATCAAGGCAGGAGTCCTTATACCATCCTGTCCAGACTTTTCTTGAAAACCTCCAGTGATGGAGCAGCCACAACTTCCGTTGGCAAGTTGTGTATCGAGGAGGCCTTACAGGTGAATCCTGGATGTCCTTGTGGATTTATCTGAGCAATATTGATAAGGTGCAAGGAAGTTGCTTCCGTTTGTCTAACTTTTCCAAACAGGGTTTATGACTTTGCGGGCTGGGCATCAACCGTTTTTACTGTTTCTTGCCCGTAATTCCCGCTACAAAGTCCATCTGTGAATCTCATCCTGGAAGGAAAATAAAACATAAACAAAACCAGTTCAGCCCTGGGGCTAAACCCTATTCCAGAAAGTTATGGGTTGTGTAATTGAGAGATGTCCAGGAAGAGGCTTTTATATATGCCACTCACTCGAGGGCTGTTGTTCAAACTTTTCATCGCTGCATTTTTCCCCCCTTAATTAAGGCCAAAAAAGGAAAAAAAGAAAGAGAAACATCCAATTTTGTTAATTCTGCCAGGGCAGGAATCAGCTCCAGGCGACATGAGCAAACTTTAAATCTGCCCTGGCAGGAACTCAGCCTTGCTGGGAAAAATATTCTGCAGATTTTTGCAAGACTTTAAAATCTTCAATTTGTCTCCCGCCTGGTTTAGCGGGTCCTGTGAATACGGGGGGGGGGGGGGACTTATTCAGGCAATCAAAGCTATTCAAACCACCATTCCTAGTTTAGATCTGGAAAATGCTGCCTGCTGATGCTATCTGGTGGGTTGGTTCTGGGATTCGAGCAGAAATGCTGATAATAGCTAGGAGTGTTGGTCTAAAACAAACCAATATTCTCCTGCCAACCAAGGTATGGTCTTTCCTGCTCCAGGAAATATTTCAAGATCAAATTTTCAACCGGCTTCCTCTTCGCTTCTCTTTTTTAATTGCAGATTGCTCTCTTATGCAATGTTGATTTAAATATTTTATGTGTTGAACTGTTTGGTCTAATGCCAGGTTTTGATAGCGTCTGGAACCGGCTTCGGGGCCTTTTAGCTATAATAAAATTGAGTTACATTGAGCAGGCTTCCTCCTCAGGAGAAAGTAAAAGGAATTTTGAATTAAGGAGGTCAAAAAGAGCAAACATAGAAAGGAAAACATCCTTCTGGCTGATGCAAGGGGCTGTTCATAGATCAGAAAGCATGACTCAGCTCATGTGTTCGTCATACGACCAGTCAGCATCATGTGGGCACAGGTGTAGCCCAGTAATGGAGTTGGAAGGGACCTTGGAGGTCTTCTAGTCCAACCCCCTGCTCAAGCAGGAGGCCCTATAAGATTCTTACCATAACTTGGCACTTGGCCTCCATCAACTTGGTCTCACCTCTTGGATACATTTTCTCCATCGTGATCCGTCCCCAACCTAAGCCTTCGGATCTTGCAAAGGTGCCCCCATTAATGCTTTGATTGAGTCCATCCACCTCACCCCTGGGGGGTTTTTTTCTTCTCTTTCTTCCCATTGATCAATCGATTGATTGTTGATTATTAGATGGGACAACCCCTTGTCTGAAATGGCGTAGTAGGGTCTCCTGTTCGAGCAGGGGGTTGGACTAGAAGACGTCCAAGGTC